GCCCCTTCCATCCCAACTCTCTGTGTTGTGTGCCAAGCTCTCGTCAAGCAGGAAAACGTGCGGCAGCAAGTATATGATTGAAGATGTTACGAATTAGATGTACACTGGCTGGTGTGTGTGTGTGTGTGTTTGTGTTTGTGTGCATGGCTGACTGCAGCATCTAATCAAGCTTGGATGAGCCTCCTGTTTCCCAGGTGGTGGCGGAATGGAGGGATCATCATGTTTTATTAAGAACACATGGCCGAGTGCACTCGGTCTCATTCAGCCTCTAATGAACACCGGCGCTCTTTCTCTGTTTGGGTTGACCTTTGCCCTAGTCACTGTCGCCATCCCGTCGCGCTCTTTCCACGACGCAAATCCAGTTTAGAATAACTGTGGCAGATTTACCTCTCAAAGTTTGTAGTCATCTTTGAAAGGGTTGCTAGGAGACATTTTTCAGTTAAACTATCACGTCAATGTCAAATTCATAAGCTGCAGTAAAAGCTTGTATTATGTGAATAGAATAGAAGTAACAAGGACATTTAACTGTTTTCAACGGTTGTATTTGTACAAATAAAAACGGCATTTGTTAGTTGTGAAGGTAACAACACACGCTGCTCGTTGGTAGAAGAAAGCAGACTCGGCTCCGTCAGAAGCTTCTTGGGGGGCGGTCGGCTCCTTTTTCCTCCTCGCACAAGTGCTGCTACAGAGGAAGCCACACACACACACACACACACACGTTCAACTCAATCTCCATTAAGTGAGATAAGGTGAAATCTTTCTCTGTCTCTCTTGTGGTCTGTCCTTCTCTGCACTGACTGACCGGTCTAGATGATAGGAGGAGAGGCCCCACCTCCATCTATCTGCAGGAGGCCGATAACCTCCGTCGCACACACACACACACACACACACACTCACAAATGCATGGACACTCAAACTTGTGTGCACAGACACACATCACATTCAAATACGCACACCGGCTCGCTGTCTCGGTGACAAACATCCAGGCGGAGGCCCGGCCCGGCCCTTTAATCCATCGCCGTGGCAACCTTCCAGGTGTGTGCGTTGGCGTCTGCGCGGCGACCGGGAGAAAGTTATACGTTCGCCGCACACCCTCGCACGAGGGAGCAGCGATGGATTCATCCGGTGATACCCAGATGCGGCCGATAGGGTTAATTGGTTTTCAGGGGGCACGTCGGGAGGGAGAGGGAGAGAGAGAGAGAGAGAGAGAGACGCTGACCGGATTACTGCAGACACACCCGGAGAGACCGGGAGAGAGCACGGCGCCAGATAAGAGCGGATGAAACAGATGTAAGTGATGTCTTGAAAGCGCAAAGTGCGCATAGAGGGATGGGAGAAGATTTAGCTTTTTACCTTTGAGAAATCATAGAGCGCACAAAAGAGGCAGAGGGCGGATGATGCGCGGGATGTTTGAAGGTCAATAAAATCAGACACAGCAGATGTTTATTTCCTCAGTTTTACCCTGTGTTTTAATATGTCACCGTGCTCCACCTCGGTATTGAATGACAGCTGATTAATGGACCTCGAGCGTTTTGCCTTTGGCAGTTCTTCACCATCTGATGTCACTCTCCCTTTTTAGGAAATTAAGATCGTTCACCCACGAGAGTCAAACAGCGAAATACCCCACTCGGTTCATGGCTTGGTCACAATTCTTTTAAGAATCCTATTTAAGGCCAACTCATCAAAATAAACATAAATGAGGTAATTTGTCATTATTCTTTTCTATTGTTGAGTATTGTTATCAATGTCAGCTGACACGTCAGCTTGAGTCAACTTTATTGACATCACAACAAACCGTGTTGGTAGAACAGACAAGATCGTGCGGGATGGTCCGGTTGTGTCGCCAGTTGTGTTGTGTTTCCAGATCATTTAATTTTAAGGAATGGATCTACATCCTCCGGGGGTTCAGAAAAGAAAGATTAGAGTGATGCACCACTTCGGTCCAACTTTCAATCATTGTTATTGACGCGGCGAATATCGTCTTCTGGAGCTTCACTTAAAATTCACTTTAACTTTTGAGTAGAATCCCACTTACGGTGGCAGCGGGGCAACAACGGGGAGGTCAACGAGGGCGTGCAGGTTCCGTGGTGGCTCCTCAGCACAAGTGCTTTTTAGGGTGGATGTGGTTAGAAGATCAATGAGACCAACGCGTGGACACCGTTCCCCCGTGAGGATGGACTGGACTGGACCGACTGTTTCTTTATTCCACGCTGTCTGTCACTGCGTCTTGGTGGCAGATGATGAGTATTTTCCATTCAATTACTCGACCCATATTTACCCGGGCAGAGAGTGATTCACCTGAGCGCTTTTCCAGTCGGACGTCGACTGTTGCGACTTTAGTTTTTGCTTCACGTTCAGGCTGGATGCCCCTATTCACTGTGTCACTGAGTGTACTTTCATTTAATGTGAGGCCCACAATGATATCTATTATGCAGAAATGGCAATTACTGCTCCAACAGAAGCAGGTTGTATTGAGCCTGTTGTCAGAATAGATGTTGGGAAGTGTTTTATATTATCTCATGGGTGAGCTTGAAGAAAGCTTAGTTTGATTGAGTATTGAATACCTCACGCTCACGTGCATATCCTCACTGCATTATGCGTCCAGCCTGGGCAAAAACAAATGAAGCGGAAATGTCCTTGAAAGTTGAAAGACGCCCGTGAAATCGGAGACGTGGAGCCAAAAATCAGCGTCCGCTAAATTGCATTTCATCGCGTCAACGTGCAATTTGTTGATTTGTCAAGTATTCACACATGAATGGTTTTACTGTCCCCTGTGGGCCACTGTAAGCAAATTGTGCAGATATTTCCTGCGTACTCTGCGTGAGAAAAACAAAGACAGGTTTAAACAGCCTAAAGCAGGAGGGGAAAAAATAACCCAGAAATGCAACCTGCAGCAGTGGAAAAAAATTCATACGCTTCCGAATACATTTACGTAACGCTTTTAGTGCTCGGAACAATTCACATGCTGTGTACAGGGAAGACATTTGACCAGATGAAAACATATGATAATGCACGCATATGATAATGCAAGATAATGCACCAGTGTGGAAGCAAGTGTACCTCAAACAGAAGAGCATGTTTCAACAGCAGATCTGCTACATATTGTAGGTGGTATATTCTGAGACATTCTTCAAACTTATTATTATTATTATTATAATATTTGATATGAAGAATCAAGCTCTCTGCTGGGATCATCGCCATAAACATATAATCTTGTGATATTTAAGAAATTGTATATAAGGACTTAACTGAACTACACAAGCCAGATTTGCATGAAAATCTTTGTTAGCGTCATAATGTCTCAAAAAGCTCAAGTTTCAGTGTAAAAACAGCAGATTTATTATTATAATCATTCTTTAAGTGGGAGAGAAGGGTAAAAAAAAATGTTCATGCAATTTTTAACAGAATACAAGGTGATATATTCAGATAGCATCTTGTGACTGTCCAAGCAGAATATGGACCACAATCACATGAAACAGGGGGAAAACATAAGCATATCGTCACATTTGAGAAGCTGTAACTAACGGCATTCATTCCTCCTCAAGTGGTGATTCATTTTGCCCACAATGCATATTAAAGATTTTACTTGCACTTTCAGGGGTACTTGAGGCTATTCGTCCTGGAATAAATGGACTAGTGGTACAGTAAGCGAATGAAAGGTTTCCTGAGGGGAATGGTCTTGATGACTCAGTCTGTTAATGCGTGTAGAAGTACTGACAGTACAAAAGGTTTCTTTTTATATCTCCCTCCTGGACAGCTCTGCTCCCTGAGCTTTTCCTCTCCGTCCTTGCTCGTCGTGCAGAGACGAATACATTCAGGGGGTATCGGAAGAGGGAGGACTGTCAACGTGCATCAGGAACGCGTCTGCCAAAGAGTGTCGGGTTGCACAGTAGCTTCAGCTCCTGCTCGCTGACCTCTACCCGCAGCTCGGCAAACATTTCAGCCGAGCACACGGGCCTCTGCAGAAGGAGATATCGAACAGGTGCACTATTGAATTTAAAGCTGTCACATATATTATCCTCGGCTATCTCAAACAGCTGTGGCTGCTTGGCAAGAGACACATTCATCTCAGCCAAAGTGATGAGCCTGATGAAACAGTGGTGTTCCACTAGAGCGCCACCGGGTTCCCTTTGGGTCAATACAAACACACCAGTTCAGACTGCCTGCAGAGATAAATACGCACAAATGCACCGCGGATGCTAAATGCTGAGGTTCAATAATGCTCTGGAACTGAAGCTGTTAAAGGAAAACATTTTTATTTTTTTCACACGGGTCCTTTTTATAATTCTAGAAAAATGTGGGATAGAAATCCGCTACGGCAAGTATTTATCGAGTAATTATATTTAAAATGCCTGAGTCCCAACATAAGAAGTTATGTCCCTGAGTTAGCTTTCAAGCTAGCTGTTTGATTAGCTAAACAGCAAACTACCTGTTTATGCGCAGTAATATAAAAACATTTATCACCTATGATTCCACACATTACAAAGATTACAAAAAAGGAATTTTTTGGCGTTAGAGGCGTTAAACTTTAGCCAGACAGAGTCTGACATGTTTGGTGCTTCAGGCCACTGGTCTGTTCGTGTGGCTCAATAAACACATCAGTTTGTTTGTTTGGATATATAGTGAGAAACCGCTTTGATGTGAGCCTGGAAGCATTTGGCTTTATTTGACTCATATTGTCTTTTGTTTATGGTCGTAGCGCCGGTAGCAGTTATGCTCCGGGCGGATGTTGCTGTACAGTCTATTAGATTAGTATTAGATCTTTTTTGGCAGCACTTCTTATTTGGTGCCACATCGATGCCTCTTTAGCTCCGGCGTTAGTCTACGAGGTTCAAGTTGTACAGAAACACTAATTGAACACGTTATTAATATCGCATATCCTGAATTTTATTTTATTTTTTTACTCGGATGCTTTCGAGAAGATGTCAAATGCTGATGAAGCCACATTCTCCTCATCTATGTGCCGCGGCGACGTAAAGGCCTCTCTTTTGTTTTTGCAGTTGGGCGAGGAAACCTTCAACCGCGCAAAGTTGTTGAACGTCGGCTACACGGAGACTCTGAGGGACGGAGAGTTCGACTGCTTCATCTTCAGCGACGTGGACCTCATCCCGATGGACGACCGCAACCTCTACCACTGCTACGACCAGCCGAGGCACTTCGCCATCGCCATGGACAAGTTTGGCTTCAGGTGAGGCGACGGTTGGCGTGTGATTTTAGCGCTGCTGAGGGGAGCACGGGACCCAATTTGTCCCGACATTTGACTTACATTTATTGTAATATGGGTCAAAGCATTTGCCAGGATCTACCTTCAAAGTTAATTTGTTTAATATCGATCCCAGTTAAAGGGACAGTCGGCTCCCCAAATCTAAAATGCAAATTCTCTGTCTGAAATGTACTGCTCTTTATTGGTCTCGGTCGTTTTGCTGTGAGCTGCAGAGTGTTAGATAATAGAAATATGTGTTATTGATTTTTGGAGTGAGCGGTCCCTTTTGAAATAAAGTTGTGCATTCGTACACGCACAGACTCACACACCCACACACACGTATATTGAGAGCAGCTTATGGACCCACACAGGGAATTGTACTCCGGGTCCTTTTTGCGACCATATATAGCATTTGACACTTGTTATATATTAAACAATAAATGTATAATGTAACCTGTATTTTTGCGAGCTTTAGAGGCTTGTTGTATTATGTGCAAACATCAGGAATCAGGAAACATTTATTGCCATAATATGTCAGACATACAAGGAATTTGACTTGGCGGTTGGTGCGTAACGGTAGACAGTACGACAATGAACGACTTGACAACAGTGCACGAGGAATAAAATAAAATATAATGCTAAACATGTACCTTTTTTGGACTTGGAGACAAGACACAGAGTAATTTCCAACAATAAAGTCAATCTAATCTGATATAAGATGAATATAATTAAAAGAGATAATACTCACATTAGTGGTGATATATCAAGTCAATTGATTATTGAGGATAGGAATGAAAAATCTGCAACTTAATAAACATTAACAGAATTCTTCAAGCCAAAATGTCATTCATTCTCTAGTTCGAGCCTTTTAACGTTTTTAGGTTTGAATCTTTTAGGTTCTGCTTTGACTTGTGATTGCAGACTGAATATATATTGTTTTAATAAACATCACAGTAATCTCCAAAACTGTATTACGTTGGCGAACCCATCACCGTGACCCAAAGGCAAAAGGGAGACGTGCACCTCAAACAAAGGTCAACTATGCAATGGATGCCCGTTTAAAGCTGAGGATTAACCGTGAAAACGCACTGTTAACTAACGGAAATTATCTAGCGAGCAGAAGTGCCAATTCTGGAATGTGTGATCAAAATGCAGTGCAGCCAAAAACGTTTCCTGAATGGTATCTTTCTGTTTTAGTTGAGTCTCTTTGCGCAATGACACCCTGCCTACACTCAATTATCTAAAAGCACCAGAAGCATTGATTAATGCTCTTAACATTACCAGCGAAAGCGACCTATCCAATCCACAAAGTGTTATTCCACCAGCGTTTTCCAGGGGAAAATATCCTCGGGAGCCCGAGCAGTCCCCTGATATACTGCTCAATAAGCTAATGCTATCTGGCAAAGAAGCACAGCAGCAGCTGGTAAGCTAACATTTCCCATTAGGAATGAATCAGTGCAACTTTTGGGCCATCAAATACTTTTTGGTCATTAGAGAATGAAGGAATAAGGCGATAAAAGTAAAGCCCGTTGTTTTCGATTGATTGATTGATTTTGTGTAGAAATCCGTTCATTCTAGAAAAGTGTGTAGTCTGCAGTTAGGAAGATTGTACATTTAAGAAATAAAAGTCAATCTAAGCATCATGAAGGCTGATTTTGAGTGTTTTATTTCATCATTTGAGGAAAACGACATTAGCTGCTCTCAAATGCAAAAGCATTTTGACAAATGGTGAAAAAGCATCATTGCCTGTGAAAGTCAGGTCACTTAAAGTGCTTTTCCATTTCCTTCACACCTCACAACACCTGACAGCTCTCTGAGCAGAACGGGTCACCTTGAAGTACATTTCACAGCGCTGCTCTTTAGAAAACATTCCACAAATTACACCCTCTCAAAAGGACCTTATGCCTTTATATGAAATTATATTACCATTAGTGGAGATATTCATGTGGATGGTTCAGTACTTGTTACTCAGGTGATCAGAGTGTGCTTCAGCTCGTATCCACAGAGAGCACATTCACGCTGGGTCATGACCTCCTGGCAGCGAGAGCTCGTTTTTAAGATCGGTGTAATGGGAAATAACGTGAAATAAACAAATTGTAAGATTGGGAATGAAAAAATCAAAAAAGTAAAGACATACGGAATTATTGTACAGAAAAAAACAGGACGAGAATTGACATCATAACGTTATTGTCAAATTTCCATCATGTACAGTAAGACTTTTTCTTAGAAGTGTTTGAGAATTAGCATCTGATGACGAGTGTCCCACATCTCTGAGGAAATAATGAGACTGAATTCATAGTCACTGGTGTTTCAGAGCTTTGTTCCTCTTGCTAGTGAGTCTTTGTAAAAAAGTTCAAGAAAAACATGCAGTTAATCAAACTTCCAATCTCTCTCTCTATCGTTTTCTATTCTTCAAGCACACAACACACACACACACACACACACCTACATGCACACAGACACGCGCACAAATGCTGCTTGCCATATTGTTGCTCAGGGAATTTGTGTCAAAACATTCGGTCTCATTACTTTCCTCTTGTCATCTTTCAACGGGAAGCTGTCATTCTTTTGACAACACATACTGTCCAGAATATGCACACATGTACACACACACACACACACACACACACACACACACGCACACACACACATTCAGACACATGTGTCAGCCTCTGGTTTGACTGCAGGCGCCTGTCATGACACTGAAACCAACGTCCGTCCCACTCCACTGGCCTCACAACTTTTGAGGAGCAAATAAAATGCCTCGCTGTCTTCTTTTGTCCACTGTGTACACACACACACACACACACTAACACACACACTAACACACACACACATACATGTACATACATACATGGCTGGGACACTCCTCCATCAAATATTTCTAATATTTATCTTCATTTGCTGTTTTTTTCCCCTCATGTAATTGACAGCACAATATACATTTCGGCACACGCCGAATAGAACCTGTGATGCTGCTGATGATCCACCAACAATTTCAAGTTAACGAGCCCTGAAAAAATGCAGAAAACTCCCACTAACTTAAAGAAAGAGCAGGATTGTCTTATTATAATGAAGTATGATCTGAGTGGGCAGCCATGTTAATTGGATGTCATGGTGCTTTTGAAAAGGCATCTTTGTATTAAGATACTTAAAATGTCTTTTGTTTTTCCATAAATAGGAATAGACAAACCAGAGTTCCGTCCTAGATGTGTGTTATATGCACCAATGACACTACCGACCCACACATGCCGTCAAACCATGGTAGCCCACATTTAGTGAAAACTGTTGTCTCCTGTTGTAAAGATGCTTCTCTTTGTTGTGCTAAAAGTCCTTTGTGTTTATTAATAAGGACAATATAATATTTGTTTATGTGCTTCTGTGATTTTGTTCATTACTTCTTGCAGTGTCTCACCTCGATCCTTCCCTCGTTTATTCATCCTCCTTCCTTTGTTCCCGCAGGCTGCCGTACGCGGGATACTTTGGAGGAGTTTCAGGCCTCAGTAAAAAACAGTTTCTGAAGATCAACGGCTTCCCCAACGAGTACTGGGGCTGGGGAGGGGAGGACGACGACATCTACAACCGGTAAGCCTGGAAACGTCATCTGACAGCTGGGAACGTGAAGAATACTTTGAGATTGCCGCTAAGGAACCCTGAGACCCAACATGCACAGATATTCAAATACATCACTTTTACATTCATTTTTTTTTGGGGCTCAAAAGGAATGGGATTAGCAAAGGTGTGAATGGCTCTGTCAGGGAGACCATTTAGAAGCCGTGTTTCCCTCTGCAAAATAAAAAATATGCCTAACTTCAGAGCGAAGCATAAGACGGAGCCCTGCAGCCGCGCACGGACAGTGAAGCTGGCCGGGTTCAGCCCTCAGAGGATTTGTTTCTAATAATGCCAGCAACGTTTTACTTCACTTGTTGAGATTTACCAGCTAGAAACAGAGGAATCTGGGTTAACTTTGGTTGTTTGATGTAAAGCCTGTGGTGAAATCAAATCTCCGCTGAAGGTTTACGTCGAGTGGATGATCTATTGTAATGGTTCACTGAAGGAGACTCATATTTGTTTGGAAGTGTGCTGAAATATATAGGAAGACGGAAAGATGGCTTAGAACTGCTTAAATGAACCACCTATTGGGCCATTAGTTGCATTTATGCTCTAGTCAGACTGCTGAAAAACATTTTCAGCTATTGTAATGATCTTGAAAAACAGCCAGTTGTAATGATGAATCAGCCTAAAAGGAAAAGAAAAAAACAATGGGGCTCGAGCGCGCTCACAGACACACACACACACTGGTCCAAACTCACGCAGCAGGACAGTTCTTCACAGTCATAATGCAATCTACATCTTTATTGTCCCTTTTCTTCACTATCTGTTTTTTGTACTTGTCTCTGTCTTTGTCCCGCTGTCGTTCTCGCACTGTGAAGCTTATCTTTGTCCGTTCAGAGGAATAGCGTCATGGGAAAACTGAAAATAGAGCATTTGAGAAGCTGTGTTTCAGAGAGTGAGCGGTGTCAGGAGCCACCGCATTCAAGCGATTGCGGTTGTTTGTCAGCGTCTGGACAGATGTGGTAAAAGATGTGTGATTCACTAAATGGAAAATTTAAGTCCTAACTTTTTTATTGGGCGATAGCTGTAGTAAGTCATTAGAGGCTGTAGATTTCCCCCAGGATTCTTTCTACATTGCAAACTTAAGCAATTTCAACTGATATAAAAAGTGGTTGTGAAAAAATAATTAATTCAGACGTTGTTTTCTGCCATGCAAACCTTTTGACTGAGCCGGGTGTACGCTACCCGCCCAGCATGGAACATCAGGGACCTGAAGTGAACATATGTGTGGTGCCCAAAGGTGAACACTCAGACATTGTTTTTTTTTCAGAAATTGGTGGAGACCAAACCTGAAGAAAAAGTTAAATGCAAATATACACTCCCCCCCCCACTCAGCATTCGCCTTGGCGAACTTGTTTTTTTAAGCCTTTCATGGGGCAATCAGACGGGAAATGCCCTTAAAAACACACAATGACAAGCTTTTTGAAGAAAGCTGTGTGTGGATGTAGCTGCGGCCATCAAAGCAAGTGGAATTCACATTTTTCATGTCAAATCATGCGATTGATTTTTGTTATAGATTTCTTCTGATTGTGAAGCCGGTCAGTCAGTCAATCCACTGCTCTGGTTCAGACTCAAACATCTCAACAACTGTTTGATGGATTGACATGAAATTTGGTACAAGGGTTCCTTGTGTTCAGAGGCGGAATCCTAATGACTCTGGTGCCGACTTTTGAGCCGACATCTTTTAATTGATGAATTGATTTAGTTGTCACAATAGCATCACTTTAAATGTTGTATTTACTAGAGATGCTCTAAAGGTTTCTTGGAAACATGTCATTTGGCATATAAAAGTATGACTAATCAACTTCAAAATCTTAGTTTAATAAAACAAAAACAACCAATTACTCAATTAGAACCAACTACTCAGTAACAGACACGAGTGTGGATGAGAATCACGTATATTTGGTGCAGATATTATCGTCTGGATTATTTGTTAATTATTTTTGCTATCATCAGATCAAAATTGTTTTGGTCTTTAGTGCAATGTAGCAATTGTATCTAGCACATTTCAACATAATTTTAATGGGATCTTATGCTGAAATCAGTCTCAACGGTCGAAGCCGTGGTGACGTGCAGAGGAGAGGAGGGAGTCTCCAGGCGATTGAACTAACATGCCCACCAGCAGTCTCTCTGGACCCAGGAGTAAAATAAAGTAGATGAGGGGAGAGAACCAGGATAGAGAGATGAAAGATCAGTAGAAAGATCGGGGAGTGTGTCGCCCGTATTATCTGTGCTCTGTTCTCTTTTGTTGAAAGGTAGCAGCGTTCACTTGTTTGAACAATGCAATCCGGCGATGTTTCCAACAGCCTGGTGCCCATCAGCCTGGTGCCCATCAGCCTGGTGCCCATCAGCCTGGTGCCCATCAGCCTGGTGCCCATCAGCCTGGTGCCCATCAGCCTGGTGTCCATCAGCCTGGTCTCCAACAGCCTGGTGCCCATCAGCCTGGTGTCCATCAGCCTGGTGTCCATCAGCCTGGTGTCCGTCAGCCTGGTGCCCATCAGCCTGGTGCCCATCAGCCTGATGTCCATCAGCTTGGTGTCCAGTCAAAGTGTCTTCGTACAAAGCACTGAACCTCCATCTGCTTATGCTTTGAAAGCTACTCTGAAAAACAACTAAAGAGCAAAATTGCTCTTTTACTCTCTACTTCAGCATCACTCTCTCTCTTTTTCTCATTTTTCTGCACCTCTAACTCTTCTTGTCTCTTTTTCTATCTCCGTCTCTCGCTTCCCTCCAGCAATTTCCTTTTTATATGCTGGTTTTGATTCAATAGACCATGGCAAGACGACTGCCTGCAATGAGTCCTGCTAGCTCAATGCCTGCCCGCGGGACTATCTGTCCCCGCTTCTCAGTGTGTGGCCTGAGCCCTTGGCGAAGAGGACACATGCCACTTATATCCCACCCCTCTCTAAAATGTTGGTGGACATAAAGGAGTTAGAAGGAGGCAGGTGAAGGGCTTCACTCTCACCATCCTCTCAACCTCTCTGAGCATGCAGCAGTAGCTGTGGGCAAATATGTCCCAGTGGTTTCCATGGCGGACCAGCTATCAACACACACAACAACAACATCTCTCTCTCTTTCGATGCTCCCTATCCATCGTCTTTGCCCTTTCCTCCTTCCTCGCCCTGAACCTCCCAGCGGTGCCTTTCAACAGAGCTTGAGCCAGCATCATGCCCACATGCAGCCGCTGCAGCACGAGGACCGCACGTGTTTCTGTGAAGCCTTGACAATGGTGCAAGAGTCAGAGTATTTTGGGGCTTAACGATCGCACGGCCAGGTTGTGGAAGTCTGCACCCACGGGGTCTCGTCAGCAAACAGGAGCTTTAAATCAATTTTTGACTTATTTTAATGTGTTTTGTTTTTCTTTTCACCTCATGGACAAGTCATATTTTAAGGATTAAAAAAAGAACAATAATAGGCCTCATTGAGAGGGGCCAATACACATTAAAAACAATACTGGATTGATACTTAAAGAAGCAACAATGTAAATACCTAATTGGATAATTCCTTTTTTTAGCATATAATCAACAGAGGATATTAGTCTACCTGATTACCTCATGGATGCATTGGACGTATTAAGCGTGGTAGTGCATTAGCCACATGTTATCATGAAAAATCCTTACTATATGAGGATTGCAGCCTGGCATACTGACACCGTGAGATTTGACTGACAGTGGAAGAGGTTTTCTCTGCATGGCCTGTCATTCACATGTTCGCAATAGTTGAACTACCTTGAACTTTTCCCCCTCTCACTGTCACAGTGCTGAAGGCCGTTATTTACCTTATTTTTATTAACAATACCTGCTGAAATGAAATGAAACTTTCAATACAACAGTCAGAAGTGAAGTTGACACAGAAGAGAGCACCCGCTTGATATCGAAGTGGAGTTGATGGAGGTGAAGACAGGAGGACGGAGGACAGAGGTCGCAGCGAACAGAAGGAGCCGTGTGAACGGTGTTATCCCTCCAGCATTGTTGTTAATTAACGTTGTTGATCATTTGGTGGTTTTAAACAGACAGAAGGCTGGCTTTGTTAGCTAGCTAGCTTGTCCGACCTTCAGAGCCATCTTGTTACCTGGGATGTCCCCCTCCTGTCCTCCTCTGGTGATCAAAGTGGTCTCCTAGCAACGAGAAATCAGGCCCAGGGACCATTAGACCCAGTGCGGCCGCCGGCTAGTAGGCCCCAGTGGGGCTCATCTTCTGTAACCCGTGTAGTGTGAAAACATGTTGGATTTTAACTATAACAAAAAGCATTGCCATCTCGAGATGAGTTACCATTTTGTTATGGAACATTTTCTGTGACCTGTGTTGCATGAGGTTTGAAAGCTAGCAAGTAGCTAGCTGAATGCTAGTTACCTTGCTAATTCCACCATGCTATAATGCTACAATAAATTAGCCTTTTTGCAGGCCTGACAAATGAGGAGGTTAGCAGGAGGCTAATTTATTTCTCTTCCTCTCTGTAACGGTAACTGGCGGTTTATCATAACAAATGTATGCAATATTGCTATTGGCACTCAACAACACTACCAGATTACATTTTTGATGTGTAACTTTAGCCCACCACTCTGAAGTGATTTGTGTTTCGCCTCCAGCCTTTCCTTTGCTCAGCCTCCAGCTAACACCATGATGTAATTAGGCATTGCCTGAAAACGGCCTCCGTGTACTGTACGGGAATAATGATACAAATCTGAGGTGTGGGACTTTCTATCTTGACTACTTGTAGGCTATTCGGTGATCCAAAATATGCACCTTTATTTGACTACTTTCCTCCAACACTAAGGTCTATTCCTACTTTTTGTCACAGTATTGAGGGCACAATAATGAAGGACGCACTTGCTGAAGTCTCATTTAAGGCAGTCGAGGGAAGGCATCGTAAAAGGTGGAATGTGCTCAAGAGGGAAATAAGAAGCGGGTGCAGGTAAAGCAGTGCAGACGGGGAAGGATGACAGAGGGAGAGGTGCACAGAAAGGAAGCACTGAGCTGACGGTATGCTTAGCAACGTCAGGCGCAGTCCACAGATGTCCACTGTCTGTCATTCATGGGTTGCCGATTTCAGTGCATGTTGTGAATGGCAGTAAGTGGTATTTAACTTCTATAGATTAATAGAAAAAGAAATATGTTGGTCGTACATATACACGTACAATATTTCTAGAGCACAACAGAAAAGAGCTACACACATCAAAATAAAAAAAAATGAAATACTGACTGATGAAAAGTAAAAGAACAAACACAAAAAAAGGTAAACAGATGGGATTTTGAGCTGTCTTTTAAAGGAGCGCACAGCTTGTCAAATCATTATGCTCACACATGTTAACAGCATCGAATGCTGAAACACAAATTAAAGAAAGTATTTGTTTGAATATTCCATCATTAACACTTTTACTTAATTAACTTTCTCCTTGTGGGATTTGTCATCCGTTGCATTTTTTTTAGAAATAATTATTATCATTCAAATGGGTTACAGTGTCATTAACCTCGTAAACAACCATTTTATTAAAGCGCACAATCTTTAACTCTGAATATGAAAACGTCAAAAGGCAATTTGTGCAGCATCCAGATGTGTCCCCTCTGACAAAAAAATCTTTCTCCAGTTCACGCCCGCCTCATTTTTCGATTACTTTCTTCTCTCTGCTGTGCATCTTCCAGCCCTCCACCGCCGTCATCATCATCACCACCACCACCACCACCACCCACTCCTCCCCATCTAATTTCTTCAGGCGAAGAGAACTGAGGCAGGACATCAGACTTAGCTCCCAATTCTCCTCCACACCATTGCTCTAATGCAATTAACTCCACTGGTGGGAATAGAAGAGGAGAGCGGGAGAAATCCCTGATTAATCCAATCAAATAGGTCCGTGGTGTGTGTGTGTGTGTGTGTGTGTGTGTGTGTGCGTGTCAGGGTGTGTGTGTGTGTTCTGCCTCAGGCTGCTATTGAAACTTTTTCATGGCAGACCATATTAGCGGGCGGAAATTTGAAGTGCAAGAAAGTCCGCAGTTTTTCAAACGGACAAGGTGCCTCTGTTAGTTAAGTCGACCACGGCCGTTTAATGGATTCTCTCTGGGCGTCTGACTGTAGCTGCTTTATTGAGCCCTTTATTCTACCAACGACCAGAATAATGTCTCAAAATAAAACAGTCACTTGTACAGTTTCACGGCTTCAAGGTTGCCATGATGAATACAGTGTGCTTCCTGTGAGTGTTTCACAATAAAAGCCACTCTGCATTTCACCCATTGGATTATTTTACTTAACAAACAGCAGCAGTATGAAATGGTTTGCATTCATAATTATACTTACTTATATTACATCTAGAGTTAAAGTCAGAGTAATGTCTGACATTAAAGATATAAAATGAAAAGCATGTTGTGATTAAAGCAGCCTGTTTGGCAGATGCATTGATGGATGTATTGGAAACAAAACTGGATTTTGTCCCATAATAAACCATTTTGTTTTTAAATGGCCACCAGCGTTTGGTCAAACTCTCCCAGCCGTTGGACACACATGCTATAACAGATATAATCTAGATCCAAGGAGTCGAGGAAACCAAATAAAATACTCACTTTCGCTTCTATCATAAGTCAAAACACTTGTGGGGTTTTTTTTCTGTCAGGTGAAGGATACTACAGCACGGTGCTAACCACCACGCCGCCATGCCACCCTGTTCATGGGTCCTCCTGTCAGAAACGTTCCCCTACAGCGGATGATTTCACAGTAGCCACCCACCTGCTGCGTTTGGGTGGAGGTGGCTGTCGAATGTGTCGGCTCCGGATTGTATTCATCACACAGGGGAACGCCGAAGCTTTTCATCCCGCATCCCCACTGTATCCCCAGTGTCCTCTCCCTTACGCGATATTCACACCACGCTGTCACGCCGCGTTACTGCCGACTGCCTGTCACAGTTGTAAAAGTAATGAGTGTGCTGATGTGTTGCTGGTGTTGAGTGTTGAGTAAGTGTGTCTGTGTGTGTTTGTTGGCGCTCCAGCTGAAGTTTTGGTTTGGCCAGAGACACAATCCTCTGAAGGAGAATGAAGAGAAGTCATTTGATTGGTTACTTCACGGCGCGTTACGACACACCCCATGTGCACACACAAGAAGGCCTTTACAAAAGCACACAACTCTGAGGTGGCTGTTTCTTTTACAAAGTGTCCCCCTATAACCAAACAACCTCTGTAAGACAAGACAACCCGCTGCTCCATTTATCAAACATCATGTGAAGATTTGTGAGTGTGCGTGGAATTACAACCACACTTCTTTGCCTCTCGTCTGTTCCTTTTGACCAGCGTTTAATCATCACGCAAAGTCTCATATCGACAGATGATACAAAGTGTTTCATGAGGCCATAAAAGAGGTACATCAATGCAGCGCTGATGCTATTGTACACGAGCAGACACACTCTGATCAACTTATATTTGAGAAGCCAGAAAACTGTTTCCCATTTTCTCTGAGGATTATATGCTGGATGCCAATGTTTGATAACACCGCGGACGCCTGAAATATTTCTATCTTGTTGACTATTGCTTCGGAAGTGTGAGCGTCTCCCACTCTAAAGATAATAGTGACTGATGGTTTGCTGAGGACATCTCTGCCGCTCCAAAAAGCCTCATCAAAGTCAAAAACAAATAGGCCTCTGCAGCAAACAACGAAACAAACAAATCTTTCAATCTGCGCTAAATATATTTTAGTGCTCTGCGTCTATATAAAGATACAGAATCACACGAACTGCCACAGTGGGGCCCGTTCACTGTGCAGAGCGTCGGGCCACAAAGAAGATTATATTAAAGATGCAGAAGTGTGCATAATGTATTACTAAGCTCACAACTGTGAAACGCTGGCTCGCTCACCCTCACATCATTTGTTTCATAATACATTTCTAAATTATGCAAATGCCTCGCATGTGCGCACGGAGACACCGGGAAAGGAAATCATCTATGCATGTGTCACGTCAGCAAAGTCACTGAGACGTTAGGGAGACACAGAGAGAGAAGGGTGAATATGTGCTAATAGGTTTTCTGAATCATTTATACATGGGCGGGTTGTTTTTAAGGAGTTTGGCTTTCGTCTCTTCCGGGTGGACGTGCTTTCGCCGGCAGAGGCCACATTCGGGTTTATTTACATCTCACTGGTTTCTAAAGAAGAGGCGGGAGGAGCGAGGCGCAAAGGAGAAGGAAAGGAAGAATGCGAAAAGAGGAAAAGACGAGACGCTGCGGCCTGAGAGGGACGGAGGGGAGATGAAGAGGGACGGAAGGAAGGCAGCTCAGAGCAGCATAAATACTGAAATACAAGAAAATAATAACCCAAGATGACTGGAGTAGTTGGACAGTTATTTGCGGTTAGCTTAGCCTAGCATGCAGTCGGGGACACCGGCTTGTCTGGCCTCCATCCAAACCTCAAAAGCATCTCCATCAACATGGAGTCAGGAGGTGATTAGCTCAGCTTAATTTAATAGATATAACCTTCTGTGTCTTCTTCAATATTCCTCTATGAAGAGATTCACCCTAAACCCTCAAATATGTCCCTTAATGCGGCATTAGAATACTTGCTCCTGCCAAGAAAGGCGGAATCTTTGACATCGCACATCAGCAGTAATAGCTTTTAACCTCGGGTAAATATTTGGTATCTGCCCTCGGCGACCCACAGCAAAGACGAGAGGCGGGAGAGACAGGAGGGGGTAAAGAGACGGAGGTGAAACGGGGGAATGGAGGAACAGAAAGCGAAGGAAGATAAAGAGCTGAAGAGGAGGAGGCGAGGCCTTTGGAGAACAGAGGAGGCATTAGAAGTGCAGGCGAGCAGTTGTTGAGAAGTAATATCAGGCATGGATGCTTTTTAAGCGCAGAGACTTCACGAACTAGAGCTTTGCGACAGAGAAGAATGCGCTCCACGCAAACACGACTCCTTTATGTCACCGCAGGTACGAAGAACCACAAAACAGATCTGCTTTTGTTGCCCACACTCCATTTGCTGTAGCATTAGATACAAATCTCTGTGCAGATTTCCCCTTGTATTGTATTTTAATAGTAATGCGTCGTACCCATCGCGTGTCTTCAGTTGTGATCTCGTGCTTTGTTTAAATAACAAATCCTCGTCTTCCTGCTCAGCTCGTGTCCTTGCGAGTTCACAGCTCCTGGAGTTGGATCATTTGTTTCTCTTGGTCTTATAAAAGGCTGTGATTAGATTTTTGTCTTATTTTATATATCTTATGCAGCTTTTCCAGTAAAAGCCCAGGCGGAGTGCCTCTGTTTGTTTGTTTTTGTGTGCCTCAATGTTTGCAATGTGTTGTGTTCAGGGCAGTGATCCACACGACGAGCCGTGTGCCATGAGCAGCTGTGGAAGTGGCATTAATAGATGAGTTTTAATCACCTGCAGACTCTTTTGGGGTACACCAACGCTAATTTACCGTTAAAGTATTTTTTCTGGCAAACATGTCCAGGTGCTGTCCTCTAAGTTGTGTTGATTTTCAACTGTTTTTTAATGTTTCTGATCCTAAACTGGAAATGGCAGAACAATCAACAATGAAAGTATGCACATTTCTTGTAGCCCTATTAGTTTGGGCTATAGGAACTAGTGATTGCATTTCTTTCTATTTAATTAAATTTTAGACACTCAATGAATAATCAATCAATTTGACAAAACGGAATCTTAAATGTTAATGAAGATAATGATTATTTTCAGCCAAAATTAATTTCTTATTGAAACCCCAGAGGGAACTCCCTCTCCCCTCTTGATTCTCAGTTTACCATTTTTCTAAATGCGTTTCTCCTGGTTTTCTCTCTCTCTCTCTCTCTCTCTCTCTCTCTCTCTCTCTCTCTCTCTCTCTCTTTAACCGATATTGTGTCGTGTGTGTTGCAGGATCACTCTGAACGGGATGAAGGTGTCGAGGCCAGACGTTCGCATCGGTCGCTACAGGATGATTAAACACGAGAGAGACAAACACAACGAGCCCAACCCACAGAGGTACTGCATCATTGTCCAAACGCGTTCTCCTGCCTCGCATTTGGATCGATAGCGCCGATGTTGTCTCGTAGCTGCACAGTACCACAGATTTCTATCCAACTTTTCTTTCCGTATGAGAGAATTCTGATTAGTTTGCACTGCAAAGAGCTCACTGTCAATAATAAGGATAACAATACATATTATTATGTATTATAATTAGAGTTAGCAATGAATGAATAAACCAAACAGTAAAAAAGGGTATTTTAACTGTTAAGTAGTGATGGTTCTATGTCCTTTTTTCAGTATTTCTTGTTTCAAATAAACATTTTGCACATTCACACCTGCGAGCTGCGTATTGGGCTCCTCATAGGAAACTGAAAGTGAAATAATAATAGAATGTATTTGTTTTATTATACTATTTGGCTAATCGCATAACAGGCTGTTATTAGTACACAAGGTAGATGGATTTTCAAAATACAGACGTCATGGACTAAATTTTCTTACATTTTCTTCCTTTATTTATTTAATCCTGAATCCTTACCACACAAAAACTACTAATATCACTATTGCTTTAACTGCTATTTAAAAAAACAAGGACGAAGAGAAGTGAGAGAATAACGCAAGACAAAAAAAATCTCTCAAAGTTGTCTGGGACGGATATTAAAGACATCAACCACAACAGCAGACCACCGCATTGGAAGATTAAAAAAAATCCAAGGACAAAATATTTTCAATAAACCAAAAACTGTTTTTCAGAGATACAGCTCAGGGCTTAAATGTTGCTCTCTTGGCTTCACCCATTAAAACGACTTTTCAGACGAAAGGTTAAAAATGCTTCCTCCATAAATGTGCTATTTTATGAGTTTGATGAATGAAGCGCAGAATGCCGAGACGAGCCCTTCTAGACACGTTAATCACCAGGAGTGTAGCGCCTCGCATTAAGCTGCTTAAATGTGGATTATCACTGTTTATTCTCCGTTCTCATGGCTGGATTGAGACGGACCAACGGCGCTTCTCAACACCACCAACGTTGCTACGGCCCGGGGCGGAGGGAAGACCACGAGTGTGATCTCTGTTCCTGCTTTCAACATCGTTGTGTTTTGATCTCGTGTGACAGCGTTCACAGTTGAGGTCTAGTTTAGACGTTGCTCTAATACTCTGTGTAAGACGATTAAAACTAAAGTCATGTGCAAAGGCAGTGGCAGCCAAAACAGCATGTGGCATGTTTGATTTGAATTTGGCATACAGCCACTGAACATATGCCGTGTGAGTCCCATCATGGAGGGTATGTATTACGGGGGGTTTGAACATTGCAATTCGGGTGTAAATTTACGTGAGATGTATTATATTTTTGAATTTTTCACTTTGTTATCCAATCGCACACTTTTCTGACCAACTTTACTGGCTTTGCATGATTGTGTTTGCCGCACAACATCTTACTCTCATTCAGCGTTCTTCAAGAGGCGCATTCACCCGCACAACATACACACGAGTGCGCACTCAAAAGACCCTGAGATTCCACCCTGTTATACGGCTGTAGACAGTAAGAAAATTAGCTCAATGAAGAGTTTGTGAATGAAAACGACAAACAACCATCTGCTGAACGTACTAAAAGATCTCTGAATGTGATCCAACACCTTCAGATTCACATCTTTGAGAAAAAAAGTCCTGCCTAATTCTTGGTCTTGCATGTATGAACCTTATTTTTTTGGATTCATTGACCCCAATTTGTACACGCACGTGTTGTAAGAAACCAAATCAACCCATTTCACCTGCAACGAGCTCCCGCTGAAACCGCCGCTGAGCCAGACACCCCAGTGTGAGCCCTGTAAAAATAACAATCCACACTCTCAAATGGCAGCGATAACGTCAAAGTGACAATGACCAGAGTAACAAGGCCCGTGTAAGATGTCATCCGTCATTGTTGTGTGTGTGCAACAGCGTGTGTCACAGAAAGAGAAAGATCTAACAGTAATTGCTTGCTGTAATGACGCCAGCTGAGATGGGCGAAGGCCAGGTCAGGCTAGTCAAGGAGCCGTCATAAAAAATCAATAAACCCCCCTCCCCCCCTCCACCCTCTAGACTGAAGTAACGCGTGCGTGAGTGTGTGTCTGTGAGCTGGGTACTCACTTCCTGTTTACCTTCTGGTCTGTGGATCAGACCCCTTTAATAAGAGGTGACACCGACGGGGACGCTATTTATTCTGAGCCGATGCATTATTCATAACTGTTGGCGAGGGGCAGAAAATAGCGGCCTAATAGTCGGATCAAATTTCTTTTTTACAGCCCTTCTGGCCATTTATTATAACGTCTCGGAAGTATTGGCTTTAAGGCCTTTTTGAAAATAAGTGGTTACCAGGTAAACCATGGCGGCTCAGAATAATCAGAGGGTTGTAAAAAGGGGGATTGGACATCTCACGGGGGAGAGAAGGGTTGTTTCCAACAACGTCGTGTTAAGATCATTGACCAATTACAGAGCTGGGGAGGTGGTAATATTCAGGGAAAATCTGTATTTACAAAGAAAAACGCACAAATTTGCAGGATGCTCCATCATGCACGCATCCATTCTCATCCACTTAGGTAGTTGTGTCGTGTTCCCGCGTGCTAGCGTGGCATTAAGGGCTAATAGGGGCTATTAGCTGTTCCCAGACTTTGTATTCCAGCTGATTTTTACTTCTTTTAACCACTTCTTTACGTTTTCATTGATCACAGTGTTCAAATCTTGTTCCTTCCATCCGCACGTCTATCAACACACACCACTATTTTGAATGCCTCGAGGAAATTTACTCCAATATGGACCCACCTGTTTAGATCCTGGAGGTCAAAGGTCAACGCCACCGTGAACTCATCAAACACGTTCCACTGCTCAAGACGACCGTAGGGGTTACACGGTAACCACATGTCTGTGAAGAAGAGAAACCTCGGCCCTGCAGCAACAACCCACCACCGTTAAGAACAGCGTTGCAGGCTGAGCACACAGAGGCCGCTCTTTGTCTTCAGGTCGTGTTTGTGTTTGGATTCAGATTAACGATTGAGCCGTTCGGGAGAGTTTATCTGGAGTCCCTGCATAATGTCCAGCTCTTACCGAGGGAGGCGTTGTCTTGACTGTTTGATGAATGCTCACTATCTGCTTTGCATACACACACACGGATATACATACACGTGCATCCACGTTCACTCGAATGTGCACACGCTCTCTCCCAAGAGTCTGTTCTCTCGGCCCTTTCAGAGATGCTGGTTAGGCATAGCAATGAGATATTGGTCCAGCGGAAGTAAAGAATGAGGCACATTCATCACCAGCCGCAAGTATCGCTTTGCACACACACACACACACGTATAGAAAATGGCGCTTCATGTAGCTCGGTAAACATTTTTAATATTCCGTTCATATGTTGTCATCCTTGGACTGTGCAGATACTGAGTGTGTGGGTTGTGTTTGCTGTCCACTGTAAAACATTATTTACCATTAACCCAACTGCTCTATATAAGATATCCAGGGCATTATTATAGCAGCAAAAAGTAAAACTCTATCTCCACCTGGGTCATTTTTCTTTGCTCGGGAGTTTCTCGGCTCACGGTGAACATTTTTTTTGGCAGAGGCATCCAACCACAAGGAGGTAAATCTAGTCGCCATAGAAAAATCTACTTAGAGGATATTGCTGCCAAGCTAGCAAGGTTACGAAAAAGGCCCTTTGTCACCTGCAGCCCCGTTCGTCCGTCACATGACCCTCACTCTGCAGGAGGCGGCGGTCTGCCAGATCCACTCCGGATTAAACAAACGTGTAGGAACTAGTGGGCCTTACCTTTTGGAGAGCGAGCCCCGCCGCCACATGTCCCCCCCCCCATGCGTCCCGTCTCTGTGCCGAGTTGAGCCGAACGAGCCGCTCGTGGCATTATGTATTTATAAATATGAGAGTGGTATCAATCTTCTCATCCCGAGACGCAAATTAGCGCGTCTTCCCAAAATGTCGAGCTGTTCCTTTGAGATGTTTCCCACCACAGGGTCAACTCAAAATACACCCGAACAAAGTGAGCCTCAGTAGTTGGCGTGACGAGCTATTGTTGAGATGTTTTCCTGGGAGACCCTCGGTGCAATTAAGGAGCTTTACTCTGGAAATCAGGCTAATTAATATGTAACGAGAAATGTCTCCGTCTCGCCCTCCGTAATGAAAGTAGGACCAGTAGGGTTGAAACGATACAGATAATATCCACACATGCATTTCATATCCTCTCCATGTATGTAGGGATTAGTCCACTGCTCTTAATCCCTGCCATTTGATAGATTTATCCAAAGAATTCCCTTTATTTTTAATATCAGTATGTCTTGCTCTCTCCATCTGTCCAACTCTCTTGTATTATCTTGTGTATTTCTCTCCGCTGCCGTCCTGCTCTCGTTTCAGTTCAGCTGCCTGCTTCTCCTCCTTCCTTCCCGTCCTTGCATCGTCTCTTGAACTGTTTCCCCTTCCTTTATTGGATAGAAGCGCGTTATATCGTTCAAGGGAAAGACGCCTGACAGCATCCTCCCTGCGAGCGCTCATGCCATAAAGGCTCTTTTTTTAGACGGAAGGAGAAGGCCACGCGGAGGGAGGAGGGAGATCTCCACCCCCCCCTCCTCAGTTTTACAAGGCCGCGTAGACTCAGTGGTTCATGTCGGACTGAAGTGTCGACTGCATTTTTTTTAATCTCCATCATTGAGAGGCGACTTCTTCTTACGATGGTGCTTTTAAGACGGCTTTGTAAGGAGGAATCTGCAGACCCATGAACGGTGTGGCCTCGTTTCCATCCTGATGCGGCTACGCGGGGGGACAGAGGTTTGTGTTGCCAATCTGTTTCGTTGCCTGAGGTCACTCCCCGATCTGAAACGAAGAACGCAGCAGCAGCAGCAGCACTGCTGTGTAACTGTCCGACACGCCGCGTGAATTCCTTTCCCATCTTAAATACCAAAATCAGAGCAGATTCTGATGTAACTGCTGAAGCGCAGCCAAAGGGGTGGAGGGGGGGTGGAGGATATTCCATCGTAATTCAAACAAACCGAGGCGGATGGGATGGATAACGCTGCTCGCTGAGTCACAGGGCGGCGCTGTGGCTCCACCTGTTGGGCGAAATATACACACTAAGACCGGAGGAAGGAACGGCTTAGCTGGAAGGGTTTGTGTAAACATCAGGCTCCTGTCAGGGTTCAAATATTGATCCATCAAGATTCTTGCCGTAAATTGAGTTTTGGTCTCATTGTAGATAACCGACTAATTTTGATCTCTTCAAACACTTCTTCCAATACCAACATGTGCCTGTATTATTAAACTGTTCTTTTCCTTCATCGTTGCGTTCTGTTTTTTTACGAATGACGACCACAGTTCTGGAATTACTTTTTTCTGCGTTCCTGCATAGTTGTAGATTTAAGAACTCGCTTCCTGGTTACCGAAAGACAAAATTAGAGGAGAAAAAAAATCTATTCATGCTTTTTTTCCTTGATCTTTTTTTCTTATTAATAGTTGAATGTTTCTTGCTTTGCTGGTATATGACAAGAAACAGCAAAGTCTATACAGGGAATGTTACAATGCTTCAGAAAGCTTCAAAAAATCCAGATTTGACTGGATAGTTTTGTCTGTGGTGTTTTTAAACTCATCTTCTCTCTCTTCCTTTCTTCTTCTTTCCGCCTCCAGGTTTAATAAAATCCAGAACACCAAGAACACGATGAAGAAAGACGGCATCAGCTCCCTGACCTACAGACTGGTTCAGGTCAAGAGGTACCCTCTGTACACAAACATCTCCGTGGAGATCGGCAAACCACCGCCCCGGCCTATCAAGGGCTAGAGAGGGGGAGGAAGACGAGGGCGACCGCGCAGGGACGAGAAGAAGAGCGCTCTCACCATATCCTGAACATCAGGAAGGATGCAGCAGTGGAAGATAGAGGGAAAGCATCAAGCACATCACGTTCTCTTTCTCCCTCTTTTTTTAAGATTTCAGCTTGGCGTTTCTTTAGCCGGGACTCGGGGTTCGCGCTTCCCACCGTCACCAACGTGTGACTTCAGAACTTTGAAGGCCGTGGACCGGAGCTCAGCGTCCTCGAATTTCGGAAGCTGAAACTCAGTCTTTCCGTTCACAGCTTTCTGTAAACTGGAGGCCGTCCGGAGGAATATCCAATGCCGAGGGGAAATATTGTCAATATGACGATTTGAAAAGGTTCTTCTGACCTGTTCTGAAAGACGGCATCGAGGGGGGGGGACTACTTGACACGGGTCTTGACACGTGGACTCGTGCTTGATGCAGCGCATATCAAAGAGACCATCCGACTCTTCATCTTTTCTCTTCACACGTGAGGATGGCAGACAGTTTTAATGATTGACTCATTCAAATCCTCCGGTTATCAGTCAACAGAATGTGTAGTGTACCTGTATCTACAGTACGGGGACACGCCGATGAAACATGTTTGCCAGCGGGGACAAACTTTTCGGAACGGGAACTTACTTATTGGCGTGGCGAGAACGTTTAGCGGGCTGCAGACGCGAAGGGTTTCCTCCTGTGCTGAATGCGATGATGTGGAACCACCTCGGGGAGTTAAATAGAGGAACTCAGCAGATTTACACTGACAGCTCAGTCGTGATCTCAATGGTTTCTGGAAGCGTTGTTTTTTTGTTTCACTTCACTTGAAGAAAGATGAAGAGGTTTATTTTGGTAATCTGGGCTTTTTGTCTCTGTAAAGCGCAAATGGCCTGAGGTTTATATTCATATTCCTTAATGTAAAGATTTGATTGAGTACAAATATGTGTTTTTCATTAGAAGTTACCGCCTTTTCTGAACATGAATCGGGCGGAGAAGAGTTAAACTGACATACAATCCACAGACAAGACCTTCAACTTCTATCGATATGGTTTCATTTGTCATTCGTGACATTTTCTCTCTCTGCTCTTTTCGCTTAAATCTTGGAGGAAAAGGCGATCATGAAAAAAGGGAATTATAGGGTGAACGTTGTGAATTCCGGGGCACCAATGGGAAGTTATCGTTTGAGTAGTTTGGCCTACGTCTCGGTTGCTGCCTCAGATTCTATCATCATCGGCTCTTTATTCAAATAGATTTTATCACACTTTTTCATGAATGCCGGTCCCATTTTTTTCTTCTTTTGTCTCGGAAAAGTTTCCCCGTGTTGGAAAAAAGGCCGTTTTTCCTCTACTTTTGTCGCCTAAACACCAAAGTGATGCCTTCGGAAGTGATCTACACTGACGTTACTTTTTATTTAAAGGTCATTTTAGGGAGTGAATTCAAACAACGTGAGGATGTGTGCTTTAAGATGCATAATACAGTAACAAACCAATATTAGGTACTTAACAATTATATTGAAATGAATTAACCCGACCCCGGCTAAGCGGTTGCAGATGAGATGAGTGTTAAAAAGAAACATCTATTTGTTAAACATTTGTGTCCAACGCCTGTACCTATCATTTTTGTACCAATTATCTTTCATTCACAACCATTTGGACTATTTTAGTAAAAAATTGTGTTTGCTCGATTTCCCCTTTGGCTTGCCTTCAGGCTAAAATCCCCGTGTTTCCATCTATTTGGCTCCTCGTTATTTCCATCCGAAGCCTTTTTGATGGTTTCATTACTCTTATCTCATACACGCACAAAATCACGCCCTCCCCCTTTTTTCTCTGCATTATCTCGCCTTTCATTGCCTTTTCCTTTCAGACTCTTCCAGTCCAGACAGACGGTGTTGAATGAACCAAATGCTTCTTCTTCTCTCAGTAGATATATCGACAGGGCACCTTTGTGTCTCTGAATCCGTGCCGCTTGCTGTACTCGGTTCATAAAATCGCCTTTTTCTCCCCGTCTCCCCGACTCCATCCGAGTTCTGCTTCTCCGTTTCACCCTGCGTTGAGACCCTCCTGGTGGATCGGGTGTCCTCAGGGAGCAGGCGACCTACGGAGAGGTCAACGCCATCCCTGCGGTGTACAGCATGCCACAGGTTCCACTCCCGGGTTTGGGATTCTGATCAGTTTGTGATGCAGTCAACTTTTTTTTTCCAGATACATTTATTCATAGTTCTATAATTTACCGGTTGATTTGAAATCGTTGTCATCTGTACACAGCAGGAAAACGATGTTTTCTTACAGTATTAAAACACTGGTGAATTAGTGCTTTACTTTCATAAAGTTGGATAACTTGAGAAAAGAAAATGGGTTCCACATTTCCCATAATGCAGCCGGACAGTGTTTCTCCAAGAGTTTATAAAGTGGCAGAAGCTGCATTGGGACCTTTAGACCTGGACGGACATGAAACTAAAGAAACAAAAGACGTGCGTCAACCTGCGCTGCTCGCACACCAACAGACGAGAGGATTTACGGTTACTCTATTGAGAAAGCTGATTTTCCAATCTTCATGTTAAATTAATTCATTTGTGATTTTCGGCAGAAGTTATCACAACATTTGCTACGTTGACGTCTGGTTCAAATGTGGTAAAATGACTGAATCTTCCTCCTCCTAAGCAAAACCCCTCCAGCTTATGAAGCAGGCCTTCTAAGGTCTCCTGGCCCCGGCTGATAAAACCCAGAGGAACCTGACTTCTTTTTGCAGAAGACCTCGTGCAGCGGTTTTCACCGGCTGAGCGGTGCAACCTCAACCTTTAACTTTGAAAATGAAGACAATTCCCTCATGCTAATTAGTCCGAAAAATAACAGGAAACCTTAATGAGGTCGGTGGCGTTAGGAAAGGTGAATCTACTGGAAACAGCGAGAGGAGGTCCCGGTGTGTGCAGAGAGAAACGGAGGTCAAAGGTCAGCAAAGATAGTATTTGAAAGGTTTCCTTTACTTGAGAGTAAGAACTACCGCGAGGAGCTCTTGTTGTTTCTTAACGGGCTCTTGACTCGTCGTCGTGAAGTTATCAAAGCGCTTCTTCAAATACGTTTTTTGCTGCCAAGCTGACCAGACTTTCATGCCGACTGGGCATTTTTAAAAATTTACTGTATCTATAGCTATGTTTTTTTTTGTACATTGAATGTTAAAAATGTTATATCTTAAACAGAATGCATTACATCATATCAAACCTACTTTTTCTATACAATCAATAAATCTGATGGTTAAAGATTGTATGACGGTGTTGCCAGTTGCTTTCTGTGTGCGTTTGTCTTTCATCCCATTACTGAGGAACACAGCGGATGGATGAATGAAAACGTCATAATTGTTTTTTTGTCTGCAGGTTGAGCTAATCCCAGAACCAGACCCTGTTTCCTGTTGCCAGGCAACCGACATAAACCTGTTACTGTTGTTTCCCTGTGATCCCAGTGACTTAGTGGACCGAAATGCCAAGCCCCCGTTTGGATTACCTTCGGCTTAATTTCCTATTCTTTGATCTCCCCTTTCATGCTACAAAGTAACGCTTTCCCCCCTTTGCGTTCCACTTATTGTTTAATTCTTTTGACTTTTATGCGGGGAGTCTCCTCAGAGCCAAACTGGTCACAAAACTGTTCAAGTAAAATGATGCAACTCAAGAAATAACACAAAGTGAGACATTTTTTAATGTTTTAATTTGGAATATGTTAAAGGACACCGGGCCACATTACCAGCGTTCCACAGTGAGTGATTTATGAGGGTATTTTTATATTGGTTCCCTTTTGTGGTTGAAAAAGATGAGTTCAACATGTTGGGCTTTTTCTCCACTGCATCTGTGCAGTGAATATGGTTAGTTTCATTAGCGTTGACAAGAGGCCGGCTCGCCGTTTCCAGCCGAGCCAACCTGCTGCCTGCTGCAGCTTCATATTCCCTGAACAGACATGAGAGTGCAGATTTTCATTTAACTCTCAGCAAGAACGAGCAAACAAGTATTCATGAGATGTCGAAACTATTCCTTTAAACTTTCAATTGTGCGCAGCATTATGAAAGAACAGCTTCACGATGTTATTCTGAATACTACCACCAAGAAAATGTAAATCCATAAACATTATCTCCTGATATGAGGAGAAGTTCAGTCAGCCAGCAGCGTGGGAGTCGGGGACGTAAAAAAAATGACATTACAGGCGTCGACACACCGCAGAGAAATGTGTAACAAGACAAGATTATTTTTGGTTTTCATCCAAAACGTCCCTTATAATTAAAGTGGTAGATAATGAAAAATAAAAAGAGGACAAGGATCTTCTGCTGATACACATATAGAAAATACCAAGGCACTTATTTTTCATTATACACGGAGGACAAATGTACACTTGATAACGAGGAAGACGGTTTCTAAGAAAAGCTACACATTGTTTCTAGAGAAAAACAGTTATGCTTCAGATTATTCTTCCTTCTCTACAGTGAACATGCAGGAATAATAACATTTCTTTTTAAAACATCGCTCTTGCCTGCAACTACAGTACAACCATGTGTTGAACCATAGCCTCGTCATTAGTTATATTTCAATTAGTCTAGAATTTATAGGAGTTATCAATTGTTAATTGCGTCACTAAACCATTTCCTGGTTGAAAGTACATTTGGCTGGTTTGGACCAGTCAATTACAATTCCTCATCATCCAATGATCCCATTGGCTTTGTCATGTTGCCTATCGTTTCCCAAAGCAGGTACTTTGAGATAAAAATATATATATATACGCCACCCGGGTAACTGTAGTACGGACGTTATGCTTAATGATTGAGGCCCTGTAAATCGAACATCATCACAGTCCATATTTTAAAGACGGACAGAGTTTTAATACAGTTTCCTTCATAACCACTGTTTTCAGTGGTTTCCAAGGACTACGATTCCTCTTTTTATAGCAGTATTAAGTTGTATCAAGACTTCTATAAGGTCAGATGAAAGTATTAGTGGGTGTTAATCTTCCCACAACCACCCACCTGGCCACCAGGTTGATCAAACCTAATAACATGTGGGAATATGCGCCGTGGGCCAGAAAATAAAGTAAATTAAACAAGATTCTATTGATCCAGAGGCCGTCTACATGACCGAACAAAAACATTGATTAGTATTCAAATTGCTTATCTTACATAAAATAAGCTTTTTAAAGTAAAACTCTTTGAGAGGATCTGAAAGTAAAAATCCCCAAAGGAGTCCCAGTGAAAAGCAGAGGACCGGACGCGTCACCGGCCCGTAACGTCGCCTTGGGTTTGGACTGTGTTTGTAATATGCAGCCCACGGCCTATTGGCCTTTTCCACTAAAGTAAGTCTCACTAGTATCACAGAAGATGAAATAATCCCTGGTGGAACGGTTGCTCTACTTGGTTCTCGTTCAGTTCGGTTGGCCAAAAACATGAATTTTGAAGTTGCACGTCGTCCCGCTCTCTGCTGCACAGCAGGGTTCAGCGCGTTCTCGGGAGATGGAAGGAGTGCACTTGATCAGCCACCAGGGACCGAATACATCAGGGCAACAGCTGGTTCTCAGTTCTTCTTGCTGGAGGACGCCTCTGGAGTGCAGTTCTTAAGGCGGGAACAGGTGGCGAGGCGGTTTCCCTCCCAGTAGCCGGCGTCCTGACCATCGTGACAACGGCACTTGGTGCAGGAGTCGACCCAGACTGGCTCTCCGGCGGGAATCACCCGGTCGCGTGACGCATCCACGTAGCAGTTGGGACCTGAGGTGGAGGTAAGCAAACAAAAGGGTAAGTGTAACGACACCAAGCAAATGCATTATTATTATTATTAGAGGAGATGCATCGCCCGCTGCATGACTGTTTTCAACATACCGTCCCTGCATTCGGGGCAGCATTTCCCAGGCTGGTAGACGGGGTTGACGCAGGGTGGAGGGGCGCAATCTGCCACCAGACAGCGGGCGATGCCGTCACTGTCGCAGGTACACTGCTCGCATTCTGATGGCTGGGAAGACACGCGCGCGCGCGCACACGCACACGCACACGCACACACACACACACGCGGAAACAGCATGAGAGTTGGTATGGATGATGGTTACCAGCCCTCTTAGTAGCGTCCCAAAAGGGGGCGCTGTTCACCTCTTATTCCCGGCTGTGTTCTCAAGTTACACACCAGCATACCAGACTGTGATTCATCGGCTCAGACGTTCAGTTCTGGGATCCAAACATGGTTGGAAGAAAATATTGTCGCACATTTGGATAACAGGCAACAGTAGTAGAGAACAAGGGGGATACGTGCATGAAACAGACAAAGAGACTTGAGGTTCACACTTAAACGGCACTGAGCTGCTGCTCACCTTCTGCTTCGTGTGATATTTGTGTGAAAAGCTATTTACAATCACGCACTTCAGCACATTTTCAAAAGCTTTCTGCGAAAAAACAAAACCGTGGTGTTAAGTCCTCCGTTTCTACGTATGCAACGTGGTGTGGAGTCCATGTTGTTCTTTTTAAGAATATGTGGTATTCCTTTCACGACTGCACAATCCTGCTGATATAGTATATACAAATGTGTGTAGTTTATAGCTTTGCAGGGACCTTCAAACCATTTCTACAAAAAAAAAAGTGTTAAAAACTTCACAAATGCTGCAGTTATTAATTCAAGTTTTCTTTTTGCAGAAAGCAAAAACGTTACAAGCTTTGCTTTAATAAAGAAGTAGGATCCACCCTAAGGTGAAAGCTATATTCTATAAGTAGTTTCATCATTTTCAGCCCTTAAAATGACAAAGTGTCATCTCGTGGCCCTCATCTTCTTCTGGACTGTTTGAAGCATTTTTAGATACCCGAGAAGAAGAACAAATGTTTCCACCTTGTAATTTTCCTAAATGGGCTGCACTTAAAAGATCTTTTGCTCCACATTGTGATTCCATATGAGAAAATTCAACAGCCCTAATCTCAAAATATGTAAGGCCCTGTAATAGCCTCAGCAGGCCGTCCCCACCTTTGCAGGCTTTTAGGGGTCAGACTAAGGGTCGCGCTTACCTGGAAGTTTTGCTCCAGCTCGTACACCACTCCTCGGTACTCACAACCGATCTTTTCGCACCGGGGGCAGCAGTCGGTGGGGTAGTGGCTCACGTGGATGCACGCGGCCGGGAGAGAGGTGCACTCTGTGCGGGAACACGCAGAGCCCCCGGTGGTGCATTCGCACTGGGTGCAGTGGTCGGAGTCCAGAAAATACCATTCCCCCACGAAGTACACGCTGCCGTTGGCGTCGCAGGTGCTTTCCTGCTGTCCGGCGGGGACCGAGAAGCCAAAAGCGGCCTGCGCGCAAAGCGTCAGCGCCAAAACGGCCGCGCGTAAAGCGCGCTCGGCGGGAGCCATGGCGGCTGATGGATGCGCTTCTCCGCGCTCAGAAAGGAGAGGTTGGTATTTGGTCGGCGGTTCGCCCGAATGTGTCACATTGTCGCGGGGATCCTCGGCGTTACCTCGGTGCGCTCTTCCACAGAAGTTTGGCACTCACGACTGTAAAGAGCCCGGATGGGGGCGGAGGTTGGGGGGTTTGTTTGGGGGGGGGGGTATAAGGAGGGGAAGTTATATTCACTGCCGCTGTAGTGTCCAGACGCTGGTATGAAAATACTTCTGTCCCTCCCCTTATTTAACATGCATTCGGCCTATTACTGACTGTTACTTTAGCGCAAGGGGCCTATTGTGCGTATTGTGTGCAAATCCCTGCAGCGTGCAAAGCATCGGACTCGGTATGTATTTCCCATTTGTTACAGGGTCTGAGACAAAAAAACAAAAAAAACCACAACAAACAAATCCGAGAGAAAAAGTCACGTAGAAGCGGGGTTAAAGACGGGTTAGATCTCGCGATAACTCCCCCCCTGGCAACTGGAATGTTTATCCTGGATACAGCAGCTTTGAGCAACAGCAATCAGCGACATAGAACATGAATCTTGTTAAATAACAGCGTTTTACACGTCCGTTTGTTTTATAATATCGTTGTTAGTGTCGGAAATAGACAATGACAACGCGTCGTGCTTAGACAGGTGACTCTCAATTGAGCAACAGTTGTGAACAGAGCAAAGGGCAGACAGTAAGTTTGTGTGTATTCCAACATGCAGCTCCATGCAGTGATGAGAAGAAACATGATGTTTTCCCACTATCTGAGTAATTGTACAGCTGCACATGTTCTCTCCTCCTATAGGATAATATTCCCATGCAGTCTCCGGGTGAAAGCCAGCTCTGGTGCCCCGGCCAGTCCCTGTGGAGCCTCATCACCGAGCACGTTACCGGCTCCGAGCTGCCGAAGGTCCACACGGCGCTGGGCTCCTCTCTGGTCGACGTGTACACGGAGGTGCACGCTGAGGTGAGAGGCTTACATGTGCTGATCCACGGTCAGAATAAGTAGCTCGTTTGGACCCGCGCGCCTTTTGGTCGGAACATTCCTCTTCAGATCCGGAGAGGGTAAAGCGCTTCTCACATTCTCCGCGTTGTCCTTCTAAAGAATTCAGAGCTTCGAGTGGCTTCCCACAAGAATACAGCCGCGCCACCTCCAAGAATTTCCTTTTCAGCTCAGTTTTCTGGCTGAATCAAAAACGCCGCTGAGCTGAGAATTCCTCACCAGAGAATTTAGGAACTGCTGTGCGAGGTTTTCGTAAGTAGGTCGGTTTGGCTGAGTATCATTAATCCCCACGGTCCCCTAATAAAGTTAAATGTGGGTTAGCTGGCGCTGTGCTGCAGCTGGGGGCCGAGCAGAGAGACATCAACATTTACTCAACGTCCGCTAAACTCTCGGCCCTGAGGCCCGTCGCGTGGTAAGAACTGACCTTTGACCTGCTGCTTTATGTGGAGCATCCCCAGCCAGTAACACCACTCACTAAATAGGCCAATTCAGGACCAGGGAGACTCTGAATCATTTCTAAATATAATCTAGTTGCTTCAGCTATTGCGGTAGTTTGCACAGTTTTTTTCTGTACGAATATGAGGGTCCTGGGACGGAGGATGTCTACAGTTCTTTATGCTCTTTGAGGCACATTTGTGAATTGTACTTTTGGGCCGAAGAGACCAAATTAATTGGATTCATTTGAATGTTGGAGTGAAACCGAGTCAATCCCGACTGTGGTGAAATGCATCTGCTCCAAAGAAAAAAAACCTAAATGAATAAACAGTTTTACCAAAACATCGCAAGAGTTCAACTCTAAAAGAAACTCCAAACATTAGTGCAGTGAAAGCGTTTTTTTTAGCACTTTCCGTTGGATATGAATCTCTCCATATTTGCTCTTTCTTTGTCAAACTGTGTTTTTCACATCGGTGTTTCCTCCCCCCAAAAAAGTTTTAGAGCTTCCTACAAAAACGCTCCTCCCTCCGTCTGCCTGCCTCCCGTCTGTCGTCCTCTCCTCCCTCGCCTTCTACCCGTCTCTCCTCCGTGTGTTCAGTACTCTCCCCATCTGTTGATGCCATCAGCGAGCACTGATCCAAAGGGCCCGTCGCTGCTCGCAGAGAGAAACATGCGGGCCGCGTGTGTCTCGCCGCTCTGCGGCTTGAAGACGTGACCACGTGGTATTTTTTTCATGACAGCATTCCAAAAAATGACATGTGACAACCTACAGAACACACGTGAATCACAGCCACAGGTTCTCCGTGTAAAGCGCCATTCAAAGAAGCATCAAACCAGAGATCCGTCCGGAATCATGCAGAGGAATTCAGCTGCTTTACACACACACACACACACACACTCACAGACACACAAACAAAAAGAGGCCTAGTGAGTCAGGGGGTCGTTATAACCGGGTTAAGGAGGCTAATCCTATCATAGCTATTGGCAATACCGCAACACATATTCTTTAACCGGATTGTGTGTCTGTCTGCGTAGAGGAAATGGAAGTGCGCGTGGGCGTGTGTGAGTATTCCTCTGATGTTTTCTCACCTAGAGTTCAGTGCGATGCAGTGGCTGGCTGCTGGCAAAGAGCGGCTTATGCTGAGAGCTTTGAGAAAATTCTAAGCAAAAAAAAGACCCAGAGCACAGAGCGACTCTCTAAGCACTTCTTCAGTTCAGTTACAAATACTGCCGTCCGTCCCTGTTCCATTTATTAATGTCCGCGTCTGATTGCTTCCATCTGATCCCTCGTCTGCCCCCACTGTCCGTTGCCCCTCCAGCTATGGGATGAATTGAATCCCTCAGTCAGCCACTGTCGAAGGTGATAGTTGATCCGCGGGCAAATCCCCTCCATCAAAGTCCCCTTTGTCTCCGGCGGTCAGTTCAGACGCAGCTTTAGCCTCTTTTCAAGTCTCTCGACAAGGATCAAGTCTTTTCTGTACCTCCCTCAACCCTCACATCCCTGTGAGTAAAAGCAACGCCTTTAAGTTAAATGTATTATATACCCCAATTTGAATGATTCAGCACAATTTCTTGTAGTACTTCTAGTAGTTTTTTTGTATTTTTAGAACTGACAGACTTAAATGAGATGTCTCCTAAAATAGCTCCTGTTTGAGACAAACAATCTCACAGCAGAGTGTGTGTGTGTGTGTGTGTTTATGTGAAGGGGGCTTAAGCCATGAATCCTGTGACATAACCTCCTAAAGATTGACAGACGTACACACACACACACACACACACACACATACGCAGGCACACACGCAAAGAAGCAAAGTATTTTGTACCCTTTGAAGAGTTCCACTGCAACGTGACGGATTTGAAATGCCAGCGACAGGTGTGTTAATGGTGACCGGGCCTCACTGAGACACACGCGCACACAAGCATTCACACACAACATTTGTGTTTCTTACTTTTCGTTTGCACGTTATCCTCTGGCCGTTACTCCGCGGTTTACCTGTCGTTGATTTCTTTGTGCCGGGCACTCTGCACCACCGAGGACGTCCTGCGCGGCGGCTGACCTTCTCCCACATCTCCAATTCTTTCATCTGCAGTGATAATCCGACTGTAGCAAAATTACAAAGGATAAAGCCGCCTGGTCCTGCAGCCGAGGGGGATGTTTGTAAATTCACAAGGCCAAAGTTCATCCTGCTCAGTCTCTGCGTGTAGGGAAGCGCACGGGATGGCTGGCAAAATATGTTCAGCAACAGAAAGTCAGGATTTTTTCTTTGTGCTTTCATCATTTCTTATTTTCATCTCATATATAGTTTTCAATAGTTTAACTACTCCTTGGTCAATTCGCGCCGGCCTTTTATCATTGACCAAATAAAAGCAGAATGCAGCCCAAGACATCAGGCCTGATACTGACACATGAAAAGTCCTGCTATCACTCCCAGTCGAGGAGGCTGTCAAGAGAGCCCGCTTGCATTCTGCCAGCAGACTCTCCGCCCTGCTTCAAAAGTGGGAAAACGTTTTCATTCACCACTAACGTGACTTGGATCATAAACTGTCAGCTGCGCGCGAGTCGCCTGTGAGTGACGGATGACACATGGACGTGTTGCGTAATCCTCCCCTTGTCGTGGTGACGCCGCTTGCAGGCGGCGACGTGGCACATGATGTGGCGAGAGGGCCGGCGAGGAAGCGGCAGCAGCGGAGGGGGGACCCCGCTCCCGCGTCGGCAGGCCTCCCCTCTAGCCGACCCCCCCGCGGTCAAAGAGCTGGTCAGAGCCGAGGTCAAGATGCTACTACAGACTCTGAGAGAGAGGAGCAGCCGGGAGGGAAGGTAGGCGTGAGCTCCGTCTGACTGTGTGCTGTTTAGTGAAAATCGCGTTGAACGAGCATCAATTGGGCTCGTTCAACGCGAGGGGACCAATGAGGACGACCAGGGATGAGAGAAATAGGATTGGTCTTTTTTATTAACTGTAACATGGAACTGGATAAAGTGGGGAAAAAAATACATATATTATTTCTCCCCACAAAATGCCATTTCAGAAAAAGACAATTTAGTCACCATCCATATCTCGCAACAAATCTACACCATTTGTCAGTTAATTCCTAATTATATGTTGACCTTGATGACGGCTGAGAATTGATTTCTTTGAAACATCTCATCAGGAAATATACAATTACAACATTATTTTTAATAAGCTGTCTTGACGCGGCAGTTTAGTTCCAGGTCTAAATGCATTTATCTGATACTAAATAAACGCAATTGCTCTTGTGATCTAATTACGTATTATAACGGCCATCGACCTGAATCAAACGCGACACACACACTAAGGCATTTTTCACCCAACAAAGCGTGCCATAAAATGCTAGTGTGGTGTTCCCACGTCAGTTAGAAATGGGATGCCAAGCCGGGGATCAAAGGTTTACGGCGTAAGGATGCTGCAAACAACGGGACGACTATGGGAGGACGACTTCCGAGCATTCCGCTCCAAATGCTCAACAAAAACAAGATTTTAAAAGCCCAGTGGCCGCGGCCCTTGTCGGATTAAATCTGTTGTTTACCTTAAATGGGAAGCTAAATACACATGATAAAATTAAAAGAAGTGCCCACGGGGAGATCGCAACGAAGCTTAGTGCGCCGTGTGTCTGGTTTTTATGAGGAACATTAGGGAGTTATAAGCTCCTTGAGACGTCATGATAAAACCTTCTAATTGCTGTTTGGTTTATAATATACACGGCAAATTTTACGGCTACGGTCAGAGATGAGCTCCTAGCATTCTGCAATTTAATGACATGTATTAAGATGAAGACTGTCTGCAGGATCATATTGGTTAGTCATATATTCTTACGCTGCGGTTTAAAGGCCTTTGCATCAGAAATGCCTTTGGGAGGTGAAGTGTGTGTGCGAGTGTGTGTGTGTGTGTGTGTGTGTGTGTGTGTGTGTGTGTGTGTGTGTGTGTGTGTGTGTGTGTGTGTGTGTGTGTGTGTTGTGTTTTCTGTGGAGTTTTTAATTCATGACGTTTTGTTATTTCGGATTTGTGATGTGTGATCAAATGTTTACCTGCCAGAGCTATATATGTAAATGCCAGTATTATATGGAGAAACTTTGAGGTAGCGGGGCAGTAGTGTAGTGTCCCTTTAAGAGAGGAGTGTGCTGTGAGGTCACGTGACCAGTGTTTACTGAGTGAAAAGGAAGCGCGATTCACTTAGTTGGTAACGACTTCCAACCCGGTGTGCAGCCACTTGGTAAGCGCTCTTGATTTTCAATGTTGTCTTGTCTCCTTTATAATGTACGCTTCATGTTGTCTGATGTCACCTTAAATGTGTTGCTGCTGTGTTTACTTTCTTTGTGGTTCATACTTTAAACATATAAGCCAGCCTGGTATGTGACGAAGGTACTTCCTGGTTTGCCGTGGGGCATTTTGGGAGTTGTAGTTTCCTGCTAAGAAAAGACTGCATGCATTGTGAATGTGGTGCATAATGATTGAATGTGTACATGCAAATAACGAAACTGATGATGGTGGATTATAGTATATTAATGATGTTTATTTGTATTTTTGAATAATGTTATTAAGATAAAGAACTGGGGAGCTGTGTTGGTTGTGGTGTGCACATGGACATTTAAGTATTGCATTTCTTATTATTCCAGGTTTTTTACCTGGTTCCCCTTTTTAAGAAATAAACAAACAAATGAGGAATCTCGAGTAAAATCCTATGTATGCCGGGTTGCCCTTTCCGTGGGGAGAAAACGGAACAGTGTGTGTGTGTGTGTGTGTACGTACGTCGCGCTGGTCACCCTCCCGGCAACCAGCTAGCCACTGACAAGAATGTGAGTGCGTCACTGCCGAGGTTTTGTTGAAAAGACGACATAAGATGTGTTGTTCTCCAGTTTTGTGACAAACCATTAACTGCCCGTCAATTTGTCGCCATTCTTTTTACTGTGATTTTTCTTTTTTTCCGTGACAATTTATGTTGTGTCGTTAATCTGCAAGGCTGCAACTAACTCTTCAGTGTGTGGTGTGCGTTTGTGTGTGTGTGTTTGAGTCTGTGACATCCCTCCCGGTCCCCCGTTAGGAGCCACTCGTCTCAGAGCGTCACACACGACCAATCCCTGCAGCGCAAACTGTTTTTACTTATCGCAACATTATTGTAAAGTGAACAAATGCTGCAAGGTGGATCTCTCCCTTTTCTAAAATGTATCCCACTTCCAAATTCATGCATGCATTCCATGCACGAAGAGAAATATATGATCTATATAATGCATCTCCGGTGCTTATTACGGCAGCCCAGTTGACAGGTGGTGACAGCTTTCTTTTTCAAAGACATAAAGACCTGATTGGTGAAACTCTAATATCTATAAGTCTACAGGCCTGATGTGATGTAATATCTATAAGTCTACAGGCCTGATGTGATGTAATATCTATAAGTCTACAGGCCTGATGTGATGTAATATCTATAAGTCGACAGGCCTGATGTGATGTAATATCTATAAGTCCACAGGCCTGATGTGATGTAATATCTATAAGTCCACAGGCCTGATGTGATGTAATATCTATAAGTCTACAGGCCTGATGTGATGTAATATCTATAAGTCGACAGGCCTGATGTGATGTAATATGTATAAGTCTACAGGCCTGATGTGATGTAATATGTATAAGTCTACAGGCCTGATGTGATGTAATATCTATAAGTCTACAGGCCTGATGTGATGTAATATCTATAAGTCCACAGGCCTGATGTGATGTAATATGTATAAGTCTACAGGCCTGATGTGATGTAATATCTATAAGTCCACAGGCCTGATGTGATGTAATATGTATAAGTCTACAGGCCTGATGTGATGTAATATGTATAAGTCTACAGGCCTGATGTGATGTAATATCTATAAGTCCACAGGCCTGATGCCCAGAACAGCAGCGTCTTTCCAAAGGTTCGCTGTGCATTCCCTGAACTGAGTCCTCACCATCTTGCACATCTCGAGTCACTCTTGTAAAGTGCTGCGGCCGTCTTGTAAATGGATTAAAAAACAATGGCGCATTGTTATTGGCTTTGTAAGCGCACGACCGACATACAGATTGTGCCAGCACAAAGTGCACAATGTGCTTTCCCTCTTTGAAGTCGGTGCACTAGCAGACCGTGATCGGCTTCTGTCCTTGAGCTCTTCGTGCGCTCCACAGTCCTCCCCAAGTTACCTTTCTGCGCTTTGTGGCCGTGTTTATTGAGAAATGACTGCCGGAGCATCAACACAGAGACCAACATCTTTCTCTCTCTCAAACGTTCAGCCAGAATTTGCTGTGTTTGTATGTTTGTGTGTGTGTGTGCGGATGATTTTAATGTAATTCGCCAGACATTTTACTCCTTTTCTTCAAACTACGTCAGCAGAAAAAGGGTCAAATAGATCTTGTCCACAATCCCCATTTCTTCCTCTGATTTGCACCATTTGTGGGTGTAAAGATGGGTGTGTGACTTGTAAAAGTCAACGCACTGATTTACCTCAGTGGCCTCGTCCTGTGTGGTCCTGACGTCGGAGCCATCCATCCACATTCACGCCCACACCCACATGTCTTTGTGTGAGTGGCTAAAAAGACTCCCACACGGAGGGACTATAAAATGAAGCCGGGCTGTCGCCCCGTCTGCTGCAGACTTCCCCATCTGCTCGTTTCTTTTACTTGCATTATAAACTAAAATTTATCTTTCACCTGAAAATCAAACAAACCATAATTCTTATGTATTTTAGTAAATGCATCTTTGTGGGACTCAAATCGACAACAGATTATCATGTTTACAGAAAGAATGTGACCTTTGTTCAGGCTGATCCATTAATTACCCAAACGGCATTTGGTTAAAAGTTTGCATACTATCGAACAGCAATTCAAAGTGCTTAACAGGTGATCAACAGTACAAATACAAACACTGCAAACTGCAAAAAAACCTGCTGTTGCCACAGAGCTGTTGAGGAGCTCCGGATTCGGTACAGACCGGAGACCGTGGACTACGTCCTGGGTCGCCCCGACAGCTCCTGCAGAAGCGCTGCAGACGCCCACGGCGGAAGCAGGTAAGGGACACAGGGGCTGCAGCACAGCGCGGGTATCGTATAAAACGGTGTTACACAGTTCTTCTTCATCATCGTGCATCTGCTCCTTTCTCTCTTTGTGCATGTTCCCTCCTGCAGGCCCGGCTCCCACTGCTCAGTCCGGTCCAATGCTGACGATGAGATTGAGGCCGTGAGGGACCAGCTGAATGCCAGCGACATTGACCAGGTGGCGGAGCGCCTCAGGTGAGTCGCACGGAGCGGTCGGGACCCTTTTTTGGCTCGTGGCTGAAGCCTAAAGACTGCAGCCAGTTTGTGAGGTGAAAACTGATGTAGATATTTCAGACGTAAAAAACAACAACTCTGATTACGAATTATCGTAAAAACAACAACAATGTTGCAGTCCAATGCACTCAAACCTGGACTGGCTGTTCTCTGCTGCAATTTCTCCTCACTTTTGCCTTATTAAGGGTAAGTAAGGAGGTAGTATACATATAAAACCTGCTTTTAGTTCATATAATGTAGCTGAATCCCTCTCTGAACCATCAGGTTGGGAACAACCAGCATACAGGATGACCTGGATGACAGTTTATACAAAGATCAACACAAAAAACATGTATTTTCTGGATTTATCTTTGCAGATTGTGCGTGCGTGTTACGTTATTTGTGGTGTGCATTCATTAGTTTAACTAATAAAATGTGCTTTGTGAGCCTGTTAGTGAGTCCCCTCAACTCTCTTCTGCTTCCCTCCCGCCTCCCGCACACGCCATCCCTCACTTTGAGGCCCACAAGGCAGCAGTGGCTGCGGATACCTTGGAAGAAACCCCCCCCCCCCCGCCCGTCCTCCCCTCTCTTTCTCCCTCTCTTTCCCATTTTCTGACTCCACCAGAACAAAAAGCCTCATTGTTGGTTAATGGATCCCAGAGAAATTGAAAATGTGAAGGAAGTGAATAAAGTCTACTATGGTTGTGTAACCAGAGAAAGAGAGAGTGTGAGGGGGGGGGGGGGGGGGAGAAAGGGAGGGCGAGGAAAAATAGGACACTGCACCCTCGGTATGGAAGTTGTAGAAGATAAACTATGAGCTCAAACCCAGTGCACCTTTTCTTGTTGTCGCCGACTCGTTTGTGGGATGAGGTTTTTCCCTGCTGCTGTTGTGTGCGCCTCTCCGCATCCTTCAAACCTGCAGCGCTCTGTATGTTTCACATGCAACCTATGGCCCTTTTTTACTGCGTTTAAGCAAACGGACCACAGCCAGTATGGCAATAAGCCTTTTAACAAAGCTATTCATGTGTGTGTGTGTGTGTGTTTGTTGTGACTATCAATGCACAGCTATCTATCTATCAATCTGTCCTTCTCTAGGTCTGTCCTAACAGAGGAATGTGAAGCACTCACCCGGCTGGTGAAACATTTTAAGGTAAGAATAACAGAATGGAAGCAGCCAAGTACAACTGGCATCTGAAAAGCTTTTTGTTTTTATTGAAGCAGCTGTGATTTGATTTTAAAACCAGAATTCCTTTTATATAACCTTGTAGCGTGATCCCACATTGCAAAAAACAATATTTTATATCTTGATTGCTTTCATCGACACATCACGTCGTATCGGAATTTGTCTCAGCAGACAGCAGGGATGATTTCACTCTCCTCAAATGCAAACACAAACCCCAAAGTGAATAAAACATCTGAACTAGAAAAAAAACTACATTTTTCATTTTAGACCAATACAGCAGAACAGATGGCAAACATCGGCCGCTGGTTTCAGCTGGATTTAGTTGCTTGAACGGTGACCTTTCGTCTCCCGTTCGGCTTCGTCTTAGGGAAAGTCTGAGTACGTCGGCTGTGCAGACGTGGATTTAGATTATAAAGATTCATGTATGAGATTAATGACATTAACAGCTTTCCTTAAATCATGAGCAAGTTAGCGCCATGTTAATGGTCGCAAACCCCCCATGGACCACTAAAGCCTATTTTTACTGTGTTTTTGAGTTGTTTTTGATTTCAGCAAACTGAAAGTCCCCAGACGTACCAAGTCTGCAGCTGCAAAAAAAACAAAAATAGGCGGTTTGGGTTTGAATCCCTGTAGGAAAACACACTAAAAATATACCTTTTAATTGTCTGCACGTGCACGTTTGTGTGTTAGTGTGTGCGTGCGATAGACTTAGTTTAATGGAATATACAAGTCTGTGGCTGCTGGGAAAACTTTCCATTAGTGTTTGTGCTGAAAGAGGCTGCCAGTCGCTCATAACAAACACAATAATGGACGCACACAGACACACACACAGGGCACTATGGTTTTAATGTTTACCGCCTATAAATAGTCATGGTCAAATTAGGATGGAAGACTTCTGTTCAATCGTTTAGTGGTCACACACAAACACAAATGTTCCTTTTCATCCTCCCTCTATTTAATATCCAGTTTCCTTTTTCCTCTCTGTTTCCAAAAGCACACACTTCCTTCAACATGTTTAATGCATTTACCTCTTTCCGTTTGCACGTCCACTGCTGTCACTCGAGTAACGTCTCCTAGTTTGTGTCGGATATCACGTGGACTACCCTCAAACTGCATTGGTAAACACCATGGCGTCTTGTTTCTGTTCTGTGGTTTGTTTCTTGCAGGGAAATATTAAACAAAAGTTGCAGAGTCCACGTGAAGTTGATAAATCCGAACCTTCACTTGCAGGTGAGGCCACATATCGACACGCTGGTGCTTTGCTGCCACCTGGTGGCGCATCGCGGTTACTGACTCCACCTCTTTACCCCGCATGTGCTGTTTGATTACTTGGACAATGAATACATTTGCAGATGAAATGCAGATTATTATGAGTTATCAGTGTAGCCATCCTCAAACGGCCTGTAAAACGTTTTCTCTTTCTGACATGTATTAATGGAAAAAAATGTTTTTGAAGTCCAGCTGCTTTGAAGACTAATCACAAATTGCACTCATTTCCATGATAATAATAATGGGTACTTGCTTCTTGCTCGAGGCGATTATCATCTTTTGATGGATTTCTGTATCCGAGGGTGTGTTTTAATACTTCCGAGCGTTGGTTTCAGTATATTTTGAGACGGGTTTTTTTCCCCACCTCAATAACGTTTGCATTATTTCCTGTGCGTTTGCAGAGCTGAGAGAGCTGAGAGGAGCTATCCAAGTGGACCTGGAGCTTTATCCAGCTCCTTCCCCTCTCTGTCTGAGGGAACTGAAAAACAGTTTCAGGTGTTAAGCTTTTTCCACCCACGCATAATGTTGTTCTTGAGTTATAAAACCAACATTTTAACATTCCCGTCCCCCCCCCCCACCCTCCAGACTGCCGGCGGCCCAACGGGTTTCTGATGAGACTCTGCGAGCTCTAAGCAGCACATCGGCCTTCAGACCGCGTCCTCCTCCTCCTCCTCATCCTCCTCCTCCTCCTCCTCCTGCCCTGGGCCGTCCTGCGCCGAGGCCACCGCCGGGCGCTCCTCCCAGCGAGGCCTCCGCATCGCTTAAAGCAGTGTCCCGGGTCCCCGGAGAGCGGAGAAGCACCTCGGCCTCCACCGGACGCAGGAAAATAAAAGCACCCCCCTGCGACAGGGTCGCCGCGTCCGCGCCTGCAAGCCGCCACTCGGCCGCTCCACCTGCAGGACCCGAAAACTCACGCGCCCTCCACGAAACCCACCCGTCACCTCTCGCGGGACGGGACGTCGGTTCTGTCCCCTCGTTCCCTCGTTGCGAAGCCGGCAGCAGCGGCGGCAGCAGCCGCGATAGTACGGAGCGTCCCGCGTCCGCGACCGGGAGGTCAGGGACACAGAACGGGCGACGGCGTGGGAGTTTTTCGGCGTCAACAACCGTGCAGGCGGACCTCGACAGAAGTGACCGTGTGGCGGGTGGAGGCCATCGCCAAAGCCCGGAAGGCACACGCAGCCACCCGGCAGCGGTCCCGGTGAATGGACGATTCTTTACCGCTCCCAGGAAAGCACTTGAGAGCATCACAGGTCAGGCAAAAGGTGTCCAGGAGGCAGAGCTGGAGTTTGTCAGCCAGCGTCACCGGCCCGTCCCTCCGGCCAGGGTGACAACATGAGGCCACAGAGCAGCTGGGGCTGAAGATAAGCAGGATCAATGCGACGGGTCTTCTGTGTTGCATTGGATGATGCTGCTGTATCCTCCAGCTGTCTGTCTTTCTGCAAGACATCAAAAAGAAATCACAACAATGTACTTTAAAAAAACTTTTCTATATAAAATGTATGCCGTTTTATCCTTTATTTCCTTTATGGACTATTTTTTTCATCACCTGTGAAGGTCTTGCATTTGATTTGTTCTGACAGAGAAATACTGGAGGCTGTTTTATATTATATTATCGGCTGCATTCAATCTCCAAATGTAAAAACTTTCTTGGGGATTATAACAAATAAAGGTTTTTGATGCAAATTCTTCAACACTGGCTGTTCTCTCTGTATTAATATTCAAATATTTATGCTGTAATAACAAAAAAACACAACAATCTTAAATTGCACTGGTTTTCACATAAAAAACCCAGAGCTGTTAATCCTACGACCCTGTAAATAAAATATAAAAAAATAAAAAACGTTCAACACCACGTATCTTACTTGGATTCATATGACTACAATGTGGCAAAACCCGCTGACATATTTTCCAAATGGTTGTTGCTGAGTTTTTGTTAAGTTTCGTTTTCTCCAAGCCACTCCTCCATAGATACTGAACATAAACCACTGTATTACACGTCGTACACGGAAGGTAAGATTGCTGCCTTTTCGCCTTCACCTATGGATTACATTTGACTAGACTGCACGTTGTTTCCTTTGAATAATCTGCGTATTGATCTATGCAATAATGTCGGCCACAGATGTTTCCTCGTCTTCCGACGATTACGTCGTATTTTTCTAACTAATGTGTCGGGCCCAGCGTGCGTGGATCTTTCGAATCACACTTGCCGAAATGAATCGAATGCAAGATGATTTGAAAAACACTAAAAAATAAAAGACACGCTCTGTGCAATGAAACGCACGGAAAAGAAAAGGGTGCCTGCCAAGAGCGCCCCGCAGCGGCCTAAATGGAACGCGCCCCGCTCGGTGCGGCAGAGAGGACCAGGTGCGTGCCGGGCGTGGCCGGTTGCTGGATGCTATAAAGCCAACGCCCGCCATTGTTACGAAAAACACAGTGCCGCACGCTATTCTCCATAACATACTCGTATGAGTACGTATTCTTTATTAATTTATTTGGTTATTAAATATTTATTTCCTTCGTCTTATTTTGAAGTCCCTTCGTACCGTAAAGACGCGCGCGGCGAGTAACGCGCTGCTGCGGCTTTGACCTCCCAAATGTCGACCATCGGCGAGGTGTGTGAGGAGTTGTCTTTTTACTTCTAGCTCTACCTACACTGTGTCTCTCAGCCCTAAATGTAAAAAAAATATAATAATAAAAAAGTTTAAACTCCTTAATTACGGAGAGAAATGATACTGGTTTTAATGAGCAAGAATTCAATGTCGGCTGCTTGACATGCTGACAAAGCATTTCTGCTCAGCTTTTTGTGATAAAGCGGCTTTTTAGTGATAAACCTAAATGGAAACGCGAGGAATACAATTGCTACATTGCGTAATAAGTTTAAGTGTTAGGGCATAACCCTTCAAATCACGTTAGCTCTGTGTCTAAATCAGCACGTGTCTTAAGCTAACATTAGCATGGCTAGCGCAGCTGCAGGCCGGTAGTGCTAGCATCAGTGTCGCTAGCATCAGTGTCATGGGCCGTGGTAGCACCCTTTCCACTGTGGTAAACAAAGTGATTTGACGTCTTTTGTTTAGATGGATGCGATATTCAACATACTGCAGCAGTTCAGGCTGGAATCCTCCCACAGCCAGTTCATGCTGTTGGGCGTGAAGGATGTAGAAGATTTCCTGGATTGCATAACGGATAAAGATCTGGACAACATCGGTGAGATAAACCTAAACGTGGTTTCAATGTCATGCTGACTCTTGGAGCGAAATCCAAATTGTGTATTTTTAATTTATAATCCTAAAATTCCAGACTTGCACGTGGCGATCATTTCTTCTACGTTTTTGCAGGTTTAACTCATGTGGAGAAGAATCGTTTTTCGTCCATGAAAAACTTCATTCAAAGACTAAAGACTATGGAGCCACAAGTTCAACCGGTGATGCCTGTGCAAAGGTGGTTGTTTACTCTGCAGTACACATACCCCAAATGTCCTCAGCCTGTGCACATTAAAGGTATGAAAAACACTTTTTTTTTTCTTTTAAATTTAGTTTTCTGACAAATTCACAGTGTTTATGTTTCAATTACAGATATGGATCCGGCCATAAACACGGTTGAGGATCTGATGTTGACGATTTGCCATCTTGAAAGTGTTGGTAACTCCAAAGGAGTCTGTCTCTACGCAGTCGATGGGATGCCCCTAACCGATGATCCCTTCTTCAACACGTGTGAGCATGACGCAATATGTCTGTTTAAACAGGAATCCTGCTCGCCAACATTATGGACCGTCAAGTTCTCTCGCTGTGGCTTCTTCACCAAAGATCACATATTGACACAACGTTTTTTTTCTATCAAACACCTGCTGATTCTGTAATACATTATTCTTTCTGAAATAAATTGTCTTCCTTTTATTTATTCCCTCTGGAAAACCCTAAACATTTTTCTTAATGTTCTAACAGGGTCTCTAAAAGACAGACATATTGAAAATGGAGCCGTAATTTACGCCATATTTACGCCAAAGGAAAACGTGAAACGGGCTCCTCAGATACCGAAACGAGAGGTTGGAGAACCCAACGGTGACGATGTGGTTCGGTGCCACGTCATGCTCAAGGTGCTGTTTAAAGTAATGCTCACGATATTAACAGATGTAGTGCTTTAATATCTCGTTGCACAAACTGAACATCTTTGGTTTAATGCGGCGCTTTAAAAAAAAAAAAAATTACCGACCTCACTTTATTCATTCTGGGGATCACGTCAACTCTCAGGACTTGTGTTTTTTCATCAAGGACAATATACTCATGTACAGTATTTAACTCAAAAGAAATGTACTTTTTTATTTTTTAACGCAGGGAGACTTTGAGGTGACTGTAAACTTGGCAAGTGACACCATCACCAGTCTGAGACTCAAGCTGGCAAACCAAAGTGGAGTCCCAACACATGTCCTTCACTACAAGTAACTCACCACGCGTCGACCGGAGGGATTGTGACCCTCTTCCTTGACACCATTATTCTTTCGTACTCTATACGCTGCTTTGCTCTGCTGTATTTGCAGAGGTCAACACTGTGGCGGTGACACGCTGCAGCACTGTGGGATCTCTGAAGGGTCAACGGTGAACTTCTCCTTGTCCACCTTTTCTGACGAGACTTCACACGATGAGACGTTCTTCATTAACGATTGTGTGCCGTCAGTCCAGCAAACCCAGAAGGGAATCAGTGTGTTCTTGTCCTCACTTTATGCGATGGTGAGGTTTAGAACATGGTCTTTACCCTCTGATCAATCACTGCTTTAAAATTAATTCACGTACATTTGTGGTGTTTATTTTTTATTTTTAGAGAAAACATTATGCAACAGAGCAACTGAAGAAACTGATTTCCTACATAAGAAAACTGACTGGATGCAACCCTCTCGCCCAAAGTTTGCATCAGTTACTCTGTAGGAATGAAAAGTTAACCAGGAATCAGAAGGTGAACAATGGAAACAAATTTTGAAATTTAAAGGATCTGCATTGTTTCGTCACTGTTTATTCCTGTAATTTGGGTGAACAGAGTCTCTACACAGTAAACTGGTTTCACAGTACCTGTTTTTCTTTGTTTCTTATATACGCGTTTTGTTTTAGATTGCAGTCTTTGAGGGCTTGTACGTCCTCTTTCGAGAGCTTCTGCCTCAGCGTGCAGCACAACGGGGGGAGAAGATCATTGAGGACCTGGATGTCTTTGAGAATGCGCTGTACTGCTGGGCTCATCTCCTGTCGGAAGCAAAGGTACTGAGGTGTGACAGGCTATTCAGAGAAAACCGACTTATTTAATTGCCCGTGGAAGTTGTGGGTGTTAATATCTCTTGGCACCTTTTTTTTGGAAGCTGCCATGCATTTTCAGCTAATGAATGGTTTGAGTGCATTGATGGTTGCATGAAGGTAAATTCCTATTGGGTTGTTAAACCACTTAATGATCGCTGTTCCTCTATTTTGGCAGAACCAGGACGCGGACCAGGAGAGCTACGCGCCGGTCACTCTCACGGCTGAGGACGGCAGCCGCTTCTCTGAACCCGTCCGTGTACCCGGAGTACCTGGAGCCTTCGAACGGGCGTACGTGCTCCAGAAAATCAAAGGTGACACTGTGTAGAATAGAAAAACAAACTCATCAATTAGAATAAGCCTTAAGTTCACTGATAAGATACACTTTTCACTACAGAAAAATGGTTAACGCGGCCAGATGAAAACATTCTTCTGTCTTTGAGGAGCTGAATCTAAACACTTGATTTTCTTTAGATGGGGAGAAAATTCCCAATTGCATTGAAGATGTTTTGCAAGAAACGTCACTACGGAGAGACAATGACATCGAAAGGCTCCTTCTCAGTTTGCCTCCATTCATCAGAACTTACCCTCTTTGGATTGCCAAAGACAAGACAACCGGTCAAAAGTATGGTACAACTTTGATTGCACATTCTTAAAAGTACTTCAATGTGAAAAACGTGTTTCTTGTTTTTTAACAACCTTTCCAATTAAATGGCAGCTTTCAGATCAAGATGGAGAAGACTTTTGGAAGTATGATGGAAGAATTAAAGTCTCCGTACAATCAAAACCTGAATGTGACCCCTCCTCTACACTTGAAGGAGCTTGGACAGTGTGTGGCGCGTCTCGTTCTTCTCAGTGAAGGTACTAAACCACAGTACGACTGGGTCATTTCTCAGTCATACAGCACGTATACTGTATGTTTCATGACATGTGTTTTGCATGATCACTGTAAAGGTTGCGCATCTATGAGGTGATTAGAACACGTGCACCTTTGTTTCCAATACAAGCCCATGAACCGGGCAAAAAGCGTCCAGTCCATAAACGTTAACTCAAATACTGTACTGAAGTACACCTTGGAGGTACTTAACTCCAGTATTTCTATGCAACTTAAACTAATCTCTGAGCACCAGGACACAGCAACTCTTATTCAACGGTCAAATCATGCATTTTTAAAATTAAAAAGTTTATTTTATTTTTTAATACTATGCACTTCGTTGTCTGACGTGATCCCTTCAGTTTCTATGTTCCTTCTGATATTTAAAACCGCACGTTCATGGGAAACTATGTAATGCAAATTGTTTTCTTTTGTTTTCTTTTAGACAACATTGGCGTATGTTTGCATAAAGAAAAAGGATCCCCAGATATGATCAGAGTGCTTGATTGTTTGGAGGGCGAAAACAAACTAGTGGATGTGAATGTGTTGGCAGCCAGGTAAAGGCGATCGTCTTATTTACAGCGTAAATCTGTAAATGTTACAACACCCGTTGGCTGAATGTTCAAGTTTTCCACATTTGACGCAGGACTGGTGACCACAGAGACGACCGAACATTTGTCACAACCAGGACCCCAAAAGAGGCGATACTGGTAACTTTGGTTATTCCTGTGTAGGAACGAGGGAACTCAACATTCTCAACATGACGTGAATTCTCATCAGGTGCTGATAGACACGAGCTCTTCCATGGAAGAGGAGTGCTATGGGGGTTCAGACATAAAGAAGATCAACGCGGTGAAAGAGCTCTTTGACAACTTTGCCACCAGGACCATGGCTTATGATTTTTGTCATGTCATCGGCCTTGTGACGTTTGACTCCATGGTGAAAATTCTCCACACTTTTACGGAAAATCTGGAAAAGTTCAAGGTGAAGTCAGTGTATTACACCTGTCCTAAAGCTGGGCTTTATTTTAGTACGCTTTACGTCAGCGTCATTTAGTGATATACTTTTCATATTTTCAGGAACACATGCGCAACGTCGAGGCAAGCGGTTGCACTCTGCTGTACGACGCCCTGCGGCGTGCGGCGTTGGAGTTGGAAAAGGTGCAGACGAGGTTCCCAGATTGCCGACTTCGCATAATGTGTCTCACTGATGGAAATGATTCTGGGTACGTTTTCCTCCTCTGTTCTAACCGGCTGTGTCTCCTCATTTCTGCTTGACCTTTTAAGAAGTTGTCGTGAATTCAAAATGTCGTTCCACGGATCGCGGTGACCTTCGTTGCTTACAATAGATCCTCCGTCGAGCCGGACGCGGTTACAGTCAAGCTGCTTAACTCCAACATCGTCGTGGACTCGATCGTCCTGGGGAACGTGGAGAACAACACGCTGCATGGGATCAGCAACGCAACAGGTCTGACGTCGTTCAAGGGCGGTTTCCTAAACGACATTCCTGGGATACTGAATCGTGCTTAAGAAATCTTACACACTCCATTATTGACGAGTCTTATTTAGGGATGTCGACTTATGTCCCCTTAAGATTTTTTGGGGTTTTATGACACGGTTCGAGGTATTTAAGCATATATCAATTATTGTTTGTACAATATTTTAGCTTGAAAACACTTGAAAACCCTTTGCTTCCAGGTGGTTGCTGCTTCAAACCGCAGACGACCAAAGACGGTCTCAAGCTCTTTGAGATGGAGACAGTTCTGTCTTTGGAGCAGCGGAAACTCAAGGAAGCACTCGACCCGTCTTCGGTCCTTCAGGTTGGTTGATCACATGTAAATAAAAGCACAGCACCGGTCAACACAGGAAGTGGCTGTTAAACGACGCGCTGATGCGCCGATCGATTCCCTTGTTCCTTTCATCTTGTAGAGTAGTTTGTCGGGCATCTTCAGGACTCAAGGGTACGATGAATGCCCAGAGACGTCCATGCCGAGCCAGATAAACGGCAAAGTGGTGGCGACAGCGAGGTGAGCAAAAAAAGCAACTGTTCCACGCGATGATTTACTATTTACACTTCTTTTTTGATTTGGTTAGGATATTAATTATCTTCACGTGGTCGCATCACATTTGAAGCTTCGATAATGTTTCTAACTAGTGCGCTGAAAAAGAACACCCGGCGGTCGCGGCGGTGGGCTGCGGAGAACGACAAGCGTGTCCTGCAGGAGCTGAAGATGCTGCACTGTAACCCGCATCCCTTCTTTAGGGTCTTTCCATCCGAGTCCGACTTAAGTGAGCGTTTTCTTTCACACGACCAACGTGGTTCAATGGGATGTTTTATCGTTCTATAATTCACAAGCTGCTGTAGAGCGTTTACCCCTTTTCCCCTTAATTAAAATAAATGTTATAGTAAATATTAACATCAAATGTGATGACGTACGTGTTTTCAGAGTTCTGGAGGATTCTCATGCAGGGCCCTCCTGACACTCCGTATAAGAGAGGCGTGTTTGAGCTGTACTCTCAGTTTGGTCCCGACTACCCGGCCAAGCCTCCGGTCGTCCGATTCGTCACACGAGTATCCTGCCGAGTGCAAATGACTGAATTAGTGACAGCGGTGGGATCTGTTGGACATGCATGTCTCCTTAACACGATGACAGGTGTACCACTGCAACGTCAACAGCGTGGGACGCATCTGCCACAACATCTTTGACCGCAACTACAATGCCCACATCACCATGAGAGAGATCCTGGAAGCTGTGTACGGACTGCTCATCATCCCGGAGCCCGATGACCCACTGGACAGGTGAAGACTATACACACCTTTTTATAAATAAGTGTAATCTTTTTTTTTTTTTTGATTTACATAGTCTGTTTTTTTTTTTTTTTTTTTAAGCATCCTGGCTGAAGAATTCCTAACGAGCCGAGAGACGTATGAACGAGAAGCAGAGAGACATACGGAGGAAACTGCAGGAAAGTCACTGGACGATATAGAGAAAGTAAATGAGCTTACATCATTATTGTGGACACTTACAAACCTGGGTCTTATGTATTTTTGTCTTGAAATGTTAATGTGTTTAACTGTTGCTTTTCTTTTGTTTTTAATTGAAAGACCTTGGTGGGGCCGGTGCCACAGTTTATTCCCCGTCACCTGATCTGTCCGCTCACCAAGAAGATGTTTGTGGATCCTGTGAGAACGGTGTATGGTACTGTGTACGAACGCAAAGCCATCGAGGAGCACCTCAAACAGTGAGTTAATTTACTAAAAATGAGTCTCCTGTAAGTTCACCCAAATCTGATACTAGTTTAAAAACCACACCATTGCATTTTACAATTGTTTTCAACCACAAAAAGTCATCAGCCGCTTTGCCATGTATTATTTGTAGACACCAGTACGATCCGACCGCCGGCCCCGGACATGAGCTGGAAATGACGGACATCACAGCAGACCAGGACATGAAGAAAATGGTGACGGATCATCGCTCTCTTCAAATTCAGTTGGACGTTAATGATGAGTAGTTTAACAATCATGGAAGTCAACCAGCCACCCTTAATCTTTTTATCACTGCATGTTCTTTTGTGATTTATATATGCATGTTATTTGATCTGTCAGTTAATCTCACTTCTTTCTTGAACACAAGTTTTATGTGACAGGCATTTATTTGTTTTCTCTGTTGGGATGTTTGTGTTATGAGTTCATTGTTATCTAACTTGATTTTTCAATAATCGTTTGCATGCTGTGCTATTTTAGCTTTTAAATTATGTTCTAAATTTGTTTTAATAATCAAAGTGCATTGTGTGTTGTATTGGCAAGAGAAAAAAAGATTGAGTAGTGGATGTAGCATTTCTTTTTTTTGACGTCGCAAAACACAAGAATGCTCCAAGTTATCGCTGCTGAAGTTTATTAATCCCACATAACAGTGCTGTGCCGGCACACCATCGCTTCATTGTTGTGAGCGAAGGGCGAACAAAAGACTAATGTTCTGTCAATAAAATGATTCTCTGCAAGAATTCTTGTCAACCAAACTTTGAGCCCTGGAATTCTTTATACTTCTCTGGACTCTCCTTGCTACGGGTCCACCGAACCAATCACCGCCGCCAATCCAGCCCCTACGTCACTTCTCAAAAAGAGGAAATTATTTGCTCTTCAAAATAAATTTCCTCGAATTAAGAAACCTTTTTTTTAAACGCAGTTTTCGTCCAAAACAAAAGTTAAGTGTGATTAAGTCACATTCAAAACCGATACCTTTTTAAATATGAGCATTTTTGTTGGGACGCCTCGTTCCCGTTTGGAACTCTAAACGCTTACGCCATTCATGCTTTTGTTTTGAATTCTGGATCCGGTAATATGTGAATAATGCACGCTAGTTTGCCGGATTTGACGCAATGCTGCAGAGTTAGCAGATCGGATTGAACACAGCAGGAAAAACACAGCAGGTAACGCATACCTCAAACTCTTAGTTATTAGTATCCCGTCTGTTGCGTTTGTTTACGTGGGACTGAAAACTATCGTCACCAACTAACTTGGAGATCAACAGGTCGTTTTACTTCAGACCTGCCGACCTGCAACAGAATCAGTTTACACTTTCAAATCATAAACTGCGAATAATGTTTCGGACCAACGAACTGACACTTGTTCCCCAAAAGTAACGTTTCATGATGATTTAAACTGGAATTCATCAATATTCGCATCGTTCTCGTGGCCTTTTAAACAACACGTTTAATAAGTGGCTGCCGATCACCGTTGGTGGTTTAAAATGTGCTCGTCTTTTTATTCACTGTTCTCAAACTCCTGAGAGGCAACACCTGACATTCCAGCAGAACCGGTTAACGTTCCCCCTTCGCAGGTTTTCATGTTGAACCTCAACGCGCGCTCCGTGTATGTCCATTGACATTACATTACATTACAAGTCATTTAGCAGACGCTTTTATCCAAAGCGACTTAGATTTCACTTTAAACCCATGGCTTTTCACATTTTTGCCTGGGGAGCAATTAGGGGTTAGGTGTCTTGCTCAGGGACACTTCGACATGGAACATGGTGCAGCCGGGAATCGAACCACCAACCTTGTGCTTCCCAGCACACCTTCTCTAACCCCTGCGCCACAACGACCCCTACCTGACCTGCTGACTTACCAGACATTTTATTCATTTAATTGTTGGTCGTTAGAGCCTTTCAAATAAATTCATATACTGTTTAAATGGACAAGTGTCACTGCTCGTGCACAGATGAATCTGGTCTATTAGTATTAAAACTGGGTAAATTTCTTGTATGTGAACCCATACTTGGGAATTAAATCTGATTCTGTAATGTGATGCAAAATATTAGAACTGTTCTGTGAACATTAAACCCTTGAAACACACCAACACATTACAAGTTTTTTTTAGTTAACACTGCTTTTCTCTTACCTTGGTCCGATACTTTGATGTCTGCATAAAGGGTGAGAAATATTTCCCCTGTAGATGTTGGTCACTTTAAACATAAATCACTGATTCACTGCATTCAAGTGAGTCTGTAGCATAATAAACACAATAAATGGAAGATTTGATTGTCAGTTACTTCCATTACTGTTAAATAATTAACATTCACCTTCACTTCTACCTCCTTTTTCAAACACCACAACTATGATTCCCCTTCCTCCAGAGAGATGTGGTGGGTGCTGTGGGTGCTCGCTGCCTTGCTGGCTCTCTTCTGCACCCTGGATGTGTGGTACTTCCTCCGGGTAGCTGCTGTGATTGCACGGGCCTGGTTCCAGCCTCCAATCTGGGACGTCACAGCGGAGCAGATCCAAACAGGCCGCGTCTCCCCCGGGGATATTGACATGTGCCACATGAACAACGCCCGTTACCTCCGGGAGTGCGACTTTGCCCGCTTCTCTCTCTACATGCGCAACGGGGTGTTCAAGGCGCTGCGAGCTCTCAAAGCTTCCATGGTGGTGGGGGCCACCACCATCCGCTACCGCCGGGCCCTCTGCATAGGCGAGGGGTACGAGCTGCGGAGTCGCGTCGTCACCTGGGATGACAAGGCTTTCTTCCTGGAGCAGAGATTCGTGTCGACAAAGGACGGTGTGGTGTGTGCCGTCATGTACTGCAAGCAGAGTGTCGTACGCAGCAGCCCGGACAAGATCATGCAGCACCTGTGTAAGCGGAAGGTAAGGGACAAAACAACAGGTCGATTGTGCATTTTGATTGTGGAGGGACATTGGGTGATGGTGGTGCTGCTTGCAGGTGGAGTGCCCGGAGTTTCCTGAGGACCTTCAGCACTGGGTCAACTTCATCTCCGCCAGCAGCCAGGCCCTCAGAGCCGAGAGCGGACTAGACGAGAAGAACAAATGAGGTGTCGCTCGGAGAGCTTTAGGATTGGCTCCTCGTGTGACAGCTAATTTACCTGCTTTGGGATTAAAGAACGTTTGTCTCCTGTTAACAATGACTTGATTTAAACACACGTGCGCCTGTACACATCTGAATGCAGGGTTTACTTGCAACTGAATACCCGTCAACACCGGAAGAACTATCACTGGTGAGGCTGAAACTGGATTGCTCTTTCAGTAATGATGAAGTATTATAATTGTATAAAGTGAATCTTTGTGTATAACGGCAGCAATAAAACAGATTTTGAAATACTATTGCACTTGTGCACCTTGAGTATGCATATGGACGCACTAACATTAAAAAAAACACATATTAGGAAACCCTCTCTTCATACCGTCTCTGCGGATAAGGAAAAATGTTCAGCTATAGAAGTTAAGTAACTACACAAGATGGCAATAACGCACCGCTGCGTTAAACCCTCAGAAAAGAGGAACCGAGTGACGTCACACCCCCGGAAGCTGTCTCCATTCATTCTACCGGTTTCTTTTAAGTTGAAACGCACCCGATGGTAGCGCTCTCTTCCGGACGCACGGTAAGTTTTACAGCTATACAACAAAACCCAGTCGTATTTGTGGTTATTGTTTAAATTCCCACAGTGCGAAAACTCGCGAAATGAAATGCGTCTTTCGCGTATCCGGAGTGCGGTCTCCGTTCCGCAAGGCCACTCACCGCTGGTAGCTAGCAGCTAAGCTAACCGGTTCGCCTGTCACAGCAGGTCGCGCTGCGTCTATTTCAAATGATCCGGTCCGGGGTGAAGTAGTTGGGTGATCCTGCGGGTGTGATCCTCCCGTAATTTAGCTGTAATGTTGAGCCAACGTGTGAGGAAATAACCAGACCTCGTTTCCCACGCGTTTGTGCTGACATTGATGAGGTCAAAGTTGATTTTCATTAACGTTAAATGTCGTCGTGAATTTAGAAAACGTGTTAATGGAATATCCGTGATCTAATCTGGGATCACTATATATTTATTTATAATGAATTTTAAATTATTTTCAACTCTATGCTATGTTGCTGCACCAAATCTTCTATTATACCCTATTATTTGTTAAATAATACCATATTATTGTAATATTATACTGAATTTGTTGTATATTGTATTATCTATAATACACCGGTATGTCCATTGAGTACCGTTAATTGAAGATTCCATTTTGTATGACCGGAAATGTTCATGTTATTCTGTAAATTAAAAAACTACTTCCAAGATGTTATAGACTTAAATGTAAACAACGTCAATGTCTCCCAGTTTATTTAATGTTGCTGTGTGTGTGTGTGTGTGTGTGTGTGTGTGTGTGTGTGTGTGTGTGTGTGTGTGTGTGTGTGTGTGTGAGTGAGAGTGAATAATGTCAGCAGAAGGTGAACATTGACTTTTTTTTTTTTTTTTACATCAAAGCAACACGTAGCAGAAAACTAAAATACAAGTAAAAACCTGGTAATAAGCACAACCTCTCCTTTAATAAGTCATCAGACCAGTTTACTATAAGCTAACATGAACTTGCTGATCCTGCACACTACAACAACATGTCACTTTACCTTGCAATTTGAAACCAAATACGTTCGCATAGGTCTTTCTCAGAACACTTGTTCTTATTTGGACTGTTCCAGAGAGATGTTGCTGTTGGTGCTCGGTGCCCTCCTCCTGCTCTTCTGCACTCTGGATGTATGGTACTTCCTACGAGGGGCCTATGTGTTCGCCCAGGCGTGGTTCCAACCCAGAGTACGGGACATGCTGGCCGAGCAAAGTATCGACGGCACCGTCCTTCCCCATGATTTGGACTACATGGGCCACATGAACAACTCCCGATATCTAAGGGAGTGTGACTTTGCCCGCTTTCACCATTACATGCGAAACGGGCTGTTCATGGCCTCTTGGAAACTGGGGGCCAGATTGGTGGTTGGGGCATCCACCATCCGGTACCGGCGCTCACTGGCCTTCCGAGAGGCTTTTGAGATTCGGACCAAAATTGTGGGATGGGATGAGAAGGCGTTCTACATCGAGCAACGCTTCGTGTCCAAGAAAGATGGTTTTGTGTCCGCGGTGATGCTGTGCAGGCAGAATGTGGTGCACTGCAGCCCGGAAAGCATTCTTGAGTTTGTCTGCAAAAGGAAGGTGAGCAATAGCTGGAAAAAGATAAATTACTGCTGCGACTGTAATACAACCGATTACAACCATTGCATATTCGTCCGTTGAATTTTTGAAAAATTAATTATTAATTTGACAATTCAAAAAACGAAATGATCAAACCTTTTCCCAATTAAATATCTGTCTATTGACTTAATAGTTTGAGCTCTGGTCTGTGGCTGTATTTGGCTTGTTTGTTTCTATTCATTTTTTTATTTGTGTGCAGATCGACTGCCCGGACTTTCCCGAAGACCTCAAACACTGGATCAGCTTCATCTCAGCCAGCAGCCAGGCTCTGAGAGCAGAGAGCGGACTGGAGGAGAAGAACAAGTGAAGCCTCGCACCATGACACCCTGAATCTTGAGTGTAGGTCCACATATAATTTTCATTGCACACACATATACAGTATACATCCATGCACACAAACAGTTAACGCCGTAGTGTTTTTAGTTGACTTAAAGATTCCATTTATCTGTTTCTGAGTTGATCCTTTCTTCTGTGTGTTTGCGTTTTGATGTGAACAGAAATACTGAACTTACATGTATGAAACTTAAACTATAAAGGTATTTCGCATTTTAAAATGTATGTGCATTGGGATCATATTGAAAGTTCTCTCAGCATAAAGTGACACAAGAAAGTAGCTTTATCCTTGTGGCTTAGTGACTGGCTTTAGACATTGTCGTTTTCATTTTAGCAAAATAACTTTAGATAAGCATGTAGAGTAAAAGTTATTCTTCCACTGACATGAATGCATGTTCTAAAGCAAACAGAAGATTTTATTTGTGCCTGTTGCTCTTGATTAGCCATAGTTTACAGCTATAATTGCAAAAAATTATAACTTACAAAAAAAGGTGTCATAAAATATCGAATGGACACCATGTACTATAAATTGTTTTAACATTGCCATCAGCATTTTGCACAGAGTAACCCAGGAAATAGACAAAAGTAATTCCTGTTAACAATCTGAAAGAGATAATTTGATCGTTTTGATCAATACAGTGTTGATCTTTTACACACTGTATAATAGATGCATATAAAGGGTGGGCTTTGTGATTGGAATTGTGTGTAACTTTAGGAGGAAGTGCCCATATTCAAATTACACAATAAACAAATGGTAACTTGAGGTTGCTGGCAACTTTTCAAAACCTCCAACGCGTTGTGAACACTGATGTGGGATCATGCTTGACATTTATTTAATCTAAAAACCTTCCCTTTTAATGCATTCAAGCTTTATTTTGTGACTAAAGTAATGTATTGCTCCGAATGAAGAGACATTCAAATGAATTGTTTAAGATGTATGCAGCCTGTTATGTATGTTGTTCATACACTGAAAATCCTGCTTCATTTATTGAAGTCTGAAGATAATCCCTCTCCCTTTTTTCCCACATATTATTTATGATATATTGAAATTAGTTAATGTACCGAACCTTATTTATTGTGTTGATTATTTAAAGGAATTTTGAATTAAATGCGTTTAAAAGTGAATTTTTGTGGGGTTTCTGGAGTGCTTGCTATTCAGCAATAGCTTGAGCCACGTATCTATTGTGGTTTTTGAGGTTCCAACACTTGTTTTTGTGACTAACTATTTACTATTATTCGTCACGTATTACAAGTATCAGAGGAAGTACTGCTTTTAGAAAACATTCCTTTTAAAAAAAAACACTTTAATATTGCAGCTGGTGAAAGTAGAGCTGATAAATAATACATCGTTATTTCGTGTTTGGAATCTGAATTCAATCTAAAAGAACGCTGCACTGTAGCAGAAACCGGAAGTAGCCTCCTAGTTTAAAGTATCAATACATTACATTACATTACAGGTCATTTAGCAGACGCTTTTATCCAAAGCGACTTACATTACACTCTAAACCCGTGGCTTTTTCACATTTTTGCCCAGGGAGCAATTAGGGGTCAGGTGTCTTGCTCAGGGACACTTCGACATGGAACATGGGGCAGCCTGGACTCGAACCACCAACCTTATGCTTCCCAGCACACCTTCTCTAGCTCCTGCGCCACGACGACCCTCCATATTTAAGTACGGTAGCATACATACGTAAGAATTAGTATTTTATTTTTACATAGGTAAGAAACTGTCATACTATTGTTTTTATTTTTATATCGAGTGATTATAACGGTTGTCATACAATATAAATTGCATTATTTTGAAAGTACGTTTTTTTAAAGATTAAATTCCCCGCATCGGTTTCCGGTAATGCCTCTCTGGCCACGCCCCCACTTCCTGTAAACAAAGCAACCGCTGTGCGTCCTTTCAGTTTCGTGTGTATTCGCTCATTTTCTACACCAGCTTTAGGGTTTTTCCTCTTTTTTTACGATGGCTCAAGCCGGCCTGGTTCTGGACAAGGACCAGTTCAACTGTTCGGTGTGTCTGGACGTGCTCAGGGACCCCGTGACCATCCCCTGCGGCCACAGCTACTGCTCGGACTGCATCCAGAACTATTGGGACCAGGACGACTACCTCGGGGTCTTCGTGTGCCCGCAGTGCCGCCACAACTTCAACCCGAGGCCGGTGCTCGCCCGGAACACCATGTTGGCCGACGTGGTGGAGAAATTCAAACAGACGGGACTCCAAGAAGCCGCCGCGGGCACGACGACAGCGACGGGGGCGGCGGCGGCCGTTGGTCAACATTTCGCCGAGGCCGACGACGTGGAGTGCGACGTGTGCACGGGGAGGAAGAACAAGGCGCTGAAGTCCTGCCTGGTGTGTCTGGCCTCCTACTGCGAGCTCCACCTGCAGCCGCACTACGAGTCCGCCGCTTTCAAGAAGCACAAGCTGGTGTGCGCCTCCAAAAAGCTCCGGGAGACGATCTGCGGCCGACACGACAAGCTGCTGGAGGTCTACTGCCGCACCGACAAGCAGTGCATCTGCTACCTGTGTCTGACGGACGAGCACAAGGGCCACGACACGGTGCTGGCCGAGGCCGAGATCCAACACAAGCAGGTAATCGATTCGAGACCGAGGGCTGCTGATCAGTGATCAGCTGCTTCTGTTTGAGTTAAATAGACCGTTGATGTCATCAGCGCGGTGTGAAAGCAGTCTCCTTAGATTGAACTGTTGCTGCTCAGGTCTGCTGGGAAAAGATCATATACTTTAGTTTCAAGTACAGGGGATATTCATGAAGCTTAAGTATAATGTTTTTAAAGGTTGCATTTTAACCCTTTATTAAAACAAAAGGGCCAGTTAGAGCCGTGAAATAACTCTTTTCTTCATTATTTGCATATTAAAATAATAGATTCACAAATCTCAAGCTACTTAAACCGTATTTATGGTATCTGGTTTTAAAAGCCTCTTTTCTGTTTTCACAAATCGAGGAACGGTTCCAATCATTTTAATTGGGGCCTTTTACCAATGTAATAAAATATTTTTTGTTGTTGAAATGATGCATACACTCAGATGTCCATAAAATTAACTTTAATTGTCACCTTTTCCCGCATGTTTTCCTCAGGGGCAGCTCGCCGACATGAAGCAGAGCTCCCATCTGAGAATCCATCAAAGGGAAAAGGGAGCCCAGGAGATTAGACAAGCCATTTTCTCTCTCTCTGTGAGTTCCAACCTGCATGGTCTGATATAAATTCAGTAAATCTCCACATTTGCGCCTCAACCTCTCCCCCCGCCCTCCTCCGGCTCATGAGACAACGTGGACGATGCCTTCTACGTGTCGCTTCGTTTCCCCCCCCCCCTCCCCTCCCCTCCAGCGTTCCGCCCGGGTGGCCGCCGCGGAGAGCGACGCCGTCTTCACCGAACTCATCCGGTCGATCGAGCTGAAGCGCTTCGAGGTGAGAGAGCTGATCAATGCCCAGGAAAAGACGGCGGTGAGTCAGGCCGAGAAGCTGCTGGAGGAGATCCAGAAGGAGATCGCGGAGCTGAAGAAGAACGAGGCGGAATTGGACAAACTTTCCCACACCGACGACCACGTCCGCTTCCTTCAGGTACACACCAAAGTGTGGTGGTTTTTACTTCAATACATTGATGCGTGTAATTTAAGATTTTACCTGCAAATCACATCATCCGTTTGTAGAATAGGATTTCTTATTTAGTGCACAATTGGGCATTGCTTACAGAGTCATTTTAACCCTTCTTTATTCTTTATTTTAACTCATTTTCACCTTAATTTATAATACTTCTAAAGCAAACTGGCATTTTTATTTAATTTCAAACTACGGACTTATTTGTCGAACATGTTAAGATAATTACAAAATATATATATATATATTCTTGGCCCCCACACACTTTTTTTGTGGGAAATTCATTTTGTATAATGAAAGGGGTTAAAAAACAAAAGTACTTTTTGGGGTCAGTAGATCTTTAGACGATTTAGGTAGCGGATATTTAGTATTTAGTTTATTGATACCTCTGTACATTTAGATTTATACTTTTAATGACGTATATTTGTTAGTGTGCCGAGACTACTTTTACTTAAGTGAAGGATATGAATATTTCCAGCACTAAAAACCAAACAGGCAGATTTTATTGACTGAACTCATTGTCTTTTTGTTTGTTATTCCAGAGCTGTCAGTCTCTGCGTGCTCCACCTGAGCTGTCAGCTTTGCCTTTGGTCACTGTTGACCCCAACCTCACCTTTGGCCCAGTGATGACCGCTGTGGCAGATTTTAAAGGACTGTTGCAGGAGGTCTGCCAGGGAGGATTTGTCAGCATCTACGAAAAAGGTGGATACTAAGTGTGTTTTTGTCAATTAGTGTGTTTATCCGGTAGGACAAATATTGTGTCAGCTGTGATTTTTTTTTTCTTCCCTCTTTTGCAGTGAGAGATATAGTGATTGTTGGTCCTTCAAATCCTGCTGTACCGCTGGACACTGCGCTGCCCGGCGATTTTGAATCAGCCCTACAAATGGAAGCAACACTAAGTGAGTGTAAAACTGCCGCTTCTCGTTTTTAGAGCAGAATTTTCTTCCCTTCTGCCAAGTAATCTTTTAATGTTTGATTGATCAATGAGCACCAACAAAATGTGACATGATAGCAATACATTTAAGCCTGTGGTAAATAATCATGTTTCCTTTCCATCCGTTTATACTGTTTTATATTGATGTTATGCGTGCTGTGCAGTATTAAAAATGCTAACATGAACACGTTAAACCTTGAGAACGCTGCCTGTGCATCCTAACCACAAACACCGTACTCAACGTGTTTGTTCAATGTGGCGTCTCTGAATCGGCTCATGTGGAACGACGAGATTCTGCCATCTTTGGACAACTGAGACCAAACGGCGTTTGTTCTGTTTGCGCTTTCAGTGACCCTTCCGGGCGGGCTGGACCAAAGTCTTGGGATCCCTCTAACTGGCCTAGACCAATGTCCCCTGAACCCCCTGAACCCGTTTCTCCCCCCCGGACCTTCTGTGCCCACCTTTACCTTCTCACCATTTGGTAAATAAAGCTTTTATCAAAATGTACAGGTTTTTAAGCATTAAACTGTGCCCAGAGACCCTTTTGCAAGAGAACCCCAAAGGCCAATTGTATCACAAATAGTCATACAAATGGTGGAAAAAAAGAATCATTGCTATATAATAGTTTAGTAAATTTAACATAAACCCTGCATTTAATGAAGTATTGAGATATTTTGCCTTATTATGACACTAAAAATAAGTTACAATAATAGTTGACCTATTTATTGGTACAAAAGTGCAAACTTATTATCAGCTTATGGATTTAGGCCACAGAACACGAGCGTCATATCACTGGACTATTAATGCTGATGTGTAATTAAGAAAGCAACATGTTCAAACTAATTCCTGTTCTGTCTGACCAGGCACTAAACTCTCCTCAGGATCCAGACAGAGACACCTTCAGCGGCGCTCTCACCCGAGGAGGAAGTAGCCCTGCAGTGGACATCTAAATCAACACTACACACGCACGGGCAGAATGGCATTATACCGCAGTGCTTTTCTCACACAAATCTGTACTTAATTTATTCTATGGTATTAATTTAGTTGTGTTTTAAACCAATCAGCTAAAAGTATTAAGCATCTTATTTCAGTATTTCAAAAGAAATGTTTTTTAACAAAATTGTGCTTTTTTTTAATGTTTTAAACTAAAACTACAAAACAATCATTTCACTTTATTTGTGTAATAATATATTGGGACTTGAATTGCTGACATTAAAAACAAAAACAAGTGCACACGTACACACTAGACTAGCGGGTGGTGTCTGTTTCCATGGAGGCTGGTTCGGGGGTTTCGGGTGTACAATGTGGAATAACAGGTTGACTGCGCGCGCGCACACACACACACACACACACACACACACACACACACACACACACACACACACACACACACTGCGGTGCTTTTGTTTAAAATGCTGTGCGTCCCACGTCGGTCCGTCTGACGTGAAGCCAGAAGAGGCGAGGTGGCTCGTGAATAGACTGTTTGCGTCGCTCCGGAGGCTTTATCCCCACCGGCAGGTGAAAGCCGTCATCAGCGCACCTGTCGGCCACGCCCACTCCTGCCCGCGGTCTAGTGTCGCCTCGGCTCCGTGTGGGAAATGGCAGCGGCGACCATTTCGATCGAACAAGACCAGTTCTGGTGCTCGGTGTGCCTGGAGGTCCTCCGGGACCCGGTGACGATCCCCTGCGGGCACAGCTACTGCCTGCGGTGCATCGAGGACTACTGGGACGGGCCCAAGCAGAAGGGCGCGTACACCTGCCCGCAGTGCCGCCAGGCGTTCGCCCCCAGGCCGCTGCTGAGTCGGAACCACGTCCTCGGGGAGGTGGTGGAGAAGTTCCAACGGTCCGGGGGAGAGGAGGCGAGCTGCAGCGCGTGCACGGGGAGGAAGAGCAAAGCCGTTAAATCGTGCCTGGTGTGCTCGGAGTCTTACTGCGCGCCTCACCTGAGGGTCCACGAAGACCGCTTCCGGGGGAGGATCCACAAGCTGGTTCCAGCCGGGGAGCCGCTGAGACCGAAGCTGTGCGCGCACCACGACAAAGCGCTGAGGCTGTTCTGCCGCACGGACCAGCAGTGCGTGTGTTCCCAGTGCGTCCAGGAGAGACACAAGGACCACGACGCGGTGCCCGCGGTGGAGGAGCGAGCGACACAACAGGTGAGTTCAGCGATCTTTGTTTCTTGTTGAGATGAGGAGTTAGTTGGACGTTTTCACAGCATCATTTTAATTGTAAAGGGTACTTTTTATATTAGTGCTATGATTTCCGCGTGGGGCTGAGAAGATGAGCCGGATTATATTCATATTGCAACATCGGTTTATTTTAGCTGTGTGACTGTGGTGGAAGAACTATTTCAATATTTAAATTAAAGTAAAAATAGAAAACCCCCAGTGTAAACATGTACAAGTCCTGCATTAAAACACACGACTAAGAACAGCAGCATTGGCATCAAAAATACTTGGAGGTACAAAACATACAAACTGTCCCTTGTTATACAAAAGGTCCTTTTAGAATATGTATGATTGAATTTATTTGCACATACTGTGGTTGTTATAGGTGGAGCTCATTTAAATGACTAAATATACAGAAGCTGTGCGCGCACCATGACAAAGCGACAATATACAGTTGTGCAGCTCTTGAACTCCCCCTGGGATTAATGTACTTGAGTAAATGGGATCGTTGATGAAGTTGTCAATGTTCATGGAGATAAAGTATTCCAATGCAAACAGGAAGTGGTCTGTTGCCATGCATTGAAGGCCTTTTTAAAGACTATGGAGGTGGGCTGCAGTGTGAGACATTAATCTTTGTATTCTTAGAAAAAACTCCAAGAAGCCTCGTTGAAGTCCGTGCAGAAATTGAAGGACACCGAGAAGGAACTGAGATATCTGGTCAGATACATCAAGGTGAGCGTATCGGCACTCTCCTCACATATACAATCCATGCATACCCCCGACACTATTAATGGCAAACTGTTATCGTCCACAGCACTCCACGCAGGCCACCGTGGAGGAAAGTGAGAGGGTTTTCGCCAAGCTGATCCGCGCCATAGAGAAGCAGAGCAGCGATGTGACGGAGGTGATGAGGGTCCAGGAGAGAGCAGCCGTCAGTCAGGCGGAGGAGCTGCTGGAGACGATCCAGAAGCAGCTCGTCGAGCTCAGAAGGACCGACGCTGAGCTGGAGAAGGTTTCTCGCACTGAGGACCACATCCAATTCTTTCAGGTACGCAACAAAATGTTTTTTTTTCCTCTACTACATTGATTTGAAAAGTTAACTTTATGTCAGATTAATGGTGCAAAATATAAATATATTATTGGAATATATTTATTCCAGAATTGATCCCCAGGAAATCCCCCAAGCTACCCAAATACAACACAAGCTCCACTTTTAAGCAAAAAACGTAATTTGATTCAAAATAAAAACTGGCACCGCGAGAGCACAATCTTGGCTTATTTAAGATCAAATTGTATTGTCTCCATTGTTTCCAAAAACCTGACAAATACGATAATACTATCCATGTTATGACGTAGATCTGTTTTATTTGCAAGAATCAGTCACTCTGAAGCTTTTGCATTTAAATGTCTTCATTTGACTCAACAGTTTAAATGATGTAGTAAAAGTGTAGTTTCTAAGTTTTGTTTGTGTTACGTCCTCACAGAAGATCAAGTCTCTTAATTTCCCCGCAAAGACGGCGGCGATGCCGAGCTCCGACGCACTGCAGTACACAATGTACAAAACAATGAGAGGAGCGCTGGCGGACCTGAAAGGCGGTCTGGATGAAATCCTCGAAAAAGAATTCAACAGGATCTCTGATAAAGGTGTGTTATCTATTTCGCACGTGATCACTATAAAACAGTATTTACTGTTCACAAAACAAATCACAAGAGTTTGTTCTACATTTCTAGTCATTTCATTGAAGGAAACCAGCAATCAAAGTACCGCCGAAAAGAGGAAAGGTACGCGGGACTCGGGGGCTACTAATCGACTGAAACGGAAACTGTGTCTAATACTTGTTTGTCCTACAGCAAAAGACGCTGACATACCGTATAACTCTGAACCGAAGACGAGAGCCGACTTTCTGCACTGTGAGTACCGTCCTTTGACACCCGACTGACACGCGACACCAATGACTAACTGCCGCTGTCGTCCAGATTCCAACGACTTGACCCTGGACCCAAACACGGCCAACCCCTACCTGAGCTTCTCCGACGGTCGCAGAGGGGTGACCACGCGCTCAGAGCCACAGCCCTACCCGGACCACCCGCACCGCTTCACCAGCTGGGCCCAGGTGCTGGGCCGGGCCGGCATGGCCGGACGCTGCTACTGGGAGGTGGAGTGGGCCGGCAGCGGAGGGGTCTCCATCGGCGTCTGTTACAAAAACATGGGCAGGAGCGGCGGCGGGAGCGACAGCAAGCTGGGACACAACTCCAGGTCGTGGAGCCTGGACTGCTCTCCCTCGGACTGCTTCTTTCAGCACAATAAGGAGCGAGTGACCGTCGGCGCCGCCTGCTGCAGCAGGATAGGAGTGTATCTGGACTTCAGGGGCGGGACTTTGTCTTTCTATAACGTCTCTGATGCGATGGTGTTGCTCCATAAAGTGAAGACTACGTTTGCCCAGCCTGTGTATGCAGGTTTCTGGGTGGGTTTGAGTTCTACTTTGAGGCTGTGTGCTCTTTAAATGCAGAGATTAGTGCAGTTCATCGAAAGTTCAAGTAACTTTGTTAGAGCGCTGGACCCAGCATTACAGTAAACATGTAAACACCTTATGGCATTTGTTTGGATCTGCAAAGGTAAGACAGGGTTTATTAAATAAACTATTTCTAAAGAATCATTTGTACATGAAAGCTATTTTACTTAATTACATTTCAAGCTGTGGAAAGAGCACACGGTCATGCCAATAGTTCTTTTTGCATAATTTTTTATGATGTCAACTTACATTAAACTTTTAAATATTTTTTTCTGACTTCAACATGAGGATGTTATTTAAATATTTAAGTAACCCTTAGCGCATGGGATAGAAAATAATGAAACACTCACAATTCGTGCTCAAAACTTTACATTTTAATAAATGTGCAATCCAGGAGCAGCAGCAACACTTTGGAGCTTAGATCTTATTGAACGCAGCAACATCTATACTCTGGATCTGCAAAGGAAAACAAGGCCAATAAGTTAAGGCATAGACATACTATCAAAGCCATTTTAAACCATTTGCTCATTTAGGCTGTTTGAAGACAATTTTGCAACAAACACATAGAAGCCTCTAGAAGTAGAAGACCGACTCAAACGCACACGTGTGGGAAGAACTCGCCTTGCAGTCTATTTTAGTTTTGCTTCACTCAGACATAAGGGTTACGCTGTCGTAAATTAAACATTTGAAGTGACACAACTGTGTCCATTGAGCTTGACTCGCAAGCCGAAGATAACCAGCACTCTACAGACGAGCTGCCAGGATTAAACTCCGCCTCGAGAATCCCTTTGAATGGCTTTGCATGATAAGAATATTTTAACCGTTTGGGTCACAGGGCCTAATTTATCATACTGAACCATAATCCAACAAATTACGTTTTTCATGCATTTCCCATTGCTTTTGTTTGAAAAACATAGGAAAGATATTTCACTGTCGGACTTTAACGCAATTTTTCAAATGATTCAAGCGACACAAATTCCCTTCATCTCCGTAGTGTCGGGTGGCGGCAGAACGCTCTACATGCGTACGGCTCGGCGTAAAATCAACTGAAGCTGCACGATCAGTATGAACAGATTCCATCAGAGGGGAATTCACTTACATAGTCCTCAAACTTGGTGAGTTCCTCCTCCAGGATGTCGGTGCCGACTTTGTCGTCCTCGACCACGCAGTTGATCTGCAGCTTCTTGATGCCGTAGCCAACTGGCACCAGTTTGGAGGCTCCCCACAGGAGCCCGTCCATCTGCACGGACCGCACGCACTCCTCCAGTTTCCCCATGTCGGTCTCATCGTCCCACTAAGCGGAGACACACGGCACGTTCATTTAACCAAAAGCTAAAAAAAAAAAAAATCTAAATATTTCCCACAATTCACAGAAAAATGCTCAAAACACGTTGACTGACAGCGCGTACTTTAGTTTTGAGTTCATGCATGTTTAACATTACCTGGTTGAGAGTGAATGAATGCATTGATTTAGTTCTGTCAGATCTAAAAATACATTTAATTAAAATGCATTTTAAAAAGAACATTTCATATCTTTTTTTCCTTTGAAAATCTGATAAAACCAAACAAACTAAGACACGACTTTGTCGCCTACAAGAGACCAGCATGTTTACAGGAGCCGCATGATGCGGTTCAGGAGGACACGTACGGGCTTAACGTCCAGCAGGATGGACGACTTGGCGATGAGGGCGGGTTTCTTGGACTTCTTGGCTGCGTAGGCGTCCAGGCGCTCCTGCTTGATGCGCTCTGCTTCCTCATCGTCATCACTGCCAAACAAGTCGATGTCGCTGTCATCGTCGTCTCCATTTTCCACCTTTACGGGTTTCACTGGGGCAGCTTTGACTGGGGCAGCCTGGTCAAAACAACGGACAAGGGTTATCAGTTCAATTTCTATTTTTCATAAAATAGGATCACTAGATGTGTAATTGTGTAAAATAGCAAAAGGGCTTGTAGACATTCCTCCTCGAGAGAGGAAAACAAATAAAAAGTACATAAAAGGAAATTACATAAAAATTAAATGTATTTGGCACTTGTGAATTGTATCTTTTTTCCAGATATGGTGTCCAAACACAAAAAAACAGTAGAAAACTTTTTCCAGAAAGCCAAAGTAGTACCTTTCAGACAGCATGTACATGAACTTGGTATTGAACCTAAATAAAACAAGCACCACATCCGTCGCTGTCTACCTTTGCACACGTGACGGCCGCTGGACTCTTTTCAAGCGAAGCCACTCTGAGCTCGAGCTTCTTCAGGGCTGCTCTCATCTCCTCCACCACTAACAAGCAAACGAAAAACGATCAAGATTGTGAAATTAAGAACACGCTCAGGAAGACATTCAAAAGCACTCAACACACCTTTGTGCAGAGTCTGGTTCTCCAGTTCCATGCCCTTCATGCGAGAAACCAGCTCCTGGTCTCCTGCTCCATGAGAGGAGGACTGAGGAAAGAAGAACACTGATAAATTAGTGTCAGCGATCGGATGATGACAAAGCAGATTCCCGCTCATCCACGTGGAGCGACAATCCAAGCCTGAAGCGCAGCAAACTAAAACGAACGTGTAAGTTTTAAAAAGAAACCCATGCGATGCTAAAATCGATCACACAATGATTTGGATACACAACGCCATCACTATTAAGAGACGATCGTTTACAAAACCAGCATGCGGGCAGACAAGTGATGGGTAACTAGTTGGAAGGCCGGGTTGGTTTGGACGTCCCAGTGGGGAGAACAGCAGCACACAGCCGGTCCGACTCATGCACCGAGCAGCACACCTGGAGGAGGAACTCTTACGTTTCGGTGGCGCCGTTTTTGTGGGGCCTCTTTGGGTTGCAGCACTGCCGTTTTTGCCTGCGCCGGGGGGATGTGCACAATGAACGGGGTAATGGTAATGGTGGGGGGGAGGGGGGACATTACAACTCAGTCGTCACGAATAGGACGGAACAAGACGCCAATGTTGTTATGATAAAATAGCAGATGGGAACTTCTAGCAGCTCCAGGAGTCCTTTCACACCACGAATACAAGGATCAACCAATCACGTTGTACGTATTCACAAAGTCCAAATATAGTCACAGTGTTTCACATTCTACTGTCAAAGTAAATACTTATCCCACACATACAGTGTGTAAAGGCCTTAAGACCAAATTATTTTTTGGAAAAAAGATTCCTGACATGAAAGTCCACTGTGGCTGCAACAGACAGCTTGCAGAGGTAGTAAACACTAAGAGGGAGTTTGAACAGCATAGAAAGGAGGAACAAGCAACCGAAATGCTTCCCATGTGCATAGGAGCATGCAAATATTGTTTAAAGACAGACTTCTCCTTAAGAAAGCTGATTTTTGATTATGCGACGATGAGCACACTTCTACTGCCGACGTGGTAAATGACATTGATGTAGAGACAAACTGCAACGAAGATGATGTGAGAATCTATGATATGTAATGTGCATGTCTGCAGCATGCAGAGAAAACATCTCGTCAGGTGCAGGCAAAGTGTTTTCTGCGAATCAAACATTCATTTCCCCAATGACCTGCTGTCTCTATACTGAAACCATGATTTCATACTGATTGAGATGTTCCCCTCTTGTAAGGCTGGTTCACAAACATTAGTGAGTACAGTCCTGCCACTACAGGGAGGGGGGGGTGTTGTGGCTCATTCGTAGGACAGTACTCACTCCGTTGAGGGACTGCAGGATATTCTGTCGGGATTTAGCAATGTCCTGCAGGATGGCATTAAACTCCCTCTCCTGCAGGTGTATGTGGGTCAAGCAGTGATGAAGCGGCAGCGGTGACAAAGACAAAGCAGAACGCAAAACTGACAAAAGCAAATTTAAAGTGGTCAGCACATTGTGGTGGCATGCATTAAGGCAACGCAAACCAAGGAGGATGACCCACAACTCAAAAGCATTCATGGTCACTTCCCACTAAACCAACAGTGAAACACAGGTGTGAAATGACATGAAGGGTAAGTGAGGACAAATGGCAGTACGTGTGTTTCGGGTAGAACGTCTCTTTAAAAGACCTGCAAGTGATCACTCTAATCTCCATTGTTCCAAGAGGCTCGCGTGGAGACTCTGCTGCCCCGGGCAGCTTGAGAGGCAGCGACAGCTGCCAAACCACATGACCTCTCTCACCAGGACGTGCCACTTCTAAATCGAGGGACTTAACGCTCGCGCACACAGCTGCTCCGTGCTGGTCGGTGACGTGAGCGTTGCTCAACGAGCAGCGTGGGCCAAGGAGGCGTCGGGCGAGGAGGAGGATTGGGAATGAGCCCCCGTCAAACGTAAACCCTTATTAATTCTGGGAGCGATACGATTGTGGAACATTAAATAAAAAGTCCTGGTGAGCAAGAGACACCAGACAAAGCAGAGCATCCGGTTACCTTTGCGGCGGTTCCATTGGCGCCCTCGTAGAAGCACTTCTCTGCGTCGTCGTAGCGCTGCTTGTCGAACCAGACGTTCTCGGTGGCGAGGCACTGCAATCCGCTCATCTTGGTACTGAGCAGGGGAGTCAGAAATTCAGAAGTAGTGAGGCGGCGCAGAGAAGAGCCAACTGAACGCAGATTAGCAGTAGTTTATTCTCTGTATAACCAACAGCAAAGACCGCGCGTGTGTGTGTGTGTGTGTGTCATCATTAAAGCCGGCACGACCCGTGAGACGACATGAGGCACAGAACACGGGTCGATTAGATGCTTGACCAGCACACGGTGCATCACTGAACCACACACGGCCACAGATGGGGTTGTGGGTGGAACAGGAAGACAAAACAAAAAAAAACTAGGAGTTTCAACCATAAATGAAAAGCTGAATAAAATTTTAAAAAGGCCTCAGTTCCTGGGTGAAAGAGGACTGCGTGCATGCCGGACCCCCCCGTCCCATAATGCTGACCGGCTTCTACACATTCCTCAGTCAAACGCTCTGCAAAGTCAGGATTACAGAACAAAAAGGTCGGGGGACTCGCTGTCCTCACACAACCCCCCCCCCCTTAGGGATAGCAGAGGTCCCTCCCTGTTGTGTGACTCTCAAAACAAAGACCGGGTTTACGACTAGTCGGTACACGATGACACGTTGTGCGCTCATATTACATGAGACACACATTCAGACCAGCCACATGCACAGGGCTGTATTCATGCAGGTTTCAGGTCAGACCAACGATCAGAGAAGAGGAAATACAGCAATATTGCAAACATGAGGCCACTGCAGCACCTTGAATTAATGTGGAGTTTGACGGTGGTAAGTTTTGCCGTGATGCATCAAGGGAGTGATCTCATCTCAACAACCCGAGTGCTTAACGTTAACTAAAAACTCCGTTCAGACACGTTCAGAGGGAAGTTGGCATCACCAAATGAACTCGGGGGTTGGATGCAGCGGATATGGGACGCCAATGAGGTCATGCGGGCAAAGAAACGGTGGATTGATCAATCGCAACCGCTCAAACAGTTTCCAGATATTACAGATTTCCCTTTTACAAGAAGAGTGCAGAACGCCTCCTTTGGGTTTGCTGGTACGATCGTCCAACGATGCCCAGAGAAACAGGAGCTCATTGATCAATCCCACGTGAGAGTTTCACAAATCAAAGCTAAAAAACAAACAACGCAACAGACGAACAGGTGAAAATGGTCAACAATAACGTTAGGATGCGTTTTGAGCGTTTCCTCAATAGTCATTGGAAATCTACTTAGTGCACCTTTTTTAAAATATAGATGTTACAGTTAAGAGGTATTCACATCTTAATTGGAAACTTGAAGGTTTAATAAAGACCGTGACCGTCTGGACTAACGGACAGCAGCTGTGTCCGATTCATGAGGAAACACCGTTTAAACGCTAAATAAGTTTATTTTGAAACGTTCACAAACCCAACCTGTGACACGGGGTCCGGCTCACCTTTTTTTTGGCATGCTGAGGGATAATTGTGTGCTTCCTATTGTGGAATGGAACATTTAAATACATCAGAGTAATCACACGTTTGAATTATATCGACGATAAACGTTTCATTAAAGACAATGCACATGCTTCTAACAGCAGCACTTCCTTGCAGAAACATGCAGCCACACGACACACAAAAAAACCCTAGATTTTCATGCATACAGAAATTAAACCAGCTTAACCAAATGAAAACAACAAAGAAAACCCTTGCAGACGTGCTATGTATAATCTAAAGCGAGTGCAGGTATAAAACTCTCAGTGGCTGGATTGCACGACGTCAACCTGTGCACGGCAGGCCCAAAACCCCTGGAACAGCTGTTTCCATCAGGCCCTTTGGGAGGCCACCGTTTTTTTTCACGGACACACATATTAAAAAGATGCGTTTGCAGAAAATTCAACCTGTATTCAACCTCCACGAGATGTGGGATTCACTACGTGGATGCAGTCACACACTAAAGTCACACAGCGTGCCAGCGTGACGTGTTAAACGCACCAGCGCTCACCTCGACGGCAACGGAAAGCTGATGGGCAACACACAAAAAGAAAAGACACAACATGTCCGTAAAAGTACAGAATGTCTCGGTAAAAACACCTACAGAAAGCAGATTATTCTAAACGAAAACGTGGGGAATTAAAAGGCTGGTTCTCTGGCGTTGGTTGAAAATAACGGTTAGGTGTCGGTTAGGAAACAATCCCTGGAAGAACTAAAGTTAAGTGCATGCTGCGGGTCATGGACCAGGCAGAGGACACATCGATGTGAAGTCCTTGTCGTCTCTCCACTTGTTGCTCTTTCACTCCGCTTGTTGCTCTTCTTTCACTCCGCGCAAGTTTTTTCTTCTTTTTTTGACAGCAACTTGCAGCTAGTTTCTTTGACCACGTGGCGCTGGTAAAGCTCCTAAATATAAAGCGTTTTAACAAAGCCCGACTAACCGTGTTAAAGTTCAGGTCGGCGGCCAACAAAAGAAAGAAGTACAAGTCCTCGCACACTTACTCACTTGCTTTTAGTTGGTGTTTTATTGCTTGGTAACCGTCGGATCGCGTGCTGCCTCGGCTGGTATCCGACAGGGAAAGAGGGCTGACGTCACGGGGCCGCCCAACTTCTGACGTGTCCGGGGGGGCGTCAGCGTCCGTTAGCGTCCATTTTTATTCAATATTTATGAAAAATGAAATTAAAAAAGACAACAAAACACGCGAAAATGAACAAGGAGTCCGTGAAACCCTGAAGATAAGCACCGATACGTGTTTGCAATACTTTTTAGGGGCCACCTCAAGATTGGTATGATCCAATTTGTCGAACGACTTCATTTCCCACAGTTCTAAGCGAACGGGTCAGTCGTTGAGGCCGAGCACAGCCACTCGCAGTCCATGGGACTGGCCAGGTTCATCTGAAAGAATAACATAATGCTGCTTTTGTCTTCTCTGCACGCTGTGTCTTTGAAATTGCACATTAAAAAAAATGCAGTTTTCCTCAGGTTAAGTTTATTTTGGAGTCAAATACCTTTTCCTCCGTTGTCCTCCAGGAGGCAGACTATAGTCGAGAGCCAAATTGGACTGTAACTTCTGCTAAAAACAATGACTGACTCATTCTGTATTATACCAAAGTGAAGCATCACTGCAGCTCAGACAATTAAAGATTTATCCAATAGTCATTAGAATTGCTAATGCATCCTTCTTTGACTTCTTGTAAAGAGTGGAACCCTTCTTTCACTTAATCGGCCCTACATCATCAAGCCTTTTCCTGCCCTACTTTATTATTTCTTACAGCTCTTTCTTTTTGCATAATGTATGTCCCACATCTGTGTGCTAGAGTCTACTGGGTTCTGTTCTGTATTGCTATAGGGTATTTTACAATTTATTAAACGTCTACAATTCATTTTGGACTTCTTGGGTGCAAAACCACAAAACATGAATAAAAGTGCACATATATGTTAGAATGAATGGTTTAAAATCCCTTGACATATCACGTTTTGGATGCTGATTATTATGAGACCAAAATCTTTTGGTTTGCAAAACATTAACATCTGCTCCTCTGGATGAGGTCACCACCTTGTGGAGCCAGATGCTGAGGTGAGCTGTCAAACCAAATAAAGTTCATCTTCTAACATTGCTAACTGGTCGGAAACCAGAATGTAAACCTAATTTGGCAACATGAACTGACGCATAGCACATTTTATGTGAAGCAACGTGAGTGGTTCATTTTTTATTTTTTTTTACACATGAGAAAATATATGTAAAACCCTTAACTTGAAAGTTGAAACCTTAGCACTTTCGCTTCCAGTTTTAGGAAACAGATTTTCACAAGTATTTGTCACACCTATGTGACCTCTGTGACGTTCCTCCTGGAGCAAAGCCTCACTATGACTTTGTCCTGTAGCACTGACAAGGTCTGTAAAACAAGAAGAATACATGTCGCAATGTATTGTATGAATAGAAGTGCAAACAGATATAATTTAGTGTTTGAAAGATATACTTGGAAATATAACATAACATGACAACATTTATTTTTTTACTTTTTGCAATTATTTTTTATATAATATTTTTTTTACTTCTTCATGAAATTACTAAACCAATATACTTTGCCTTGTCCCAATATATTTTGACATTTGAAGGTTGAAACCTGTGTTCCTGTTCTTGAGAACAGATCTAAGGATTTTGTCTCTTTTTAGCACTGGCCTGCTCCACATATATACCTGCAAACTGCAAGGTGGTAACAACCTTCTGGAGTATTTTAACCACAACCACAACACACTTTTCCTTTTAGATTCCTTTTAGCGGCTTTATCCTCTGTGTATTGGGTCCTTTGGGCTTCCTGATGTTTCCTGCTTTGGTGCATCTTGTTAACAGACACCTTGTCAAAATGGGAGGGTTGGAAGTATTAAGTATCCGCTTTCTTGATTTGAGTGAAAGTATACAACATAAAACATTCTACCTAAGTAACAGTAATAAAGTGTTATTTTAAGTACTTTAGGAGCAACACATTAAGTACGAGTAATGCTTTTAAAATGGTGCAAGGTATTTTGATGTGGTATCTTCATTACACTATCAGGAAATTGAATCCAATATAACAAAGGATCCTTTTTCATCAAAAGTGGAATGTCACTCTGTTTTTTTAAAGATAATTTTATTTACCCAGAGCGTTTCAATTTTCTACATACATCAACTGCATTTCAATATTATACTTTTTACTCCACTATTTTTATTGGACTGCTGAGGTTACGGATATGATTTTAAAAACAAAACGTATTCATTTATATTGTATATATTAAAGTATTTTATGGCATATAAGGTGCAGAAGTTAAAATGTGCTTTACATTTACATTTATATATACAAGTACCAACCATCTTTGCTGTTAAGACTTTTACACCTATGGAATTCTTTAATGTATTGTATTTTTACAAAGCTGCATGGTTCACATTAATAAAAGACATTTATTCCACCGCTGTCATCGTATTGAATCATTTAAAGCAATCATTTGTTTTATATTTAAAAGCCTTTAATGAAAACTAGCAAATACAATTCAGTTGGAATGGAATAAAAACACATCTGCTTCTTGGAAATAGTGAAGCTCGCAATATTGAACAACGTGTCTGTTAAATTGGAAGACATTTGCCTCAGGGAGGGGGCTAGGGGTGGGGGGGGGGGGTTGTTGTCGGCTACTCAGAGATAGAAGGCATCCGACAGTCATAAGACACATTTCGTGATTCGAAATCAGGTCATACGATGTTCGCTTTGAGAAATGCCATCTGGGTGAATGGAAGTATTCATTCACCTGAATTTGCTCTGAAGGAGAAAAAGGGAGTAAGAGAGAGAGAGAGAGAGAGAGAGATGAAGAGAGAGGGGAGGAGGGAGAGAGAGAGAGAGAGAGAGAGAGAGAGGGGGAGAGCGACAGAGCAGCTCTTCATTCCTGTAAGTTTGCTGCTGGCAGGGAGAGAATATGAGGATTCATCTATTTTAAGGCTGGCAGATTAGCCAACATTGTCACACCGGCTCCAACAAAGAAGTCAGTCTTTAAGAGGCTCCAGAGGAACAAGTACCCTGGATTCTGCTGCTCACATCATCATCATCATCGTCTGATGAGGAATATGAAGAGGACAGATAAGAAAATGGAAGTGTATTTTAAGACACTGCCGGGACGTCAGGAGACATTCCTGCTCCTCATCTTTTATCTCCATCTGTGGCGTCGGCCTATAGTGAGTCTTTCTTCTTTCATCATTAATGCATTGTGTCTATGTGGGACAAATTATTCTCATTGAAGAAGTCGTGGAAAGTGCAGCGGAAGTTGTCCCTTTCTGCTGCATTTCAGCCTACTAATCAGGAAAGCTACTTAATTACGGTCTAATGACATTTATTGCAACGCTGTGTGTTATCCGGCCCCTCGGAGCACACTGACACCAAATGTCCCCATTCAGCCGCAGGCCCTAATTAGTGGTTATCGAGGCTTGTGACCTGCATTTGTCTGCATCAATCAGAGACTAATTGAACAATAACAATCAACAGAGAAAACACTGGATGAGGCATTAGAAGCTTTGAACGTGCATTTGGGGGAGAAGTCATGTTTTAGGGGCAAAATTACAACTTTAAGGAAAGCTGAAAATGTTAATATTTACAATATTTTTACAAATTTGGGCATCTTCTCAGAGGGGTTTTAATGATAGAAGCTGGTAAATAAAATGAATTTCCAAAACACAATAAACCAGCATCAGTAACAAAAACATCATCATAATTCAGTCATCAATCCAAAGAGTCTTTTGACAGCGTTTGTTTCAACAATCTGTTTCCTTGAGTTGTGTTGCATGATGACGCGCCGTAGAAAACCTCAGTGGTGTCGTGTTCTGCAGGCTGAAGCCATTCATCCCGACTGCGCCATCATCTCTCAGCACCTGAGGGCTCGGGAGGTCTGCCGCCAGACGCGCAGGAGCGAGGCGCAAAACCAGAGCGCCGACAGCGGTGAGTGAGGGCGGGAATGGCGCTCTTTGTGTCTTTCGGTTGTTGTTGTTGTTGAGATAAGTGGGGAAACCTTGATGCACTGCACGGGTCTTTTGATAGACAAGAATATGGGCCAAACAAAAGAACGCTGGTGCTGAAAGAGCACATTTAGAAACACACAGGAAGGGAATTTTTTTTTATTAATGTCTGCAAGTGGCTGCGTTTGCATTGTGAGCAAAGTTTGCAGCTTAATCCATTTAGGATTGTTTAAAGAAAAGCAAAGATGTCTTTGACTTTCTACGAATAGCACTTAAATGATAATGTTGTTCTGTGTCGTTATCTGCGTTTTTGGTGGATTTCTGTTTAACTTTAGACAAATAGTTAGAAATCTCTCAGAGCCCAAAAGTTCTCCAACTGCTCCAACATATTACCTTCGCTATATGTCAAAGAAGATAATGAAATTGTTACGTGCTGGAATTAGTAAAACATTTTGCATAAAAAATGTCTTATAAAAGATGAATTGAATAACAAAATTGTTGCTGACCGAAACAGATGTGACAACCCTGGTTTCCATTCCATCATTATCAGCTTAAATGATAATGACCAAAAAACACAAGGAGTCCAAGTTTGTATTGTTTGTCGTTGATACACAGTATTTTTACATTTAACCTGCGGTGCCGGTGAATCTGAGGTGGACCAGTGAGCGGTGAACCTTTAACTGCAATAAGCGATATGACGTAAAGAGACGGCAGGCCTGCAGTCCCTTTACAAACGAGATACAGCACAAACATTGGTTAATACGTGGCCATACGTGTGTTTTAAAAGCAAGGGGATGCAGGGACCGTGGTCTCTGATGTGCATGGACACGCGTCATCACACCATGTAGTCCTCACCGCACTGATCCAGTACCCAGACGGGCATCGTGTTGTTCCTCCTGGTGAGGCCTCACCTGTTTGTCCAATCTGACACGTTGACGTCATCCTGTGCTAATGAACCCGGAGTCTCACCCCGGGGGGTTGGGGGGGGCTTGCGTGTCTCTCCGCGTCGAACGCGCACTCTCCTCCACTTAATCAGAAAGTACCCCAGGACCACAACACCCTGCAACAGAGTAATGACCTTTAACATTTCCCTGCTACTTTGATATTCATTAGCACCGACGACTGCGAACACTTTGGTGCAAAGTTGTCCTCGTTAAGCTGATAAATGCCTGCTGATGAGCTTCACTGTCACTGTGTGTGCGTGTGTGTGTTTTGTGCGTCCGCCACTGTGACGTCGACCATGCAGGTGACACAGAGTCATGCAGAGTCACGCCAGGCTAAAGTTTAAACTTTGTGAAATAATGTCAGACATCAGTGTCAGACTGCGAGTGGTAATGGACCCAAGTAGACGTCATCTGCTGCGTGTCGCTGTTAAAAAAATGTTAAAATGACATTAAAATGACGTAAAAATGATATGCCAAGCCCTGCTTGCTGTCTCAGAGTTGACCGGCCGACTGTCTCAATCAACCGGCCCACTTTGCTGAGATGCTGAATCATGCCATCTCTGGCGGAAAAGATTGTAAATCAGCGTTTTTACTCTCATCCGACACCAAATTGTAAACTTCCTCACAACCGAACTGTTCAATATCAGGTCGAGTAAAGAGATTCAGAGAAAAACACATAAAACTAACCGGCATTGGCGGCGCTTCGAAACCCACTATTCCCACCATCCAGTGTGTATTCCTGTGTAAGCCCGCATACTGTCACTGAGCCAGGATAAGATGTCTTACGATCGGCATCCGGGCCCCTGTTCCTTCAGCTACGATGCCGTCCATGTCCACCCTGCCGTGGGTTTTATTCCTGCACCAACTGATGGCAAATAATACCACGTGATAATTGCATGGTGTCTGTTGCACTGGGCCTCCCTTTCACAGTCACCTGAACATCACCTTTTATTGGTGTTTTAAAGCAATGAAATAAAATAAACAATGAAATTCTGTGATTGAATCTGGTCTACGATCACTTCTGTCCTCATCTCTTTCTGCACCTGGCTCTGTAATGGCCTGTGTGCTGTGTGTGTGCGTGTGTGGTGTGTGTGTATGTCACATGCATAAGCTATGCGTAATACTATTTGGAATCAGTTTCCTCTCTTTAATAGATGTTTCTGTTTTTATATGTTTGCATTACTCACACATCTGTATAAATAAAGGCAATCCACCCACCTACTATCTGCTTGATCGGTTTCCCTTCACACCAAATCCGAAATTCAGAGGTCAACATATAATTCTGATATATTGGGAAATTACAATATTGGAAAATGGAATCTCTTAATCTTTGATTCCAATTCTCTCAGTACAGTTATGTAGTCATGTTTAAACATGCTGTACCTTGTTTTAACTTAACCGAACTGCAAGCTTACTGTATCCTTCAATTTCATGCCTGTATTTTACTGCCACAATGGATTTCCACAAGATGCACTTGGCAGGGGGGGTATGAAATGCCTTTATGGGGGATTAATTATGGCTTAGTTTGGATGTTGAATAAACATCTTTATTTATAGCAGATTTAGTGTGGCCACACAAATAATCTCAAGTTATACAGCTCATTATGAAAGGAAACAACCTTTTACAGCATATATAATGCCTTTTATGTGACCAGATGATAACTAACTACACTGAACCCAGAAACAACTAGATAATATAGCTTCTATTGGAAATGCACTACAGGAGGATAAAACAAACAATGTGAGGTTATAAAGCACTATCAGGGAAGTTAATGTAGATTAATTCATGGAAACAGGAAATTACCAAAAATGTTTGGGAAAATGATAAATAAACTACAGGACCCGACTCAATTTAAACTGAATCAAAACCACACAATAAAGCACACATGCAAGAGGGCTACACTGGATTAAAATGACTAAAACCTACTGTATTTAAAATAGATCTCTTTTGTTTGCATGTGTCTTGTTTCTCGGCTGTTGTGCCTAAGCAATCCATCCAAGTATCAGACCTCCAAACATCAAGAAACTGACAAATAGGAACAATTCTACAGTGTCCAACTGTTTGATTTATATTATATTTGATATTTTGAGCTGGAAGAAATAGCTCAGTTTCAATATTAAAATCCCTCTTTTTTAAAATTTTAATAAATGGAAGCTCACCAAATCTCAGGTGTGGGTAACTGCAGGGAGAAAAGCCCAGGTGAGTGTCCCGCCCCCTTTTATAGATTGGGTCCCTTAACTGGGTCCTAGTGCTAGATCCCCTATTACCTCGCGTGGGTCTATTTTTAGTTCAAATGTTCCAGGAACTATTGATTATGCAGGAGCTTTTTCTGTCTTAACCTTGAATGGCTTTTGTAAATATTTTCTATGAGATTACAAACTCCCCAGAGCCTCAGGTGATCCCTAAATATACAGTTGTAAATATTTTATACTTTAATTTCATGCTGCACTGGCTCAGACAAATAATGAATTTCCTTATCTATGATATCACAAATATCTGTGTATTTTTCTGAGACAAGGTGTAGGAGGGACAAATAACATTTTCAAGTTTATTTCTTGTGCAGAGACATACAAATAGACAAAATAAGTACATCCACCCCCCGAGACAACATCTCATTGAGCTTACAATTAATGGAAAGACCGACGCGAGATCAACAAAGTGCATTTTGTCGTTCCACCCTCAAGGACGTACAGCATCAGGAATTTTAGTCTGACTCAGCCTGACAACACAGGTCCTCCGTGAATAACTGCATCCTATCGCCTCCCAGAGTGACGTTGGCATCATGACACACTGTTTGTGAGACTACCTGATTGGCTGCAGGTGGCTTTTGTGAGATAAGGACAAACGAGAGAAGGAGAGTCGATAGTCGAGGAAACACGCTGGCATTTGTAATGAAATAAGGCACAGACAGATCAGTTCCTGTAATTCGCTGCTCTGTTTCAGATCAATGTGGATCAGGGTGGATTGTGTGGAATTTACCCTGACTCTTGATTCGTTTTATTCTTATTTATTTTCATTAATGATAATAGAAGGCTCAAAGTCTTATGAACAAAATTGTGTTGTTACATACTCTCAGCGTGAAACTGTGGATGTAAAGTCTCCAATTCATGACCTGCTGGCGTTGCTGCAAACTTATAATGTAAATCTTTATAGTTAAATTACCTTCTGGTATGAGCTATTTTTCAAAATTCAGGGATTTAAATCGTCAAATCAAATTGATTTATTTGATAAATATTATGATGCAAAAAAACCTGGGAAATGTAGGATAGTAGATGGACAAAAAAACACAATGCGAGGGACGTTTAGCAAAAGCTTTTACCTCAGTCGATAAAAAAAAATAAGCAAAGCAAAGCAAGGACTGAGGATGAGACTCGGATGCTGTTAATTCACTAGGTCAGCATCTGCAAGGAAAACTGTCTTTTGGATGCAAGAAAGGAAATGTGACTACGTTCTCCGGTCACCTGCACGTCCTCTAGTCGTGGTGGTTGCTGCGGGTGGATTTGTGTGGATGAAAGACCTGAAGTAGTCTTAAATCTTCCAAGACTCCTTTCAATAAATGTAACCGCAGGGATTCGGTGATGCTGTGAGAAAGTCATTATTCAGGGAGCAGGTGAGGCAGGAACACTGTAAGAAAACGCAGCATCACACTGAGGCATCAACAGTGCTGAATCTTTTTTTTCTTACCAAGTGACGTTCGGTTACTTTCACATGCTGCGAAAAGAGCAATGGTCTATTTAAGCGGCTAATGCGAATTCATAATCATTCATTCATCATCAGAATCCTGTGTTGAAGACAATATTTCAACAGCCACTTGCCAAAAAAGCAGAAGAAGATTTCCAACATCAGTGAATGTGTCACCAAGCCACGACGACTCCTTCCTAAATGCTGACACGCTCGCGATGCAGCATGTCGCTGCTTAGCAGGGAGGCCTACATTGACTCGCATTTGTTGAACGGGCACCTCTCTCCTCAGCACGGTGTGTCGGCGTTAAAAAACCCCGGTTCATTCTGGTATAAAAGAAAGAAAATATGTCTGACTTACACCGTCGGTCTACGTCCTCTGAGTCGGACTGAAAAGCTCTTAACACTGAGTCCAGCTGAGGCTGATGGGAATCTCCAGAGTGCGATGTGAATGTCTGACTCGGTAACAAATTAACAGGCAATTCATCAAATGGTTCTCAAGAGATTTCACTCAAAACCACAACCACAAAAATGTTGACCGTACCAACGCCTTCTGGAATGTGATGGCAATCCATAGAGTTGTTGTTGGAGTGTTTGTGTCAGGAGTGAATGACCGACCGACATTGCGATCCGTAGACAACACGACACAACGTGCCGGAAAGGAGCGTTTCGGCACTCACGACATGAAGAAACGTCCCAGAGGCTCTACGCCGAGAAATAGATCCAGTTTTTTCTGTTGTCGACTGAAGAAATGTGTGTGACAATTTGAGTTCAGCTTCACTCAGCTGACATTAATGTGATGACACAGGGCCGACAGGACGCATTCACCCTGAGGGAATATGAACGAAGCCAAATGATAAAATAGGCAAATGCAGAAGTGCCGCACATGCATGTTGATTATTATGGTTAATTGATTTTCATCTTTTAAAATTCAAGGTTGAAACACAGTTTATGCGTGTTGGGAGGAAAACAACCAAAGGTCATCTGATTAGCAGTTGATGCATAATAATTTCTTTGTATACAGTTCAATTAAACTCTTGACACAGGAATGTATGCAGCTTGGGCGAATGACGTCATCCTAATGATACTTGTTATAATGTTAATATTTTATCCCATATATCTGAGGTTTCCAATGAGATCTTCCTTTATTTTAATTAATGTGTGTTCTGATTCATTGCTGTTGTCCAAACATGTGTTCAACCTTTGATGAAAATAAATAAAATAAATAAATGAAAGAAATACATTTATTAAACCCTTGCAGTAGACAAAGGTGCAACAAGATGGATCACTGACAAATCCGTTAAATCGCTTCAGGGCATTGGTTTATTTGTTATGATTATATGACATTTCATTTTTATTTTGTCCTTCATTACTTTTTTGCACGATAAATACATCGCCAGCTTTTATTTCCCTCATTGCGTCCTGAGGTGTTTTCATCAGTTTGTTGTTATCATTATTAACTTGTACTGACTGGTCCTCCCTCTGCCCGTGTTTGCAGGATGTAACACAGAGTGGGACGAGATCGGCTGCTGGCTGACAGCTGAAGTCGGGCAGGCAGTCAACAAATCCTGCTCGGAGGTCTTCCAGCATTTCTCCAGCGATCAAGGTTGGCTTCTATGTTAATCCCAATCGCCACAAACACAGAAGAGAGAACAACTCAATTTCCTTCACGTAATCAGCAGAGTAGCTCAAATAAAATTCCTTGTAGAAGTCCCATTGGCCCACAGCTAAGTATAATTATCCGTTCTGCATAATCTGTAACGCAAATGCAAGCCGGAGTTGCTCTGATGAAGACGCAGAATGAATTATTCATGCACGTTTGTTGGCAAGAATATATATATATATATATATATATATATGCCCAGGGATGTTTGTGGCGGACGTAAGGACTTGCTTGCTGGGGTTACATTTAACATTAACACATCCTCTGGTCTGTTAAAGAGACATATTCTGAATAATATAGTCATGAGTTTTGTTGAGTATAAGACGCTTATAAGGACAACTGCTGTCTTTTACTCTAAAGAAAAAGACCTCATTGAGTTTGATCCCAGCTGACCTGACAGTAACGACATTATGATTCATCGTTAAAGGAGGAAACGTCAGGTTCATTCAGGAACAATGTTCTTTCCCTTCTTTCCTTGATGGAAATCACGGCCCGTGATGATCTGAACTGCAGATCTCTCTAGCAGACCACAGTCTTTATTTCCTGTTTGCTCAGCTCAAGGGGAATAGGAGAGCAAAACCCGACCACCGTGCATGCTTATGTGCCTGCGTTCAAACGGTCCAGCTAAAGCCTGCATGCACATCCAGATACACAATCCTACAAACGCAGCAGTGCAGGCGGCCATCCAGCTGACAATCATCTCCCGACACCTGCTGTTTCTAAATGGACTTTTCTGACTGGAAGCACTAATGGAAAGAAATGGTGCAAAAGAGGAAATATCAAGGGTAGCAGAGACTTTATGAGACGATATGTTAACAATACATAATTTAATGTGAACCCTGGAAAACTACTTTAAAGCAATTGGAAGCAGTACAATTTTAAGATGAGGTTTTCCAGAGGTTTTGCACAATATCAGTGGCATACTGACACATACCAGTCAAATCACCCCCCCCCCGTCTCTCTGTCTGCTCCCACACCAGGGTACGTTTACAGGAACTGTACGGCTCGTGGATGGTCAGAAGTGTTTCCCCCCTACGACGAGGTCTGTGTTTTCAGCGACGACAGCGAGCAGGAATCAGAGGTAACGCACACGATGCTGCACTCGCACCACGCAGCTCATTATTTATTGAGTTTCTGCCTCCTCCTCCCTCGCGTTTTCCTTTTCAGTTCAGACCTCTTTCTAGGTTTACTGTACAGACAACACTCACTAACTATAGCAGTAAGTATACATTAAAGTTCAAATTTATAAGCTTCATTTATTGACTATCTTGCAGTAAAGTTAGTAATATTCAGATATTTAATTTAAGTAAAGCATTACGAATAAATACCCATAAAGTAAAATGAAAAGTCCTAAAAAGTAAATATACAATTATTTATCAGCAGATTATTCCAGTACCAAAAGAAAAAGTTGACTCATTTCAGAATAAGGTTACAGAATACGATACTAAATTTCTGGATTTGAATTTTAACACATTTGACTGGAGCAGCTGTTAAACATGGGCCTAATTTGTAACTAATTTATGCACTGTTATCTTGTTAATTCCTCGTTGATTTTCTTTTTTTCAAAGTCACATCATTTATTTTGTGTGACATTTCACCCATTTGCACATTTGACTGTTTGTCTCCCTGCAGACGAGTTACCTGTCGACGTTCAGGCAGGTTTACACCGTGGGCTACGCGACCTCGCTCATCTCCCTCATCTCGGCCATAGTGGTGTTCACCGCCTTCAGGTGAGAGCAGAGCGGCACGCGCTGTCCTCGGCAGACACGCCGACCAATAAAGAGCAAGTCAACATCGTGTTAAGAAGTAAATAGTTATTTTAGAGACGATTATATATCAGTAAGACGCCCCAACAGACACTTGTGCCCAGATGTTCACATGATCGACATGTCAGACCAAGAAAGAAGGCCCAATAAAGCCTTTGTTATAGTATTGTGAATCCATCAGTACTATTTTTGTACATGTGTACTTGTACCTCTCTTAGGAAATTCCGCTGCACCAGAAACTACATCCACGTCAACCTGTTCTCCTCCTTCGTTCTGAGAGCCAGCGCCGTTTTCATCAAGGACACCGTGCTGTTTGCCGACGAGACCCTGGACCACTGCTCCGTGTCCACGGTGAGCTAACTGTAATCACCCGCCGCCGCGAAGAAGTACACGGAACGGCCCCGTGTCAGATAATGAGCCGTCCCCGTCGAAGTGACGTTGTTCCACTGCGTCCTCTCCAGACAGCGTGCAAGTCGGCCGTGGCTTTCTTCCAGTTCAGCATCCTGGCCAATTACTTCTGGCTGCTGGTGGAGGGCATGTATCTGCAGACCCTGCTGGCCCTGACTTTCGTCTCTCAGAGGAAATACTTCTGGTGGTACATTTTGATCGGATGGGGTGAGTAGAGATGATGATTAAATGCATTTGTCGTAGAGAGAGAGAGAGAGAGAGAGAGAGAGAGAGAGAGAGAGAGAGAGAGAGAGAGAGAGACTGTAGGTTTCATTCCTATTACACCAAATATTACGAAAAGTCAAACTCACCACTTGGTGAGAAATGTGGGTCTATTTTAACAGTTTGTTATTGTGTGGAAAACCCCCCCAATGAAAATCTATTCCAAAATCGTTCTTTTGCGTCTTACTCACGCTGGTACATAGGATGTCTTGTACACACACACACTCTATGCCTGTTACAGATGTGGCCAGAGGCTTTATGATTGGTCATATTTTTGGAAGTTTAAGGTCAAGCTCTCTGTGACCTCACGTCCGTCCCACACTTGTGAACACAAGTCTGAAAAATGCCTCCAGGGAAATCCTTCAAATTGTGCACAAGACGTCCCTTAACAGGGAAGGATGAACTGATTATATGTGTAGCGTCACCCTCCCCAACACACGTTTTTGGATGAACATTTGAACATTTTCTAAGGGACGTGGATGTAAATTGCAACAGGACCAGTTGTCAGAGGCCAGCGTGGCGCTCGCTCAGCATCTCTCCGGTTCTTCTCTCCTCTCGCCTGCCTTCACTCTGGTTTCCCTTCTGGCGCCGAGATGCAATTGGGAGATGGATACACAATATGTTATGTGCCTAACAACATTTTCGTTAAAAATGCAGCACGCATGTGAGTTGGGGATTGAGCATTTGATTCATTTGACTTGACACATATGCAGGGAATAAATAATTGATCTGTGGTCTTACATTGCAGGCCTCCCATCAACAGTTCTTGTACTTTGGGTGTTGACCAGATTCTTCTATGATGACAGAGGGTACGATTTATCACTTATGCACCAAAGCAGCTTATGTTTCCTCATAACTTCACTGCTATGGTAATATTATAATTTCTTACAGTGTACTTTGAATTGAGTTGTGACATGATTTTAATGAATTGAAATTGCAGTTGCTGGGACGACACAGACACCGTTGCTATTTGGTGGATTATTAAAGGGCCGATAACAGCCTCGCTGCTGGTAAGTGGAGAGCAGCCTGTCCAACACAACAAAGAGGCGTTGATTTCACACAAACGCCTGCTGACTTTTTAATGTGTTTTTTTTTATAACTGACCCGTTCTGAACAGAGAACCTTGCAGAAGGTGGCGGCACACTTGATCTCATGCCAAAAGATCAGTCAAACATACATTCTTCCTTTTGTTACTCCAACGTTGGTTATGTCAGCTTAGGCACATTTCGGCAAGCAGAAGTTTACGTATGTTTCTCTTTTAGAATCTAAGTAAGAGCAGAAACAGCAGCATCCACTCAGAGGAGGAAGACGGTTTCTAATGCAACATGAAACGCAACTATGCAATATTATTTCAGCCAGCTAATGAAATGCTCCTTGGCCAGTTTTATCCCTTTTATGTCATGATTGGTTCTACTCTACCTCTGGTTGACCTTTCATCGAATGCTTTGTTGGTTATCTTCATGCATGACAAGTGAGATTGTTTTAAGCTTAGAGTAAGACTATCAGGTCTAAGCCAATCAGAGGCAGAGCAGGGAGGATCACGCCTTCGGCATCTTAGGAAAAAACAAAGACCCCCGATAACCTGCAGGTAGTAAACCAGTTTGACGTGCTTAGCTAGCTTCTAAACACTCTTCTTACTGCGACACGCTGCGTAAACATACCGAATCAACAGTTAGAATCAAACAATGTTCACTGTTCTAAGAGTTAATTGCTGATATCGCAGCCATAAATTTTAAAAGGCCATTTCTGAATTGATGTATAAGTTTGTTTTTTCCCTCAGTGTGCACATGTCTGCATTCTATAATATGCGTGATTGTGCACACGTGTGCATATTTCTCTTCCAGATCAACATCGTCATCTTCATCAACGTAATCCGGATCCTGGTTCAAAAGCTCAAATCTTCCACCATAGCAGGCAACAATGACACCGGACACTTTATGTGAGTCACGGCTCGCCGACACGACCACAACATTTATCCCTCTTTTACATTAATGCACCACCGATTGTGAGGGAAGGGAAGAGAAGTAGCTGGTGCCGAACTAAATCACTGAATAACTAATAAGTCAACAAGAGAATGATAGAGGAGATCTCTATATTTGCTTTATTACATATGGAGTTAACAGTAGTGGTGATTTGTATTGCATGATGCCACGGTAGTGTTTCATAAAAAAAATATTAATTATGGCAGAGGCAGATACAAAGGTCACTAATGGTCTTTTAAAGAACAGATGTTTTAGTATTAAACTTATGAATCTCTATTTTTAAGTGTGAAAAAAAAAAAAAGCGCAATGTAACTCAGTCCTACAATAAAAGATTTTCTGGTAAAAGAAAGATTGAAGAAAAATGAATGTAAAACTACACATTTATTACTGCAGTGCAATCTTTTATTTGGGTTTCTTTTAAGATTGCATGGGTCTTTCCTGTTTGCCTGTGAGCCAGTATCTTGAACAAATGGGGGTAAAGATTCAAATCAAAGTTCACAGACAAACACACACAATATTCTAAAACAATTCTCTTGTGCCTAAACTTTAAGCGTTAATCTCACATCTAATGAAAACACCAACAGAACATCCACTGTGATGCACCGCTGTGGTTCTGACTGAAACATCTCAACTATCACTAGATAGAATAGACATTTTGCACAGACATCTACAGTCACCAAACAAAGATTCCAAATGACTTCAGTAAGCCCCTGAATTTTCCTCTAGTGCCGCAATATGTGCTAAATAAGCTGTATGGAAATGTGTCAAACAAACATTTAACACACGACTGATTAGGTTTATTTCACACAAAACAAACAAACATATGGCAAACTGAGACAAGATGTGTTGTCTCCCTCTGTAAATTAAAAAAAAAGGTTTGAACAATGGAACAATTGTTCAGTGTAAAACTGCTGAGAAAGAGACGGATAAGTTGGCAGTTTCTATGCTTATCAAGGTACCGACGTCACAGTTGAAGAGCAGAAGTGCTTCAATGTCTCGGAGCCCAGAAATCCTTTTTTTTTACCTGAGTGAATCCTTCCTTCCTTTTGACATTTGGTTGGTTCACTTTCCAGCTGGGCTCAATGAATGCAGCACATAAAAATAGCCCCGGATGCCAGAAATAGACGTCTCCTCCATCGCCGTGCGACTGGATTGTTGCACCGGTTCAATCAGTGTTTTCACGCTTTCAAAAGCTTCATCTCTGTCTTACAACCTTCAATCTGATTCAGACACTTGAACACAAAAGCTCAAGTCTCCCAAGCAACAAAAGACAAAAACAATCCTATTATAGGCTTGAAAATACTCCAACCTGAAAAAAAAAAGAACTACTTTAATCTTCCAGCGACCCGAATGTTATTTCGGATAAGAGGGATTTTTTTTGTTATTCAGAATGACCACACAGCCGTTGTTAAAGCTTTGAATCTGATGTCTTAACACCTTGTCTTATGTCTCATAAGTTATAGACTCCTCCATTGAGCTTGGATGATCTGTGATGGATTATGGTTTGAATCCGTCCATGAATCCAGCTGGAGTTACATCGCAAACCCCGATGACTTGTAGCAAATTGGTGCAATAATATGTCACCACAATTAAATAACATTTGCACATCATCAGCCATCTGATTTGAACTCGACTTTCATGCACAATGCGTCAGGGTTTTGTATTTTGACCTTTCAATCTATTCCACTGATGACGTGTTGTTTTAAAGGTCGCTTTGATTTGAAATCTGCCACATCTGTTCACCTTGAGTGAAACTCGGTACAATAATGCACTCTGGCATTTAAAACTAACACTGATGAGACCGGCGCTGATAAAGGTGCATATTTTAAACTGTGAAATGCTATTATTACCTATTCTGATTGTTGTTGTTGAGATGATGCATCTTTATTTATTTGTCTTTAACATTATATATTCATAAGCAACCATCAAAACCAGATAAAACTAAACAATGTTTTCTTTTAAATACTTTACTACTTTACTTTATTCCTCTGAGTCAAGAAAACTAACTGTCATCCCGTTAGAATTAATGCTGAATCCTGATTGGTGCATGAAATCATGTGACACCACCTGTTTTTAAAACAGGTGTTTCTCAAAAGGAAAACTAAACAGAAAAAGAGCAAAGATTAAAACAATGAATGGAGAAATCCTCCATGAGGAACAGCCAGAAGATTTAAGTCCTACCGCTGATTGAGACCATGTGTTTCCCTGGTGGATTAGCCGAAGCTTGTGCCTCTGCATCTCCTGAATCCTCGCGCTCCTCCTTTCATTCCTCTGTTACCGTTTCCCCCGCAGGAGACTGGCCAAGTCCACGCTGTTCCTCATCCCTCTGTTTGGCATGCACTACACGGTCTTTGCCTTCCTGCCCGAGAACACGGGAGTCGCGGCCAGGCTCTACATCGAACTGGGCCTGGGATCCTTTCAGGTGTGCAGCAGCCACGAGGGGTCAGAGTGAGAAGTCCAAAGACGAATAGCAAAAACAAGCTCAATCAAAGGCGAATTGCTTACAGTAGGGCTGCGTTTGGGCCGACGTTTTGCGTCTTTATTAAACATTTGAGGGCAGGAATATGACAGTCGGCAGGTGCTTTGCACAGCGTGAAAGTATTAACCACTATGTTTACCCTGCAAGGTTGATACTTTCAGTGTGTAAAATTGGGGAACATCACAGGATCAGTTTGATGTCGAGCATTTCCGTTCTCTCAATACCTGACAAAATATAACAAGATACCTTGAACTTGAATCTCTCAGGCTGACTGCACCTTCACTGTGTCACTGTTTGATGTCTCTTGTGTTGCAGGGTTTTGTGGTAGCGCTGCTTTACTGTTTCATGAACGGAGAGGTAAGAGACGTGTTCACCGTACCTTTCTACTGGTGTGTATTGCTTTAACGTGATCTGCCACAGATAGTCGTGCAGTCGCTTCCTGCCTTGGCTAATGCGTCCACGCTGTCCTTCCGCAGGTCCAATCGGAACTGCGGCGATTGCTGTGGAAGTGTCGCAACCGAAATCACCTCACGTCGGCCAAGCGGAGCGTCACTCAGGTTACGGTGGAAGCCCGCGGGGGGCTCAGGCGGACGCCCTCTACCGGAAACGTCTCTTCGGTCTGATTTCCACCGAGGAGTTGTGAGAACGTCGAGCAAACTTCTAGAGGAAGGCCTCAACCTGCTGGTGACAATAACTCGAGGACCCTCCTGCCGGAGGAGGGTGATCGGCAGCGGTGAGTGATGGGGGACATGTCGGATCGTGTCAGTGTCAGCAGCACCCACGACCTTGACGGTTAAATCACAGTTTCTTCTATTATGGTTGCGCCCAAAAGCTAAATAAAAAGAGTCGAGGCCTACTGAGTGCGTAAGTTGTGAGGATGTTGGGATGTGAAATGGTTTGGTTCACAGCAGCAGTCTGTATGTTTTGAGTTGGTCATGTTTGCTCCTGACGGATCGAAAATGACACAAAGAAACGTTTCCAAATCATCACCTGATTTCTTGAAGTTGCATTAGTTTGTTTCAGTTTCATTGTAAAGCCAAAGCGCCTTTTTAAAATAAACGTTTGTCTTCACAGGAGATCAGGCAACACAACTTAGGTTTAGAAAAAATAACATGTGGTTGATAACTTGTAAACGTTTTTTAAGACACAAATAGCAAGAAGCAGTTACTTCATACCTGAACATGCGACACGTACTGGGTGCTAACTTATAATGGATTTTTTTTGCATGGATTCACCTGTTCCTTTAAGCTGCTATTTATTGGGAACGTCGCTTACAAGAGTTCTTATTTTGAGGGGTTGAAACACAGTAACTTTCTCCACGTCGTTGTTGTTTGCCGTTGCCAGATGGATTATTTCTTGCACTACAAACCTCTACAGCTGCTAAGTTCACACCAAACGTTGCGCCACGCATTCACATTGCAATGTGGCATCGAAAAGGCGCTCTGTCAAGACAAAGTGTCTTACAAGCAAAGTGAGTGTCTCAAACATACGTATCTGTGGTGGAATTTTCCATTTCTGTTGAGGGTGTGTGAAGGAGTGTTGGGGGGGGATTTGGTTTAAGCATGAGGGAGAATACAAGTACAAAAAGTTTAAACCAACCCTTTATGATAGTCAAGAGCAGGAAACTGGTATTTAGCCTCAAAGGTTTGTTCAACATACACTCATCAATGAAGAACTGAACAGAAAAAAAATAGTTAATAATAGTTTTATGTTAAATAAATGCATCTCTAGTTATGAATAATGCACTGTTCCATTTGTCAGTCCACAATGCGATATCATGTTCAGCTTTACTTTGCACTAATTATATTGTATTTCTTTGGTTCTTGTGGATTTAGAATCAGCCTTTATAGGCCCCTGAAATAAATGAAACACGTGGTTTGACAAGTTGGTTATTAACTGACCTGTTTTTTTGTGTTTCAGAATATTAATTAACGCTGACTCGGTTTCTCAGGTGAAAAACCCTCATTTGGATAAAATTAGGAAAGAGAGGCAGCAAGTTGGTTGGACATACAGTTTATAATCCTTACATTAAAAATACCTGGTTTTAAACATCGATCAGTTTCATACATGAACGCGTTCCTCTTTGACAACATAGTGATGGTGTATCCATAAACTTTGTCGTCCGTTTTAATGGCACAGCTGAGTGAAACAAAGAACAATCTCGGAATGCAACAATGTACCACAGATTTATTTTGCAGTCAAATTTACACAACCTGGGACATAAATGTCTGACGCATGTAACACACGACACACTGTTACAGGTGGAATATAACACGGATGAGGCTTTATAGATATTCTTTTCACATTTAAGTTACATATATCCTAGTTTATAATGCTTGTCATTACGTGCACATGTGTACAGAATACACTTGCTCCAACTTCCACACACACACACACACACACGCGCACACGCACTCTGAAAACAGTTACATAAACATACAAAAACACGGTCACAAACATTACAGGTTTTCTCCAACCTGCGTGCCAAAAATATACATATACAGTGTGTTGTATATGATCAAGAAAAGACATCGTTTGTACACCATGGCAAATTGATAGCAGGCGACATTTAAGAGCAGCGGAGTAACATTGGTACATTCAAAAATTCATTGGCAATCAACTGAACTCACACACTTAGTAAAACTGGCTCAATACGCACAACCGCCAAAGAGAGGGCATTTAAAAACAGAGATACAGCACACTGAGAAGAGTTGCGTTAAAAGGAATGGCTTGACTTTTTGGGAAAAACAGCAATTTGCTAGCTGTTTTTCACTTAGCTAGTCAAGATGAGGTGGTTTATTAGTTGGCCAAGGTCGAGCTGGGTGCTTCTCTGTGTCCCCAGGGTGCTAAATCCTGCTTCCCCGCCGCATCATCACCGTTTTTACCTCAAATGAGACCTTTTCAAATCTACCGTTACCCGGGGAGGATTACAGGGTTATACAATAAAGACCCTGGGAACACAGAAGCGCTGTTTCCTCCTGCTTCTAGTCTTTGTGCTACGCTAAGCTAAGCTAAGCTAACTGGCTGTAGCTTCATTACCAGCATACAGACCTCTAAAGTAATACCGGCCCTTCTCACCAAAACCCTCAGCTAGAAAGCAAATGAACATATTTACAAAAACTATTTGTCTCAGAAAAGTTGTCAAGGGCTTTTCTTTTACACAAAAAGGTAAATATCAATAAAGTAAATGTAAGAAGTGTGTGTGGAGAGAGGAATGGTCAGTAAAAGTGCCCCCAACTCAAAAGTTTTTGAAATTAAAATAATTCAGTTTTATTTAATAATAAACTTGAATCCTTTGCTGCCACTTTGTGGTAAAAAAAAAAATACAGCACAGACGTGATCGCTGAAGGAATCACTCCTCTTTTCAAAGGGAGTAACTTGTTTTTACTCAGAATGACGGCTGGTGATGGAACACAGAAGCAGCAGCAGAGAGTTGTTTTCTTAATCGCATCCTGGCACTCACTTTGTGTTTTATCTGTCACAGTTGTTCCACCTTTCAACACCTTTCTAATTAAGTAATCATTGAACAGCATTCCTACCTCTGGCTCTAATTCCCGGCTTAACATCTTGTCAAACACGGTTTTTCTCAAAAAGCAGTCGAGCAGATGCAAGAATCCGATGCGTCTCCTCTACAGTAGTGTTTGTGATTTATCTTGCGGTTTAGAGTTTATATATTTTCTCCCTCACAATATCCTGTGCAGCTTTGGACAACAGTTACCTGTCAGTGTTGTTTGTTTTCTTTAAAATGATAAATTGTGCCAAACCTCTCAACAGGAGAGGCAGCATCAATACTTAATGACACACGAGAAAGCATGTATACTGTACATTGAGTCATTTCACATGGCACTGGTTAATGGAAATACTTTTACATCCTTTTCTGTTAAACGATTGTCAATCTTTTAAGAATTATCATATAATTCACTCAGATGACAGAACAAAAAAAAAAGAAATGTGGATAAATTCTCCTGTACACATCGGTTCACATCTCATCTTAAATTATTTCCACAGTTATTGTTTGTTTGCTTACAAACAAAAGCGAGAGAAGAGGGGGAAAAGAAATGGGCAACACTGCGATTGTCAAGAGCTGTCACATTAAAGCATTTCTTGTGATGACCGTTACACGTGTATTGTTTTGACGCTGTTTGTGTGTTTGATGCCGAATTGTAACGGACTCATCGTGAACTGTTACCAGTTGCAACACGGAGGTCAAATGTAGCAGTTAATACGTTTTTATCAAACGCTCACAATTAAAAGAAACAAACAGCAAGAAAAATGAGCAAAACATTGTTTTTTCTTCGTAGCATAAAAAGCATTTAGTTTCCAAATAAAAACACAACACTCTGTACATTCTTTGCAGGAAATGACTCGTACTAAAAATGTAAGATATGTTTTCATTTGACTTGAAATGAGAGCGAGAGCTATTGGTGACCGACTAGGCACTTTGGAACATGAGTATTGGAGGTGATTCATTCAGAAAGAAATGAAAGTGAAGAGTAACTTGATATGAGACGTTGCGCTGGTGCTCAGAGAAAAGAGGACAAAGACAAAGAGTCCTTTTTATCTTTCAAAGCATGTGCCTGTGACAAAATGCCGTATGTGTGTCCACACAGAACGTTAACGACGAGTCGGTGAAATAAAAAAACAACTGGAGGAAACTACTCACACCTGTGAGGATGAATCAGGTCATTCTGGAGATACTGACTTTTTCTTTTATACAAAAATGTTGTGATGTCCTCTAGTGCCAACCTTCTAATTAATTGACCCCTGTGGCATTTTATACAGGGGGGGGGTTGGGGGCTAATTGAATAAATGTCCTAAAAATAAACAAAATTGATCAGAGCCCAACAATGCTTTTCTTTCCCAAGTTGTGGTGTCAGATATTAAACAAACCCGTCATTTCCGCTTCAGGGAGGGACTCCCTGCCCTACAGCGCTCAATATGTTTGGCTCTTCTGTGTTTTTATTTGACATAAACAAACAGATCGGAATATTCTGGGTCCTCAGGACATGGGATGACGTCTACAGATTTGGGCTCCAGTTCCTTTTGTTTGAAAAGGTCATTACAATACTGCGTTATGCCAAAGAAAGTAATTCAGACCTCCAACTAGAAAAGTAACTATTTACAAAGTCCATGAGGTTGTTTTTTTTTCGCCCAATATATCTTTTGACATACTCTGTACCTACGGCTGATGTAGAAATTATTTTCAAATGTAAGATGAAACTTTTGAAACAATGAGCATTTGTACAAGCAAGGCGAACTTTTGGCTGTTACTTCACTTTGGATTGTGATGAGATCAGATCCAGTCCGGCAACCTGAATGGCACTTTGACGCACAACATGACACACAAAGAGCCAAATATGACCCCGACATTTGATGTTAAACAACCGTTTTCTTTTTTACAAGGACTGTTTTTATGTACCAACTCAACATTGGTATTAATTATACATTAAACAATAATAGGGGCTATTTCAGATTTTAAAAAAAACATATGTAAGAAGGGAATTTCTAATATCTCTCTGTTTTAATCTATGGAATCAAATTTTCTCATTTAAAATAAATGATCAGAAAATCAACATGTGTTGTACAGTCAAATGAAACTGTCAAGTATGTACCTAATGAATCTCCAGTAAATACCTCATTTTCGAAATGGCAGAATTACAGAATGCAATGAGGTGTGCGGGGGCCCCTTTGGTCTGCTGTGGTTGCACTGGACGTACGAGCGGGCTGCACCTTGGAAGCGGATCAGACGCTCAGGTCGGCAGGCCGATGTTGGCGTTCTCCGCCAGCGGGCTGGACATTCGTATCTGGGAGCTGCTCTTGCTCAGGATCGACAGCTGAGTCCCGCCGTTCACTCCGCTGCTGGCCAGCGACGGGTGCCTTTGCTGCTTCAGGTCCACGGCAAAGTACCGGTTCACCGTCCAGCTGCGCCATTTCCTCTTGATCTCCGACTGCACCTTCAGGGAGAAACTTCACAAGGTCATTTTTTAATGTACTTTAAGCTGCACCAGCTCCCTGACAAGGTACAGTACACGTAGGTTGTGTAGGTGACACTAATGTGTTATTAACGTTAGTGATCTTCATCCAATTCATCAGAGGTCAGTTGACAAGATAACTTTTTTTCAGTACACCTTTCTTTTATGTTTCTATGTTTTGTCTATTTAAAAAAAAAAATCTGTTTGAGCACGAATATCACGTTTTATTAATACTCATTTTGCAGAATGTAGGACTGTCTCATTAATCAGTAAACATGTGTGGTGTTTGGGTGACCGGAGGGGGTTATAGGGAGTTTAAACAGTGCTTGAATAAAGGATATGAATATTTCAAGGTTGTCTGAATTTACATTGATATTATATTTGGTCATTTAGATTAATTTAGTAAAAACTGTAAAACATGAAGTATTCATCAGGGGTCCCTCAGATGAGGTATCAACTACAGGGTTTAAATGAGTGTTACTGTATTTGGATACATTTATCCCCAAATATGTTCAGGTGATATTTTCACCAAAAATAGCATTGAGCGCATTTCTGGTATTAATAAGTGTCAAATATCACAAAGGAAGAACCGCTTATGAACTGGGACCAAAGCTTACCTCTCCGTTGAGGAAACAATAAAGAACAGCGACAACAAAGCCCTGAGGAGGAGGAGAGAGAACGCAAATAAGAGAAGCACTACTTGAGATTGAAATGTGCTTTTCAGTTTTAAAAACAGCTGCATCCTCACCCGGGAAAAGGCTAAAGACACATCAAATGCTCAGCCTCCAAAGAATATATTTCCCTGTAAAAATTTGTTTTTTTATTTCTATTGTTGCAGAGGTATCGACACCCAGAATTTCTTTGTTTTTTGCTTACAAAATCGTTTTAAATGTGGCTTTGATTTCACTCTTATTCTATACATAATACATCAAAGGCCAACTTCTCTCCTTAAACACCTCGATGGAAGTGTGTATGAAGAGGTTTGCGTACCTGGAAGGATCCCAGTCCCAGTTCAAAGACCAGTCTCTCCCGCTTGCTGACGTCTTCCGGTGAGAATGCGAACACCGTGTAGTGAATCCCAAACAGGGGGATGAGCAGGAGGGTCGAGCGCGCCAGACGCCTGCACACACACACACACACAGTTTAATATGTCATGTGTTGCTGGTCAGCTGGACACGATGATGCAATGTTCAGACACATTTACTCACAACAAACTTAAAATTCAAGTTCAGTGAAAGCAAATGTTTGAAAGGCCGACTCAGTCACAATTTTGTGATCTGTTTTAGTGTTTAATTTATTTTTAATTTTTTTTATATGCCAACAAATCCCATAAAAAAAATCAATCTTCTATTAATTGATCCCACTATCAGGTATTGTTTGTGTAGCCAAAGACTAATATCTTATTTGTATTTACACAAACTCTAAACATTTAATGAGCTGTGTCGCTAGTTTCTCCTCCATAATAAACCCGTAGTCTGTTGCTTATTACAAGTCAATTCCAGATTCACCGTCTCGCTCACAGAAAGACTCACTTGAGCCCTAATTGTTTACTCGTCCTTGTTTACAGTGCCGAGCTTCTTCAGGATATGCAAACACATCTTTAGAAAGCGCTAATTAAGATCTAATCTAATTGTTCTTTCTGGCCCTTTGTGTGATTTCTTTTTACAATAAGAATAAAAAAATCTGAGGTTCGATTTAGCGTACTGATCTGTTTTAGGTGAAAATGATCACAAGTTTGAGACTGAGAAGAAAAACACAAAACTGTCCACATACAATCATAGAGAGTATAATTTGTGTCCTCATATTATCTGCGTCCGTATCATGCAACAACAAAAAAACAGTGCCTGACGTGGTACACACAACAAATGGGAATACACAGAAACAAAGGACAGAGGACAACACTGACGTCTTAGTGAGGAGACAATTTAGCTGCATTTAAGAGTCCAGACCACAAAAAGAAAGAACCCCTGGTGTAAAACACACGTCGCACACATACATGCCGTCGACACAAGACAAACGGACACACTTACAGTGTGATGGTGGATAACTCTGACATCCTGCACGAATGCTGAACAGCCTGTGTGGGCTCACTGAAGCATTTCTGAGCACAGCTGCTACACAGCACAAAGACAACACAACAACACAACAAAGACAGTGTCTTTAGGGACACAGACACACAGTCTCACACGCGCGTATTCACACTCGGTCACGCACGCACAGGTTCAAGCAACAGATGAGAATCGTCTGCGGAGCCTCAAAAGACGGCGTCCGGTGGGAGCAGAACGGGAGACAGCGCAACTCCATAATGAGGCGCACGCCTCCTGCCGACAGGTACTGCAAATTAATATATGCTGAAAGGTGTCCAAGAGGACACATCCCAGGTTTAAGGGTGGGCATGTGGATATAAACCTGTTATGGATAGAAACGACCCATCTGTTAACAGATCATCAACAAATCCCATGAAAAAAGACGAAGATTGGAAATGTTTGAGTTCGTCCTTCAATACTGCGCTCAGTCCCAAACCCATTGGTTCCTTCTGCAATATATGTTCATAATTCATTTCATTCTGGAGCCTCATTAATGTCCCGAGACAGCTGGTAACAGTAGTGCTGTTGCTCAAAGAAAGAAAGTGAATTTTGTGGAGACTATTTTTAATACACATTTGGTGCTCTGGGGAGTGTTTACAGCAGAACGATGTAAGTAAGATTGACCCAACAGCTTGGCTCATGTCTACTGTAATAAAGGATATGTAATAAAATGTGTCATCCAGTGTAACTGTCTGGCTCCCTCATGTGCTCTTCGCCGTTTCGTTTTTAGACAATAATGGAGCTCTACTGGCCAGACTGGTCGGGTACATCATGCTGTAAATACACACGCAGTACTCAATGTACTGAATAAAGAATAAAAAAAATGTAAAAAATGCATTCTGATTATCCAAAGCCTTCTGCTTTGAGCAATGGTGAATAAGCTGCAGGGTCGTTAATGTGCTCAGCAAATGTAAAATCCACTTGACCCTTCGTGTGCCGTATTTTTCTGAGGACATTCAACTTTGGAGGTGAATTTGCTGATGACAGCTTACAGGTAAATGCTGGATTCGTTGCCTCCGATGTCCGGCGACTGCAGCTTCTGCACCAGTATGATGATTATTCCAACAAAGAGGACAAAGTTTATCTGAAAAACAAAAAAACACCAACACATCTCTGTTGTTGTCATACACACAACAGCAAGGGACGTGTAGAAATGAGTACACAAGAAACGAATGAGTGACACATCAGCATCCGGCTCACCATGATGGAAGCCACGACCGGCCCTTTGATCACCCACCAGAGGGCGGTGTTGTCATTCGTATCCCAGCATCTGGAGGAGGAGGAGGAGGAGGATGAGGAGGAGGAGGAGGAGGAGGAGGAGGAGAACACTGCGTTTCAATTATACTTGGGCAAAAAAAATAGCATCATACAAGTAGCCATTTGCAGAGAAAAGGACAGTGGAGGAAAAGGGTTGGAGAGGAGAGGAGGATTTAGAATGGCAGCTTGGCTAATAAAGATTCAAGCTTTTTTGAAAAATGTAACACTAAATTGTGTTATTTCTCTGCTTACACTCACATAGTTAATCGTGTATTGTGTAGAAAAAATCATAAAAAAAAGACTAGCTGACACTTATTTACTCGATCCCATGAGATACATGATCAGTCTTTAAGGAATCCATCAGATTTATTTGATGGCATTAATGAGCATTATTTGAGCATTAATGCGCCTCGCTAACAACACGGCTAACAGTCAACGTGCACTTCTTCCTTTCCTGAGAGAGGATCTGAAGTTGGAAGAGCAGTTTTACCCGGTGTTGTGGAAGTGGAGCCTCAGAACTGCCCAGACGGTGACGCAGATGGTGGGAGTTCCTGCAAAAACAACAATCATGATCATATGATACTTTTAGAATTATTGTAAGGGACATCAAAGCTGTAGTGAAAATCCAGAATACAGGTTGTGTTCAAAATACAACGTGAGATTTATTTACATAATGATTAGAAAGAGAAGCCGCCAATTATATAGTAAGAAATAACTAGTCAGCAAGGATTACTCACCCCATCCTATGATGGTGTACCAGTAGAAGTAACGTCGCTCGGGAAAGAAAGTCTCCACCAGCAGAGTGAAGAGGTAGAGACCCTCAATGAACAGCCAGAAATAGTTGGACATGACACAGTAATGGAAGAAAATCATCACTGCTTTACACGCCACCTGCACAGAACACAAGAGGAGGGAAATGTATTTTATCAGTGATCTGAATTCCCACTTAGAATAAAGTGCAGATATGGTATTATGAAATCTATTTTTGAGAAGAGTCATTTTTCTAGATTGCGTTCTTGTTTTTTTTTTTATTCAATTCATTTTTAATACCGGTACTTAAAAAAAAAAATTGTGTACAATTTCTTAAGGCAGGGAACTAAATAATTTGGCCTAGTGATATAATAACATGGGGATGTGACACTGATGACAAGTGTCCTCACTTGTCCCTGTAGATTAAAAAAATGTCCTCACAGCCGACAGCAGGGACCCATTTAGGAAGGCCACACGTCAGGTGGGTCACTATGATCTAATGACATCAGGTTAATGAAAGGGGTCCTCCGAGAACAGCGACCTGTGATCGCCATGGCGACTAACGGTAAAGCAGCAGGTTGGGAAAAGAGGGGCGAGCAACCATTGATATGTAAATGAGTCTCCGGTGGAAGATTTCTACTGGACCTCGCTGGAGCCATTAGCGTAGCTAATTAGGTTTATTCATCAAGCCTGCTTAACAACTCTACGCGGCGTGCTGTTAACCAGACGAAGGCTAAAGGCTTGTTCTGCATTTGCAATCAGGGAATATTAGCCATTTAATAGCGTGCTTTCTTTTTGCAGAAATTTGCATGTGATTGAAGCGTCAAACAGTAAAGTCTTTCACTCCCTCCGTCTGTGAGCCTCTTGTTGCATCTCAATCAGACCTCGCTTGATCACATTTTACACGCATGTTTTTTCTTTATACAATTAGCGGCTGCACTTTAAGGAAATCCTTTAATTGTGTTTCCTGGGTCCTATTAACAAAAGTCTTCACTGCCAACACGCCAAACCTGCCAGCAGTCAGAGAAGTGACCAATTACAACAAAAAAGGCCAACTTTTTGCAATCATCTACTTCAATTTTATGCTATCGAAACTGCTCACGTATCAACTAAACAGGAGATGGTTGTTCACTTTGATAAGCAACTTAACTGACTGTGTGTACGAAGCAGTGGTCGCTGTCTTCCTGGGCGTACAGCACGCCGTCCTTGATGAAGACCGAAATGGCTCGCAGGATGAAGGACACAAACAGGTTCATGTGGATGAAGTTCCTGGTGCAGTGGAGCTTCCTGAAGACGAGGGAGAGGGAAAACACGTGTACACAACGAGGCCGTGAACTAGTCGCCTCATTCAGCCACTATTTAGTCCGTTTCAAAATCCCATTGAATTCTTCGTGGCTCAAATTTGCCATTCGAGCCACATTTTATTTGAGATTTTTAGGGTTCAAATGGTTGGAGAGGTTTTTTTCCATGAAGCTTACTCGTTGTGAGGAGGGTGACTCACCTGAACCTGCAGAGGATGACCATGGCTGTAGTGAGGGACACCAGGGATGTGCTGTAGCCAACCGTGTACAGCGCCTTGACCGAGGCGAAGTACGTGTCCTGGTGTTGGGGGACAGAGTGTTAGTCGTGCACGTCCGCGTCAGACGTCAATGCAAAAAATTCAGATGAGCTCGAAGAGTTTAGTACAGGTTTGGTGGCGTTGTCGTAGAAGAAGCAGACGTCCACGTAGTGAGGGAAAGGCTCAGACCAGCCTTCCTCTGTGCAGTTCCGACTGATCCTCCCCATCTCTGAAAACAAAGAACGGGCCTCCGGGCTAAACTCAACCCAATGCAATTTTTTTTTAAATACCAACGGGAGACGCGGCTGATCTCCTCACCCTCCTCGGGGTCCATGAAGTCGTGGAAGAGCTCCGGGCAGTTGACCACCACGACTTCGCCAACGTTGGCCGACTGCCAGCAGGTCAGGTTGTCCCACATCCAGGGACACGCTGGGGAGAGCAGAGGGGTCGGCGTGAAGCTTCACGTCTGACCGACACTCAATGAGTTCAGTTGGGTTTGTATGCAAAGCGATGAGGTGGTAGGAGTTTCATTTGCAAAGTCGTTGAGCATTTTCCTCACAGCCAAATGGACAAATCTATTGCTGACAGGGAGGCAGCTTTCAAATCCTACTATGTTTCTTGAGTAATAGGTGAGTGTGGTGGTGTAGACAGTCAAAAAGCAAAAAAACAAGGTAAAAACGGACATTTTCCACCGTGCAGTAATATTTGAATTAATCTCAGATGAGTGTACATATGCACTTTTATCAACTCGGATCCTTTTGCAGTTAAATTTGGAAAGTAAGGGGGACACGAGGGCACAACAGACATTTAGCAATTAACGTCAAGCCTGAAAAAAACACAATGATGATGACAAAGATGAAATGTCGAGCGTAATTTCCCCCCTTTGGCTGTGAAGGTGACATAACAGCCTGATCTCCAAAACCTGTTCGTAAAAATGTATACAAAAAAACATACAAATTCGTAGTGATAAATACGGACTGCAACTGATGACGTCGCCCTATTCAAAGTGAACGGGGACCTGCGCCCCGAAAACACACTTCGTGAAGTCTAACCATGTAAAATAAACGTGTTATGATTGCGATTTTTAACGAGAAATCAATGTTAACTTGTAAGAATAGAATACTAGCCCTAACCCCCTCAAAAAATCCAACATGGCGGAGAGACGTTCACCCAAGAATCCGACATGGTCCGCCATGTTGTTCACTCAAGGGGCGTGGTTAACCACCGCCAGTTCGTATGTTTTGTTGCGAATTTGTATGTTCAAGATTTCCGTATCCATTTTCACGAACAGGTTTTGGAGATCACGTTGGACATAAAGAAAGAAAACGCCGTGTGAGCAGACAGCCAACTAAAGTTGTCCACAAAGCCGGTGAGTTCCACGAAGCTGAGCTCTTGTCAGAGCTTTCGTTATTTTTGCAGCGCCACCGTCACATATATTTGGCGGGATAGAAGAAGACTTATTGACCCGCCGTGTAAGTGCATGTGTGATTTTGTGTGATTGATTGACCCTGGTTGACAAACGCATCAACTTAAACTCCAGAAAATAAAAACGCATGTTATCACGCGCACACACGCTTGTCACGGTGGTTTCCTCATGTAAGGAAGAACGTACGAGTTCAAGGCAAATGCACTTTTTATATTAAGCCACTATAGTAATGAGCGGTTCCTTGTCCCTGTTTCACTGAGCATGCCGTTGCTGTTACTAATTAAATTTCCACACTAACAAAGCCTTCAACACAATGTCACCTCCAGCACTTGAAAGGCGGCTCAGCATTTAGTACAAGATAATGACGAGTTAAATGGGAGACGTAGTACAGAGGGGTGAGCGAGAAGTCGTCACGCATCAGCGTGCTCAAGTACTTGTTTGGTTTAACTTTAGCTCAAACTATAGATGAATTTCACAACCAAGTTAAACCTGAAGCTAAAGATGATGCAGTCTAATTCAACGCTGCTGCAATACATTCGTGACGTCTATATTAAAGTGCGGAAGCTGCATTTTCATAAGCTTCAATGCACACGTTGTTATTTCATGAACGGCTTCATCTCAAACAAGCGGGTACCAAATCTCACTCAGCCCGGTTCCACCCATGGTTCTGTTCTCTTTTGATCCCTCTCTGTTCATCTTCATTAGTCATTTCCTGATTCGCTCCTCACAATACGAACTGCTTCTCACACGCTTTGATTTCTCTGTCTCTCTTTCTTTCTCTTCACGCTTCAATGACGTCCTTTATCTGCGGCTACTCCCCGTCCCTCCACTCTCTGCTTCTCCGTCTCTCCAGGTTCCCCACATTGTTTGTGCTCGGGTGGTTTCGTGGGTCTCCAGGGGAGGATGGAGGAGGGGGGGGGGGGGCTGCGTTTCTTGCTTGTGTTCCCGGGCCGTGCGTTTGTTTGGGTGTTGCGCTTGCAGGCCTTTCTCTACATTCTGCTCGGCCCTCTAATCTGTTTTGGTTCTGTCTGGCGAGCCGGACACGAAGCCAATTACCTTTCAAAGGGCAAATCTGAGCCAAATGAGCCGCACTGAGCTACAGAGGTAACCGACTCCGTCTGCGTCGCAGGCTTTCTCACGCACGAGATGCTGTGCTGCACTGGACAGCAGAGATGCAGCGCGGCATCCGCTCGCACGCTGCGCGGGCAGACATTCGTCTCCTTCCTCATTAAAGATGATCTTATTGGACGACTGAATGAGATTTGTTTTTGCATTCTGAGTCCTGCAGTGCAACGGGGGCAGAATACCAATCGGGGATCATCTGCCCTCATTTATTCTCACTTTAAACACTGGCGTGAAAGAGATGTCATGAAGATCCCGTGTAGATTCGCACGGGGATGTGAACCATTTGCTTTTGTGAGAATCCTCCAGGTTAAAAAAAGCTGACCAATTTAAATAGAGCTGCACATTCAATACTTCAGGCCATCCTGGGAGAGGCTCCCTGTTCCTTTTTTTATTGGGGGGGGGGTATACAAAATGAATTTAATTGAACTATTTGTATTCCTCTTTCGGTTGGTTATTTTCTTTATTTAATACTTGTTTTGTCAGTAAAAAAATGGTAGCATTCTGAAAAACACCAATCACAACAAGGCCAAGCTGATATTATTATGTCTTTTCTTTGTCCAACACAAAGTTATTTTACCATTTTCATACAAGAATTTCAATTTCAATTTTTTGCATTACGTGATGCCCCATGGAACGGAAAAACCAGTTGCCATAGACTCACATTAACACCCGTATTTCATTTTCCTTCCTCTGTTCATGTGAATGAGAGCAAGGTCAGAGGAAACACTTCAGGGCATTCTTTCATTTCTAGTTCTATGCTCCAGTCGGGCTATTTTCGCTATTGTGCAACTTTCATGAGAATGAACCATTTCTCTTCATACATCTATGATTTGTTCGTGTGAAGCAGAAAGGCTCTTTTGGAAGGATTACCTCTTGCAGGTTCAGCTCTGCATGCTCGTATCACGAGCACACGCCTGGTTTTAATGTGTGCTAGACTAATAAAATGTCCTATAAAGTAATAAATAGACAGTATTTCCCATTCATCACTGGTAAGGTTCCCTTTTGTCACTAGACACTGGAAAACATAAAGAGGTTTCATCAGTTTAGAACTGATTGATAAAAAACAAGGAAAGGACAATACTTGTTATGTAAAACTAGAAGGGTATATTGTGCTTTTATTACATGTATATTTCTGGAGACGGTCATTCATTCATCATGATTTAGTTTTGGAGACACTGTTCACTGAGCATTATTCAGTTCTGAAATAATACACACTGTGTGGAGGCCACTAGAGTTCAACTATTCATTAAGCAGTGTGCTGAATTCAGCTATACACATTGATTACGACAATAGACAGCAAATCGTTATGTAGCAATTTTACACTAATCTAAGGCCAGAGCACCTCAATTAAAAAATATAATAATATATACATCATGAAATTCACCTTTAGTGGGTCTTAAATCATTTGACCAGGCTAAGAGCAGACCAGCTTTTTTTTCTCATCAGCTTCATTATTGTTTCCGTTCTCATCCCCCTTCCTCCCCCCTTTTTTAAATTTACTTTCTCGACACCCAAGATTTCTGCTATGGCTTTTTCATTTCCTCAGCAACAATTTTCTGTCAGCAGAAACGCAGAACGGTTCCTCTCAAAGGGAAAGGAGGAAACAGGGTGAAAGGTCGGCCCACATGTGTGAATATCAAGTCTGAAACTGCAGAAGTTCCAGAGGAATACAGGAAAAAAACAAAGCACAGCTCATGAGTGGACTGACTGACGTGCACGAGTTATTCATAAAGACAAACGCTGCTATAACCTTCCTCGGGGCAGGAATGAGGAGTAATGACTTAAAAACAAAAACGTAGATAAAACCTTGAAAAGAGCGATCGGAGACAAAAGGGAGACTGACTGACCTTTAAGATCTGCGGATGAAAAACGAGCAGAATCTCTACTTCTAACTTGTTATCCTGCTTCTTTAAATCTTTAATGCTTGGTGTGTTTTCTTTTAAAGTCGAAGCCGTGAGTCACGGTGCACTCTGGGAGATGCAGTCTGTTGGGCTACTTTGAAGCAGTAGGAGGTCGGCAGTAGTTGCTAATGAAATCTGCGATCCATAGCCAAGAAAATAATTGCCTCCAGGAATAACACACCAAGTTTCCTGTGTTTTCAGAAAAAGAATGTTAGAAAGAAGAAAGCGGCTCAGCGTGACATTGCAGGCCGGCATTTGGTTTGTTCACTGTGTATCACCAGATGGTCTGTCCCGTATAGCACCCTGCCATGGTGATGGACTGTAATGTGAACATGTTAGAAAACTGCACTCTTTCTTCCCCACATGTCCCAAAAAGTGATTGGATAGAAAAAAAAAAAAAACAGATCCGGTTTTTGTCATTTCTTTGTGAAGATGCTTTCATCTGCGTCTCTGTGTGTTTTCTGAGCGGCCGGAGACAAACACAATAAAACCACCGCAGCACAGTCGTGAAAGCCGGTGGCTTTGTGCCAAATTAGAAGGATGCGCGTACCTGTGGCCACATCGCTTACCTAAATCAAGGTCCTCGCTGGGGTTGTGTAGCATGATACTCTCCATGCATTTCTCATGTTCACGCTTGATAAGACAGTGCTCGGACTCTGAGGCCACCTGGAGAAAATAAGCGAAAAACAGTGTTAAAATAAATGTGGGCTGTACTGACAATTGACAATAGTGTGACATGACATTAAAGAATACTTCACTTCAAGTGATATTAAAGTTTTTTCTATTTTTTCCTGTTATTTTCAGTCTTCTCGTTGTTTAGATTATGAAAAACTACTTTTGTTCTTGTGCACTCCAGACAGTCAGGTCTGGATGCTCAGTCAGAAGTAAAACATTAATGCTGGTGTATCTGTTGGATGTGTAAGAAAACTTTGCTAACACATTCAATGCAACAATATAATACGTCGATGAGCTGTCCCCAAGTGGGCCAAAAAACGGTCGATGCAGAGTGTAAAAATCCAGATTATCCGTTTTCCCTGCATTCAATTTATATTCCTACAGTGAGCATATATTCAATATTTGACAGAGCATACATACATAGCCAGTTTAAAAATGAAATCCATCTCTTCCTGCAGAACATTAAGTGACTCATCCTGCACACTCATAGCTACATAGTGATGTCATGGCTCTGTTTTCTTTAAAAAAAGACACTTATTTTCGCTCCCTGAGCTGGTGGTGCTTCAGGGATTTTTGTTAGTGGAGTCTCCAAATGGATATTCAGATATTTACTAATTTAAATCCACTTTCGGGCGATCAAATTAAATCCCTCTTAAACTTGCACACAACCCCCGTATCCTTTCTTACAGTGGAGTCGGTGTAGCGGAGTGAGTGGCTGCGTGTATCTCAACTTCCTCATAACCCTTAAAGCCAATCTGTGTTTTGCACCCGCAGCTTTCACGAAAACCTCCCTCCTTCACTCTCAGGGTGAACTGATTGGTGCAATACGTCCCGGCCTGCTGAGCCACGGCTGACTCATCGCTCGGCCCTCTAATATGAATTCACTGCGGGGCCTCGCTGCCTCGCTGAGCGACAGGGAAGATGTCCTCGCACTCGCTTCCTTTCTCTATCGCACGCCGCGTGTGGGCAGAATTCGAAATCACCGGGTGAACGATTCCATCACGAGACAATACTTGTCAACTGCCGGATACTGGTCACGAACCATGCCGGATGAAGAAAGACAAACATGAAAAAAGTATCAACTGGTATCAATTGGGTTTGATATATAATATTGAATGAAACCCACACTGGCTTTGCTTGAAAGGAAAAAAAACTCTTTGATCGGGGAGGAAGCACTCTGCTAAGCGGAAGCTAGCAGCCAATTCATAATGTAGCCAATGTTACACAGAAACAACAAATAGTTGGATGCAGATGACTAATATTTGTTTGGCATGAGTGCAAACAGGCCAGTAAGGTGAAATCATTAAATGTTGATGCATTAATGTAGAATTCTGGATTGCAGATTATGTGTCATTTTCATGTGTCATATTATACTATAACAATTAATATTTATTGTGGTTTTTAATGGCTAATCCAATAGCAAAGACACACAGTTCCCATCTACCACAAACACACACACACACACACACACACACACACACACACACACACACACACACACACACACACACACACACATTTGCTCACATTCCTGATGAGTGAGCAGCTGCAGCTTCTGCTGACGTTTGTAGTTCTTTAAAGGGTTTATGTGCTTTGACTATTACTCAATACTAATACTCCCAGAAGTTATTGCTCCCAATCAAAAAAAGAATCCTGCCCAAAACCCCTCGTAAAACAGCCAGCTGTTTGTTTGTTTTTTAACAGTTTTTACATAGAAACATAACCTTTCATTTAGGGAGCCTGAGTTTCACATTTGGTTTTCTTTGGTCAGACGAGCTGTTTCTAGTATTCATGCTCAACCGGTCTCTGTGTCTACTGCCTGTAGCTTCACATTCAACACACAGATATGAGAGTGGTATCAATCCCCAAATCAGAAAGAACATTTCTCAAATTGTCATAGCATGCCCTTAGGCGGGGGGACGTCTGGTCCTGCTAATCCACTGCCCATGAGACCAGGTCCCGCATAATTCGAAAATGAATAATGGTCACTCCGTTAGTTTTAATGCTGCGACCTTTAGCAACCTTTGGCTGGTGCCATCTACTCCAGGTTTAACTGAGCACTGCTGAAACAGGACGATGACTACCCTGCATAGGGGGACAGATCAATTAGTTTTATCTTTAAGTGTGCTTCTCATGTGGCTCCCCAGTCACTCCTCTCCATTGAACAGATGTCTGCCCAGATAAGCTGTCCATTTGGAGGACGGAGAGCCTCCAACTGAACCCTCCCCCAGGCTGTTTCCGAGGGCCAAATAAGTCAGCCGCTCCACGAGGCTGCAGAAAAATAAAACACATTTGACGACGCCGGCCGCCCCGGTTAACACACGGACCCGTTTGACACACGATAAGTACATCAGAACAGACGCGTCCACCTCATCGGCCGCCGGGGGTCAGCTCCGGAGAAGTCGGCTGCAGGGAAACCCGCCACACACGTTTGTGGGCGGTGTGAACTTAAAGGTTACCGAGACCGTAGTGAACACAAGGCCATTTTGTCTCCCTAGTGACCGCCGATAGACCGGTACCAGTCCAATCCTGGGAGGATAAAGACATCGTCATCTATGATGTCGGAGTCAAGTGACGTTGCATTGCTACTCAGACCAAAAAGAAAGATGTGTATCGCTGTGGCGTCACCAGGGAAACCGCGGCTGTGCTGCATCGGTGTGCTGTATTCAAATCCTCCTACGCATCTCTTCCATTTCGCTTTTTTTTTTTTATTTCAACGAGAAGGCTAATGAAAGTGAGTCACAGCAGATGGACGCGCTGGGCCGCTCTCAGGTCAGCGGGGCCGTCTGATGCTGTTCTAACGCTCCGTTAGTCGTCCAGTTGATCCGGGACGTGCGACTTATGCTGATGCGGCATGTGTGATGTGGCATCACAAGCGCACACCCACAAGGGTACACGTACGCAAATAAACCCCATCTGAAGAGGAAGTATGGGCTGATAATGGACAAGGAACACTGTAGGAAACCTTGACATTTTAAGATCATTTTCCTTCCCAACTTACAATCTACGTACATATAGATATCCTCAAAAACTAAGCAGCTCAAATCAAAACAACCTAGATTGATAAATAGATCATTTTGCTTTTCTTTATTTTGGGGTATTTCTTGAGAATCTGTACTTTAGGAAACTGTATCTCAAATAAAAGCACCTCATGTGTTCTGTTTTGTGCTATGTGTACCTTGAAATAAAAGTTGATTGATTGATATAAGATAGAAAGCTGCTATACTAAAACAAACAAATCAATTTACACACACACAACTCTTAAAGGTAAGGTAGGATTTAGATTCCATGTTGCTCGGAGGTAATTGCAGCAGGATGTTACAATTCCCACTGATATCGCAGCATTAACTCTTGATAGCTGTCAACACACATATCATTGTTCATTTGTAACCAGTAATCCAGAGTTATTATCGATGTAAACTTCAACTTCATCAGAAGCAAATGCTGCTGATATCAAAAAGTACCTTTCATACCTCAAAATCAGTTTTTAGTTGAAAACATCTGCAACACAATAGAGCATCCTACTGAGAGCCAGTGGAGAGTAAGAGTCATCACTGCAGCTCGTGTCTGATTGGCGGAATGGATTATGTTGCAATCGCCCCCCTGGTGCCCCCCACCCGCTGTAAACAACTCACCAAGGGCAGCAGGAAGATCGCAGTTAGCAGGTAACCTCTCATTGTCTCCTGCGGAGGGCTTTTACGCAGGAGTGTGTCTGCGTGTGTGAGTTCACCGGGAGGCTCTGAAGTGATGCTCCACTCCGTTCGGCATCCGGGGCTCTGAAATACAACACACATTTTCAGGGTCTTGTTATTTTCTGTTTTATAATTCCATGGATTTTGGAAACTTCTGGCGTCCCGCAAGTTGCACAAGTCTAGTTACGTCAAGGAGTTGGCTCAGAATACTTCAATGCCCCACGAGCCTCGGCTGCTGTTGCCATGGAGACGAAGCCCGACACAAATCAGAGCGGGGGAGAATTGAACCTGTTTCACAGTGGCTGAATTCTCCCAAAATTGAGAATCCCAGAACCTTCAAACCTGATTTCATTTCAACTGCAGGTTGTAAAATCAGTTTTCTTTAGCTTGCACTCGTCGCCAGCAGCACCGCACACTGCTGATTGGCACAAGATACAATCAACACCTGTGATTGGTTCTTTCTAGCAGAAATGAACCTCCAATTGTGTAGTTAACTTTGAGCTAGAATCTGTTGTACGCTTTGCCTCAACTGCTTTCAAAGAGAACGGTCTAGAAAAGTGAATAAGGAGTTTACTTCTGGAAACCTAAAGTCATCTAGTTTTTTGGAGCAAAGAGAATTTGTTGACTTTATATTTCATCATGAGGACATGTATTCTGCATACAACTGATACAACTAGAGAAATGAAGACCAGAGTGGTTGATTCATTAGTCAAAAAACAGATGAACTATTTGACGTTTCACTTGTAATGACCCTGCACTCACATAAACCCCCTCGGTGAAATCGCATAGGATGAATTTGATGCTTGTTCACTGAGGTTACATACTTACGATCCTGATTTAAAAGCATGAGTATATGAACGAAAAGCTGATTCCAAAAGGTAGGACATTTGGGACATTTCTTGGCAGCCAATCCAATTTCTAGGGAGGGGTCTGTGTATTGGAAAGCCCCCCACCCCGCCTCCCCCCCCCCCCCCCCCACCTCTTTTCATGGCTTACTCATCCACACAGCTTCCTGAAAACACACAATGATTCACTGCAAACACAAAGCACACTGCGCAGCACCAGCAGAGACACAGCACACACACACGCACACACACACACACACACACACACACATTTCTAAGCTAGCTAAGCTAATTCGTGCACACAAAACCCACATTCCTCTCCGTGTCTCTTCCCTCCACTACCGAATCTAATTAGCTCTAAAGCTTCCGACGGATGCTTCTTAGGGCCGACCGTGCTCAGAGGAAAGACCTTGAGATTTTGGGGGGCAACTGAAATGAAACTGTCCAGATGGAGTTTAATTCTGAAAAACAGAAGGAGAGGAGAGAGGAACTTGCCAGACGTGGCGTCATTCAGCTGCATTTGTTTTTATCTAACCCATAAAAAGGGGCGTGCGTCTGGAGATTCCGAATGAAGTAAAAGAACACGTCGGTATTCTTGCAGGAAACGACCGAAGGGGCCACCGTCAAAACCATTCTAAGAGCAAGGGAGAAAAAGAGTCTTTGCTTTACTCAGCACGGGGTGCACGTCGATGAAGCTTCACAGGGATGGAAATTTAAGCGGAAAAAACGAATCATGACCAGTTAAAGACAGGAAGTGGAGATGTGTGGGTCTACAGAAACCACAGTATTGTTTATTTCATACGGTAATGGAAGACACACATTGGCTGAACGTGACCAAACACTACGTTCTGGGAATAATTACAGACTTCAACCCTTGATGAGAAGATCGAGAACCACATCCAGTGTGTGTGTGTGTGTGTGTGTGTGTGTGTGTGTGTGTGTGTGTGTGTGTGTGTGTGTGTGTGTGTGTGAACAAGCTGTGTGTACTTTGCAGATACACAGGAACAACAAGAGAAGGGGAAAGCACTCCTTAATATTTGTCTCTATCGTAAAGGGTTATTTTTTATGATGTTTCCCCACATCAGCTTCCTCCTGATGCAGGTTGCATTCCTTTGAACATGGTGGTGCATCAATGATTCATTTTCACTTCATTCCGATCCCTGTAATACAGAAGGACGCTTGCAATTAACCCAGATGCAAGTGTGTTAATGCCTTTACAGAGGGATTGCATGTCTGTCAGCGTGCACAGTGCCAATCCAAAATGTATTGGCTGCTTTGTTAACATGTTCATTTACTGTTTGCTAATGACCACAACGGCTGCATTACAGTCACCATTTACATCCACAGTTATTACAGGCTATTGTGTTATTATTTAGAGCACAGCTTGCAAAACGACAAACAGTATGTTGGAGAAAAATGCAACAGTCTTAAATACAATCAGTGATAAATGTCTCCCCCCCCCCTTGGCGGTGCGGAATCAGTGGGCTCGCATTGCCCCGCATCCCGCCTTCATCATCACCGCATTCGTGAACGCGTAATACCTCTTTGCGTGTGGATGACCTTCGCTATGCACATGGAAAAACCTCAGCACCGTCTGCCGCGAACACTTTCACACGCAAAAACGAGTCTCCAGCTTGAATACGGACATGCACGTCTACTTTAACGCAAAGCATCGGGCTTAATTGATCCGCCGCAAAGATGTGCGTGAAAGCGCGAGCCGCCGGGCGTGCAAAACAAGTCAGAAGAACTTACCGATGCGTAATTTTCAGCGGTGCAAATATCTGCACAACTGCATTCAGGCAGAATCCCCGACGAGAATACCTTGATTTACTTGTGCAATAATAGATTGCACTCCTAAAATCGTTATCGTCTCGTCAAGAGAAACGACAGGTGCCGTTTTTGCTGCTGTTGTTGTTGCTGCTGCTGCTGCTGCAGGACGCACTCACCGCGCTGGCTGCTGCGGCACCACGACGGCGTGGAGGAGGAGGAGGAGGAGTGGGAGGAGGAGGAGGAGTGGGAGGTTCCTTTGGGATTCGCACCTCGTCAGACACAGAGACAACAAAGTGAGACAACCGTTTAGTCTGGAAATGCGGTGGATGCTTTTTTAAGTCTCGACCCCGGGATGTTGAGCTGAGAGAGAGAGAGAGAGAGAGAGAGAGAGAGAGAGAGAGAGAGAGAGAGAGAGAGAGAGAGAGCAGGCGCGCGTGCACGTCCTCACGTCGCATGCAAGCGTGGGACTTTCTTCCAGGAGACAAACTATTCGCAAAACTCGGACATGTGCGCCTGCGCCTCTCAGGAGCTCCGGATGGCATCAGGTCCGGTTCCCCGCTGCGTGCAGTTTGTGAGGTGGCTCCATGATGTGTCTGACTCACCTCTAAAGTTTAACATCTGAGTTGCCGCGTGCGTTCCACCTTATTCAATACAATTAGGTTATAAGTCAAGATGTGTAGTTTTAGGCTGAAATGTAGTGATGGACTATGGAGGTGATGTGTGCGTGCTGTTTACTTTCAGCACCATGGGCAGCGACCACAGAATGGCTGCAGGGTATCGATGGGCTTATTGCAAGAATCCAACAATCTGCAAGTATACACAATTCCTATCAGGTCTTAATAGGGGCTTCTTCATGCCAGGAGTGTCTCACTAAGGAGACTGTCATCCATTTTTATTGAATAGTTGATCAAAGAGAACTAAAACAACAATACAAGATATAAAATAAGCAGAAACATATGCAAAACATTACAACACCTGGCATAATGACGTCAACAAGATATAACAACGAGATATACCACACATGTAAAAAACATCCACATAGAGGTGCAGAACAACCACTGACAGATGGAAAATGACCACAAAGAGTATCAGAATGACCTCACAAAGTTACACGCAACAGATATTTATTGATATCTGAAATATCTATTTTTATTCCGTTGGTTCTCCCTGGATCAAGGCAAGACAATTTGCAGTGGCAGCTTTGTGCTGGGTTGTTTTTTTGAGTGCTGGGCTGATTGATCGTCCAGCCAAGCCTTTTCGATGGGTTGGCCATAAATCAATGGGGCATAAAAAGTACTTAACCCTGCCAGCATGTTGATATTCTCAGTGATCCAAACAGGAAAACAGGAAACAACTAGCTCGTAGACGTTCGTCCCCTGTCACAATTTATAAAAGGAAGGAATCCATGAAGAGGCCTGATTGGATGACGGGTATGACGCAGGTCTTCTGCTGTTCCTGGAACATGTCAACACTGTTTCTGGCCAAAAATGACATCAATGGAAACGCTTCCATTGAGAGAAATTCAAAAATTCTAAGCTATTGCAGTCAGCAATCTGGGGGCTACGTCCACGGAAAACACTCGGCATCTTTCAGTGGCTCTGAGTGTTTTGAATTTAATGATTGTGTATGAACTTCAGACCAGGCAGCGGAACAAATGCAGTCTCCCACAGCCGTGGTCATCATTAATGTGAGAGCAGAACAAAAAACAGACACAGACGAACGGATGGGATTCAGTTCATTTTCGGAAATGTCTCCACTGACAGTATCTCCATGGTCACAGCATAAAATAATCCATTTAGGCGTTCAAGGACACAGTGACATTCAGGGTGACTGCCATAATTGAAACGTCTGTCAGTGTCGAGGGTCAAGCCGAGAACATTCTTGCTATTAAATGGCCTCTTAATCCAGAGGACACAGTATGATAGATGGTTATTCAACATATTCACATGAAAGCAAGCTAAGTATAGTGGACTGCGGTCGGGTAGATGAGGGATGTTTGAATTATATATTGTTCTATTTGACGAGGACTAATTAACTGGATAATAGTTTCTTTTTTCGCTTCAACTCTGTAACCATGGCAACGCAAGCAATTTACCTCCGTGGACTCTTTCCCCTCCACCCAAGATAAGCTCTTATTTTTGGTTCTGATATTATTGCTGAAATCGAAGCGTCTGTGAGGCTCCAGACGAGCTGGAAAACGCCACGACAAAAGGATGCACGGATAACGTGGTTTCGTGTGAGATTTGAATCACTCTGTGTCTTTAGAAAGCATCAATTGATCAGTCGTAGAAAATGCAAACCGCAAATCGTGTGTGCAGGATTCTTCGCTTCGAAATGGCCTGTAGGTCATTTCAAGTTCGGCGAGCGCTCACAAATTCCGATGGTACCTTAAACTAAATTGCTTTGTAGATGCTTATGCAATCGTTTCAGACTAAAAACGACTAAAACGTCTTTGTCTTTAAAGACATGGAGTTTCGGTTAAACTTTGTATAACAGGGACACTCGTTAGCTGGAGAGGTTGGTTATAAAACCCTACGTTTCTATGACAAAACCAACTGTGGAGCTGTGGGGTTAAGCAGACATGGCAACATACATGTAAATAATGCAGGATGTAAGGAATATTGAAACAAAATCAACCGTTGGTAAAACAAAATTAGATTTCTGGCACTTAGTTGGTGAAGTTACTATTTGTTTCCATCCGTTGTGTTTAAGTTTGTCCTCACTTGAACACACCGTCTTTATTTTGTGCTAACCTGTTCAGGAGACGTTCTGCACTCAGTGTAATTGGATCAGGTGCTTAAATATTTTAAGTCCTGTGGACGTAGCATTTTAACATAGGTTTTGATAGATTAACAGAATTACCGCCAAACTTAGAAATCACTGCCAAGGCGATTGGCAGCTTCAACCCGGTTGTCAGCTACATCTTTAGTACCAGGGTTAAGATCTCACCGGGGGGTCCGCTGGATCGTTCTACCGCTTAAAAAATGACGCGGATGATCCTCCAGCACAGGAGGAACTAATGTTTTCTTGCAGTGGCAGCTGGGGGGGGAAAGCAAAAATACATTCTCATTTCTCAGCTATGAGCGCTCGCCCTTTTTTGCTGCAATAAAAAAATGCGTGTGGCGAAATGCCAGTCGGTTCGGAGGGACGCAGCGTGGTTTGTGCTAAACGTGTCCTTGATCTCACGAGGCATGAGCACCAATTAATACCACGTGAGATGAGATGCCTTCTAATGTGATCTCATTTGTTTATTGTTGTTAAACGCTTTGAAAGCAAATACACAAGACACTGGTCCTGCGAGGCAGATTCTCCCGGGACTCATTTGAGGATGATAAAACGAGGTTACTATGTAATACACAGACTCGCGTGTCTTTCTGAGGCTTTTTTTCAGTTAGCCGTCTATAGTATCAGCATGGTGCCCAAACCCTTAGTTTGGTCCCGACAAGTCAGTTGAAACGCTTTTGATTGCATTTAACGTGCTGTTGTGTGGCAGTGTGGAGCGACTTCACAGAGCATGCCAATATAATTGCAGGTTGTCCATTGAAAATAGAAAAGCAGCTCAACCAAATGTTCTGTAATGGATGACACACGTTGTCACGAGGTCTTTTCACTCGAGTGGGAGAAGAGACTGACAAATCACGGAGGGAGGGGGGCGGTTTACTGCGTTTGAGTGTGTGTATTTATTGTTTGTTTCCCCGTGCAGGGACCTGTTGCCAGCCTAAGCAGTGGTGTTATATCAGATTAAGGAGAACCATAGTGTACTTGTACCTGACTCATCTACATTCAAACTATTCACCCTTAAAACAAAGCCACTTGTTAATAAAAACTGCACTTTTAAGACCCGCGTGAGAGGGCAAACAAATGGCGATAATTGGGTGTAGCGGAAAGGCTTTATTCTGTTGTTAATAATACGTTTGTGAGGTTCATAACGGAGTTGAAGCATAAGGACGATGGTCACTGCCTCACAGAACATTCTAACTTTCTCTCTAGAAACATTCCTGATGAGCTTTTGAATTTCACCGCATGCGTTCCTCGTTATAATAGCTTTTATCCATCTACTGTTTTCTCTTTAGCTGATTAAAGACATGAATCTGTGACTCTTTAGAGCCAATATACATAAACGAAAACACACGGGACTTTTTGGCTCAGGGCTCAACTTTCTCTACGCTGTTGCCACTGTAAACAATATTTGGAGCATCAAAGAACCACAAAATACTGACTGGGAAACACACACCAGCTCAGCAAATAAGACACACACGTGGATTTTAAATCATTGCATGTTTCAGACGAGAAAAGACAATACACATACGACACATCAGCAGGTCGTTGATATGTAAATGTTGTGACACTGTTGAGACCCGAGATCTGCAGATGAAACTTGCTATTCAGCGTGGATCTACTTTATTCTGAAACAGTGTGGTCTTGATGTGTTGGATTGTACCACTGTGACCAGACGAGCTGATTACAGCGCGCACCAGCTTTGCAAACCCTTGCAAATGGCGTTTTCACAGATTGTGTCCGAACACAAAGGTTTGTTTGGAACATTGTGTGTCTCATGCAAACATTAATGTTGAAGGAGAGCGTTATGGTAATTCCCGCCTCCAGTCAGTGTGTTTTCTTGCCAAATGCACATCTTTTTCTTGGAGTTCCGCTGTGAGTAAATCGGAGAGATCTTTCCGTGGATTTCAGTCTCTATTTTTTCATGGGGAAAAGGGTTCTTTCGACAGTTTAATTTCTACATTTCTGTTCAGATTGACGTCTCCTCCGCTGGTCATTCTATACATTTACTCCAAACATCCTTGGGCTTCAGTCCAACAGGGCATGTACGGACAAAGATTGTTACTCGGTTGATTGTCGGTTGCAATGTGAAACATGGTAATCCATGTCATTCTGCTGTACACAACTAATTATAAGGCCAGTGGAAGCCGGCTGCGTGACCCACAGGCTTTGTTTGAGCAGCTGGAGCTTTTAATACGCTGCAATGACCATTAGGCCTTCTTCTGATGACTGAGATCTCGTGAGTCTCCTGAGGTTCCTTCAAATAACGATCCTGATACTTGTTGGAGATCCCTGTGAGAATTCATCCTCCACCCAAAAAACAATGGAGAATATAATTTTATACAATGTGTTGTTCATCAATATCATCACGTTTTACATATGAGAATTCTGTCTGTCGCAGAAAATCCGGATGTGGCTCTTAAAGCTTGAATCACAGAACGAGACGTCCGTGTTGTCATGGAGACTAAAAGAGTAGAGATATGGAGTGTTGTACACAGCATTTGTTGGTGCAGAACTGATTCGTCAGTCTATTCTTTTCATGTCCGATAGGAAAAGAGAATTGTATGAATACATAAATCAAAGTGTTTTTGTCCTGCACACACTGGCACCATTCACAGGAC